GGTGCATTATCATGGGCCAGAGGAATAGAATGGGGGTTTAAAGGCCTGCCTCCTGGCATCTCATGTGCCTGAGTCCCAACAGCAGTGATCCCTGAGCACAAAACCAGGAGTAATCCCTGAGTAGAGCTGAGTGTGGTCCAAAAACCAAAACTCAACCCCCCCCCGCCCCCAAAAGAGGATATTATCCTCACAGATTATCTTGGATGTGAACCGGCCTGAGAAACCGGAGTTTTAAACCCCACCCTCCAGGCCACTAACTATAAAACAACCCATTTCTCAGTCGAAGCAGAAACAGGCCCATGAAATGTTCCGCCCAAACACTCCCAAGGCAGCATGGGCTCTTGGACCCAGCCCCACTTCCCATTCCTGAGTCACTGCAGAACCCTGCTGGGTTGCTGGCCTACGTGTTGCCCCATCACTTCTGTGGCTGGCTTGGTAGCATGTGCTCTGAGCTCTGGACCACCTGCACACGAAGGTCTGCTCTGCTCCTCATGCTAATAGCATGCCCCTCAGGTCTCAGTCTTCTCTCCTGTAAAATGAGGTTGGGACTTGTGTCCTCTGTGCAGGGCTGTTGTGCCCGTCAAGAGTTAGCCTAGAGCTTCTCATGACACCAGGCTCCAAGACCAAGCCCCTAGTGATGTTCTGATTAACATGAGGAGCAAAGCAGGGCAGTGAGGAGACCCAGGTCCATCCTTCCTCTGCTAGCAATCCCAGAAATCCATGCCTTTTGCAGGCAGGCCTCAGTTTCCCCATCTGGGCACGGGAAGCCCAATGTCTCACAGTTCCCAAATGGGAGTCAAGTGAGAACACATCCACCACAAGCTTCATAGCTAGCCCCCATTGTGGGGAGGGGGTGCCTGAGTTGGGGGGAAGAGCACTGCAGCCTGCCCTTAGCTCTCTGACAGAGCCCAAGAGAGATGATAGGGCCAAAGTCGCAGGACACACAACCCCCTCCCTGGAAAACACTTCTGCTCAGGGAAAGATTGCCGACCAAAGGGCCAGAGGTGGGGCTGGAGCGATAGCACAGTGGGTAGGGCATTTGCCAACCCGGGTTCGATTCTCAGCATCTTATATGGTCCCCGAGCACCACCAGGAGTAATTCCTGCATGCAGAGCCAGGAGTAACCCCTGATCATCGCCGGGTATGACCAAAAAAAAAAAAAGCGATGGGCCAGAAGTTCGGCCCTGGATCAGGGAGGGAAAGTTGCAGGTTCAGAAACCAGGGGACATGTTGGTGGCAAAGGATACAGTCGTTTGAAGGGCCCCCTGGGAGGGTGGCAATGGCAGTGGAAAGTTGAGGGGGGAAGGGCAGAGGCAGGGCTGAGTGTCCAGGAAGGAGATACAGAGCAAAGGGGAGGCCAGCTCAGAACAAAGGCTCCTTAGAGTCTGCGCGGTCATGGCCATGCCCCAGGGCAGCCCTCCTGCCGGTTGGTTGCAATCAGGCCCAGGCCCTGCCCATGTCTGTTTGACCCTTTCTGTGTCTCCTTTTGCTGGGACATGGGGGGAGGGGGGGGGGGCGTGGAGGTGGCAGGAGAGAAACTGGAGACGGTGGTGGTGGGAGATGTACACTGGAGAAGGATGGGTGTTGGAACGTTGTGCGACTGAAATCCAGTCATGCACAACTTTGTAACTGCGTATCTCATCGTGATTTGATTTTTTTAAAAAATGTTTTTAAATCCTAAAAAAATGGTTCATTCTGGAAATCCAGCCCTGCTATGAGCTCAGGAAGAAAACCTGATCCTGACTGGACATCACTGCTGACCAGGGATGATGCCCTCAGCAGGCTGGGGCTTGTGGGGGCCAAAGAAGCCCCCAGACTAAAAGTCCTCCTGGACCTCCGCTCTAGCAGCAACCTTCGGCCCAAGCTGGGGCAGCTCATGGAGAAAACATTTTTGCCGCTACAGTTCCAGCTAACCCCTGGGCACTTAATTGCTTTCTCCTACTTCATGAGGATCTTTTTCTCCCTTTTTAAAATTTTTTTCTTATTTTCTTGCTTTTGGGGTCACACCCAGCAATACTTGGGGGTTATTCCTAGCTCTGCACTCAGGAATTATTCCTGGCTGTGCTCGGGGGATTGTGTGGAATGCTGGGGATCGAACCCGGGTTGGCTGTGTGCAAGGCAAACGCCCTACCCACTGTACTATCACTCCGGCCCCTGTTGGGGTTTTGTTGTTAGTTTGTTTTTTTAATTTATTTTTTCTCTCCCTTTTTTCTCCCTCTCCTGTCCCTCCCTCTCCCATAGGTCCTCATTTCTTTCACTGTCTGTATTCTTCCAAATCTTTCCCTTCTCTCAATGGGAAAAATATCTGTCGGCTTTTGAAAAATCAGGGCAAATAGAAAATAAATAGAAAAGTCATGGTCACGGTCCTCCCGTTGTTCATCGATTTGCTCGAGCGGGCCCAGTAACGTCTCCAACATGAGACTTGTTGTTACTGTGTTTGGCATATCGAACACGTCACGGGTAGCTTGCCAGGCTCTGCAAGAGGGGCGGAGGAATCGAACTCGGGACGGCCATGTTGGCCACTTGTAAGGCAAATGCCCTACCGCTGTGCTATCGCTCCAGCCCAGATAGAAAATAAAACAAGTTATTTGTAACCCCAGAATTAAACATTTCAAAAATCCCCTCAAAGTATGAAGAGCAGAAAAAAATTAAAGTTGAAGGATGTGGGCACTTCATAATGTTGGAGGAAGGGGAGTGGGGGACATTTGGCAGCTTCTCTGTCCCTCCTCGGGCAAGGCAGGGGAGAGATAGGCCTGCGGCAATGGGGCAGATGCCAAGGGCTTTCTGAGCATTGCTGAGAGATCAGGGCTTTGCTTTGAGTACCACAAAAAGCCCTGAAAAGGTTTGAAGCAAGGAAGAGAGGCGACTGGATGTACAATTCAAAACATAGCAAGGCTAGGGGCTGGAGCGAAAACACAGTGGGGAGGGTGTTTGCCCTGCATGTGGCCCACCTGGGTTCATTCCCCGGCATCCTGAGCCCACCAGGAGTGATTCCCTGACTGCAGAGCCAAGAGTCAGCCCTGAGCACCACCAGGTGTGGTGTCCCCCGCAAAAAAGTTGAAAAGCTAAAAATGAAAAAACAAGCCCCTGGCCACGCCCATGGAGAAAGGATAGAGAGGGCAGAAGTGGAAGTAGCAGGCCCAGCCAGAACATGAAAGCTGTGGTTCCGGGGCATGTGGGCAGGGAGCAGCACCCAGCGGAGATGGAGACAGAAATAAAGGGATAATTCTTGTTTCTGGAAACCAAAGACCTGCTCATAAGGGACTGACTAGCAGGCTTCTTGCTTTCTGGTCAGTGGCTGTGTCTGTGTCCGCAGCCCCCACAGAAATGCTTTGTGTTTTCTGCAGAATCTTTGGCAAATAAGTCTCAGCCCGTTCCCAGGCCAGGGCTCCAGCCTCCCCTACGCAAGAGGACAGAGAGCATGTGGGGAAGCAGGACCTGCACTCACCCCCCTGGACAGAGGATCACACTTCCTGCCCTGTGAGATCAGGCAAGCTCATGTGATCGGGTTTGGCCAGTGAAATGTAAGAAGTCTCACACCCTTCTTCCTAGCAGAAGCACTGAAATGCTGGTGCAGAACTCTATATTATATATATGTATGTATATATATGTGTATATATATATATATGTGTGGGCTGGAGCAATAGCACAGTGGGTAGGGCATTTACCTTGCACGCAGCTGAACCGGGTTCGATTCCTCCATTGCTCTCAGAGAGTCCGGCAAGCTATCAAGAGTATCCCACCTGCATGGTAAAGCCTGGCAAGCTCCCCGTCACGTATTCAATATGCCAAAAACAGTAACAACAAGTCTCACAATGGAGACATTACTGGTACCCGCTCAAGCAAATCGATGAACAATGGGAGAACTGTGCAGTGCTACAGTGCATATATATGTACTTATGCTTCATGCTATGTGGTGGTGCTCCCAAGCAGTGCTCAGGGGACCCTGGGATCACTCGCAGTACTAGTCAGCTAACCAAAGCTGTTCATCCCAACCTGCAGAGAGAGGGCCAGGCCACCCCCAGCAGTGCTCAAGGAGCACCTGCAGTTCCCGAGATTAAACTCCTGGGGGCCAGGGAGAGCAGCTGAGCCTTCTGGCCCCGGAGCTTGGGGAGAGGAGGGTGGCTGCAGGCGCTCCCAGGGCCAGAGAGAAGCCTGAGAAACCCATCCTCACTGCTCTGGGGCTGCCCCCTCTGTGCATGATGAGATGGCTGGAGGCATTAGCCAGAGCGGACACTGGCTTCAGAGAGAACTCAATTTAACCGTCCTCCTGCCCATCTGCCAGGGTCTTGCAAGTGATTGGCAGTTTTCAGTCTCCGATGTTTTTTTCAGGGGCTCCTATCAGTGCTCAGGAAGCCCCGCCACGTCTGGGAAATTCTCAGGCACCCGGCGCGCGCTGCAATCAAGCGTCAGCACATGTAGTGCTGCTTGGGCCCTGCAGACGGGGCTGCTCAGGCCATGCCAGGGACCTCCGGGCTCTACCCAACAATCACTAGGGGCCGTGTGGTGTCTGGAGCGGAACCCCGTTGGGCATATACAGGTGTGTACCCTAGTCCCTGGGCTGTCGCCCCAGCCCCTGTTTTTCAGTCTTGAATAGAGCCACCCTCCATCTGGCCAGAGCGAAGCCTCCAGGGGCCCCGTGCACAGACAGGGGTGGAAGAATTCCCCAACCCCCAGGGATTCACCCCAACTGCAGGGAAAGTGGAATTTTTTATTGAAAGTGTGGAGTTCGTAGCGCGGAGTCCACTTGGGGGCTGAGGCTTCGGTCCTCTGGGTCACCCCCTCCCCCTGCTGGGGGCCTGCTGGGGGCTGAGTGTGGGTGAGAGGATTTGCCAATGGGGGCCACAGCTGAGTCCTTTCCTGGGCTGGGTCCGGTGAGAAAAGGACGGGGGTGGGGGGCTGTTGTGGGGGCTGAAGACAGGTGGAGCTTGGAACAGGTCCCGGCAAGTCTCTCCAGGGCTCATTCTGGCTGCTTCCAGAAGCATCTGTGCCTTCGTCACTCAGGTGCTCAGCACCAGAAGGTCCTAGGGGGATAGAAGAGAGTACCGGTTAGGTGGCTTCCAGCTGCAGTGGGGTCACAGGGACCCCACGATCACCTTGGTCATGCCGTCCGCCTGCCCTCATGGAGCACCTGGAGCACTGCAGCAAGATCCTTCCTGCCCCTTTTCCTTCCTCCTCAGACAAGAGAAGCCTAAGCCCTCTCCACAGTCTTCCAAACTCCAGTTTTGTAATTTTTTTAAAAAAAGACCACAACAAAATAATAAAGGAATATATTATCTTCCTTAGAACAAAATAACTAAAACTAGAACATTTGCATCTGTATTGATATTAACAATTGAATAAATAGATAAGGAGGGAGATAGACCGGTTTCTCCTCCAAGTTTATTCCACCTAATCAATACAGAGGGAATTACAGAAACAGAAAATACCCTTGTGTGAGCATCACGTTAATAACTATTGCAGACAAGAGCCGTTAATGAAGGCAAGACACTCAAAGCCTCTCTTGCAAAACACAGTACCCAAAAGAAGAGAGAGAGAACAAGGGGGAATACCCTGCCACAGAGGCAGGATGGGACGGGGGGGATGGGGGGGGATGCTGGGACCCATGGGGATGGATGACGGGCACTGGTGGAGGGATGGGCACTTGATCATTGTGTAACTGAAACCCAAGCACAAAATTTGTAAGCCTATAACTGTACCTCATGGTTTTTCACTAATAAAAAAAGAAAAAATTTGAAGGCAAGAGCTGTTAATGAAAGCCAGACTAAGTGGCAGAAAATGTGGAAACAGGATATTTAATTCGCTCCGTAGTGGATCCCCATGAGATAGTCACTAATGACAAAAGGGAAAGTAGAAACTGAACAATGGAGGCATCTGGAAGGTACCACCTTGGCCATAGGCTCAAATCAACATCTCAGAGGTAGCGTCCCCAAGAATAAAATATTGACACCCACACCCTGACTCAGAGGGCAATACTCTTTTGGACATGTTCCTGCCTCGTCTACTCCCAAGAAACCATCCGTCAGTCAACTGAGGGATGCCTTACAAAGGGAGCTAGCAGGGCTGGAGGAATAGCACAGCGGGTAGGGCGTTTGCCTTGCACGCGTCCAATCCTGGTTCAACCCCCAGCATCCCCTATGGTCCCCTGAGCACCTCCAGGAGTAATTCCTGAGTGCAGAGCCAGGAGTAACCCCTGAGCATCACTGAGTGTGACTCAAAAAAAAAGGGGGGGGGGAGCCAGGGTCATCGGTAGTGTCAAGGTCATAAGACACAAGGAGGAGAAGACTGGGGAGGTGGCTCAGAGATAGGAGTGTGAGGCCCTGATTTTGATCCTCGGCACCACCAAACCGAGAAACCGCATGATATGTCCCATTCCCCAAATGGAATATAAAACAGACATAAATGGTGATTGGTCTATACTGAAATCAGATATATGTTGAAATAAACACTGTCCTCCCATTGTTCATCGATTTGCTCCCCTTCCCCAGGATCACCAAGCTGGAAATAGGCAGGCAGGATTTGAACCAGGTTTCAGGGTTTAGAAACCCTAAATCTAAACTAATTAGATTAGAATCTCTAATGCTAATTAGTGGAATTAGATTCCACTAATTCCTTGATTGAAATCTTGTTTTTAAATTTTGTTAAGGGGCTGGAGTGATAGCACAGTGTTTGTTTTGCATCTGGCCACCCCGGGTTCAATCCCCAGCATCCCATATGGTCCCCTGAGTACTGCCAGGAGTAATTCCTGAATGCAAAGATAGGAGTAACCCCTGAGCATGACTGGGTGTGACCCAAAAATATGTAAAAATGTATTTTAAAAGAAAGATTATAATTTAAAAACTACAAATGGTTCATGCTGTTTATTTCTGGGTTGCAAATACATCTAGGGGAATAAACATGTATTTATCTAAAGTTTCCTATATTTTCCAAATTTCAGATACTGAGCACATTTCTTAGTAGAAAAAAAAACCTCCCCTTTATCTGCATTACAAGGCACCTATCATATCTATAATTAGAAGTTACTTCTGGAATATTTACCAAAGTCCATTTGCCTGCACAAGCATGGCAAGGCTTAGAAGCCTGCATGTTTTACTCACTGCTCAATCTCCACCCCCTGGAATACAGTAGGTGTTTAAGTTCCATCTTTCCAATAAACCACACCATCCTTCCACTCTAGGAAAGTTTCTAACTGCTCAGTATTCCCATCTGTAAGATATGGGTCATCACATCTGTCATGACCTCATAGAAGTGAGTCATCTGTAAATGACCTCATAGAAGTGAAAATCTACTTTTAAAAATTTGGTTCTAGTTTCTTGAACCCCATCCTTCCTTCAACTCCCAGACCTTCCCTTCCCTCTCTTCTCCTCCTCCAAATGTCTGGGTTTAAAAGAGAAAACAGAACCAAATTCCATTTATCCTTACCTCCAAGACATCGATGTCTGCATGGCTGAAGTCAATGTTGAGGATTTTGGGGAGAGGGACACCAGAGCCCAGCATGGCTGTGAAAATAACCAGTGGAGAGAGGTCACGGGGGCCAAGAGATACCAGCCTTAAGGAAGCTTCTGGTATTTGCAAGAAGACTGCCTTGAAGGCCTTTGTCCATGTCATTGGTCCTGCCCAAAGCACAGTTCCTCTGCTCGCTGAGTTCTGAGATGTCCCTGACACTGTTTTATGTCATCTCCTCAGTGAAGCTTTCTTAACCATGGACCAAGAAACTCTGGCCTCCAGCTTCTCCTCCCAAACCCCTCTGCTACAGAAATCACAAATTTTTAATGACCTGTCCTTGTCTCTGTCACAGGCCCTAGCAGGTAAGAACTGTATCCCCAGCATCATCCTGTCCTGTGCTGAGCACCAAGGAGATAGAGTACAGGTGCTTGGGCAAGGAGGCTGAGACACCCAACACGTATCACCACTGGACTCATTGCTGGGGGTTAGAGAGAGTCTGAGCAGATCTGAAGATTTGTGTTCTGGGAATAAAGACCCAAGAGGAGCAACAAGGCAGGGAAGGAAGGAAGGGCTGGTGGGGAAATTGGCAGACTTCCTGGCTCCAGCAGGTCTTCTCAGAGAGTCAAAGATATTGTAACAACCGCCCCCACCCCGGTGGAATATATTCAGAACTTTCAGAACTTCCTTGGCCATGGAACCCTTTCCTCAGTGTATATTATGAGACTCTTTTTCTATAGAAACCACTTGGGAAATCATAGATCTAATCCAATCTCTCCCTTTTGAAAATGGTAAAATTCATGGTAATGAAATTTGCCATGAGAGTAACACCGCCTCTCTGTGACCAAACCGGGACCGAGTCCCTATCTCTTGCCTCCCCTGTCCACCTCACTCAGCCAAGCTCCTCACAGCATCCCCTCCCGCCTGGGTTCCAGCTCTCACCGTTCATCGAAGGCATAAATGCCAGGTCAAAAATTTTCCCGACCAGCATCTCCATGAGGCCAACCTGGAGGGGAAGAAGAAGTTAACTGGACCTTGGGTTGGCTTCGATCTCAAGAGCTCCTTCAGTCCCTCCCTTGAGCAGATAAAGGCTTCATGGGGCAGGGAAAGGCTCTGGGAAGAGCTGATGGTCAGAGCCTCCGGGACTCCAGCACCCCAGAAATGAACAACTCCAGGAACATCTGGTTCACTGACTCTGGAGCTGAGTGATGCTGAGACAGACCTGAAGCTTTGGCCTGTGGCTTCTGGTGAGGCAGGGACTAAGGGAAGCTCAGTTCCACTCCAGGAGGTCTAGAGCAGCTCACTCCAGAGCCATGCCGTCCACTAACCTTGGCAATGCCAACCAACTCATCTGGGATAAGAACCTGAACTGCGGGGCTAGAGCAATAGTATAGCAGGTAGGGTGTTTGCCTTGTATGCACATCCCGTATAGTCACCCAAGTACCGCCAGGAGTAATTCCTGAGCGCAGAGCCAGGAGTAACCCCTAAGCATCACCAGGTGTGATCCCAAAAGAAAAAACCTGAAGTGCTGACCCCTGGGGTTCTGTGTCACCAAGTGGCATAGGTCCCACCTCCAACCAGAGAGGACTGGGTTGCCCCTTTTCTCCACACCAGCTCTGTGGTTTTCCTAGGTGAGGGCAGCTAAAACGGGCAGCACCATGGACAGCGCAGAAGGCGCCCTGAGCCTGTGCTCACCGGTCCCGGACCTAGTGGGCCTCCTGCTGTGACCCACACCTGAGAGAGCTGATACAGGCCCGTGGAATTCACAGCTCCCCAGGTCCCCACCACCCGCACAGAGGCTGCCACTCGCAGATCTTGGTACTCACATCAAAATTGCCCACATTTGAGGTTCTGAGGTTGAGGCTGGTCCTGAGATAAAGAAAACAGCCCATTAGAAGCAGTGCGGGGGGCTGGAGTGATAGCACAGCGGGTAGGGCATTTGCCTTGCACACAACTGACCAGGGTTTGATTCCCAGCATCCCATATGTTCCCCTGAGCACTGCCAGGAGTAAGTCTGACACATAATGGCTGCTAATCCTGACCAGGAGAGACCTGAGCCCCAGGAGTAACACCCATGGCAGAAGGGAGAGCCCGGGACACTGTCCTGAGCTGACCCACAGCTCTGACTGTTGTGCTGTTCACAGTAGGAAGGTCTGCAACGCAGGCTCAAGGCTGTGCTCTGCACGACCAGACCTCAGTCTCCCTGCATCCAGGCCTCACCTTGTGCATTTGTGCTCTGACCAGAGAGTGAAGCCAGACCAGGCTCGCCTGCCGGGCACAGCTTTTGGCTCCTGGTCAGCCCTGCGTGGCTCTGACCAGCATCAGATGCTGAGCAGCTCCTCTCACTGGGGCTGTATTTGTGAAATATCTGTGAACACTCTCCAGAAGTGAGACACAGCTGGGAGTTTTACCTCTAATCTCGTCTCAGCTTGGAAGCGAGGCTCCTACTATGGCACTTACTTCCACAGGTATCGAAGTTCCATGGATTTCAGCACATTTAGGGTTCAACTCAATGCTTGGCTCATAAAAAGGGCCCAACTGCTAGTTTTTATTAGTGCTAGACTCATGAATCCTGTGAGAGAAGAATAACCATTCCCTTCTCCAGAGGAGAAAATTGAATTTCTGGGGGACAAAGTCACTTGGCATCAGCCGCCAGCCTGTCAGGGGTCGTTGCTGGGATTTGATCCCAGACCATGCTGCTCTGAAGTCTGTGCTTGTCACCAATCCTCAGAGATCAGCCCACAGTCCCTGAGTGAGTAAAATCACCCCCGAACCTCAGTTTTCTCCTCTTTGAAATGAAGAGGAGACTCAGGGAGATGTGTCAAAGGGCTAGAGTACATGTTTTGCACACAGGAGCCCCGGATTTGATCCCCTGCCTCTCCTGATCACTGAAGCAACCCTGGTGCAGAACCTGAGCAAGAACCAGGAATAGCCCTGAGCACACCTGGTGTGATCCCCAAACCAATCAGTAAATAAAATGGGAACAAAGTTGGCCTGGCTCCTCAGGACCAGTGTAAGCCAGACAGGATGAGCAGGTAAAGTCCCTGTGTGGAGCAGGGCTCCATCCCGGACAGTGAAGTGACTGGTTGGCTGTAGTCTCTATGTATGAAACAAACAGCTTCACCCACCAGCTCATGCCAAAGCTCTGGGCGGTGAGAAACTCATTTCACCTTTTCTTTGTCTTAGATCTCCCTGCCAGCCCATCATGCCAGGAGGTACCTCCCCAAAGAAGCCTTCCCGAGGAGCAGGAGCCTGACTGCAAACCACCTCCCACCCCTTACTTGTCCAGTTTAGCGTCGATCATGAGTTTATCCCCCTCCACGGAAAACGTGGCCAAAAGCTCTGTGTCCTGGAGGGAAGGAAGGAGAGGGACGGTCAGAACACAGCTGGGATGGGGGGTTGTCCTCAAGCACTTGAGCAAACGCCCTTTCCAGAGCAGAGCACGACCATAACCTACACTCAGCATTTGAGGAAAGGCTGAGAGCAGCACAGCTGGCATGAGGCTTTCCTGCCAGTTCCATGGGCACGGGCAGAGAAGGCGTTTCTCAGAATGACAATCACAGGATACCAAGTCAAGAGGGTGGACATAGTGTCAGGGGAGGTGGGGGACCTGAGCCAGGGGACCCACTTCAGGCGAGCCACTGCAGGTGGCACCGGGCGCCACTGTCTCTCCCCATCGGAACTCCCCATCCCTGGGGATTCAGCCCAGACCCAGCCCCCTGCCCTGTTAACTCTCTTTTCCTCCCTGCCTCTGCCCAGAATAGAGGACACCAACAAGTTCAGGTGATGTGGCAATGACCAAGATTGTCTGAGAGCTTGGGGGGCACCTGGTCAGACCCGGCAGGCCCCCCGTGCCTGAACACTTAAACAAACACCTAAGACTAGGGTGGGCCAGGTGGGTAAGAGGCCATGGGCGGGTGGTCTGGCCAGGTTTCTGAGGGACTGACATTCGAGTAGAGAGGAAAGGAAGGAGATAACAGGGAAGAGCATTTCAGGTGAGGGGAGAGGTGACCTTCATGTGGGTCAAGGCCACAGGGGCCCAACACTTTCAAGGGACAGGAGTGACCAGGAAGGGCTCGTGGACCTGGGTAAGAGGCTGGCTTTTGCTTCAGGATTGAAAGAAAATCTTGAGCAGGGGAGGTACATGATTGTTTGTCAGAGAATTTCACTCTAGAAAATCATTGTAGAAATGGTTTTATCTGTGGTTAACACCAGCCAGGTACCAGGGACAAGAGCTTGGGCACCATTCTTCTCTGCACTCCGTTGAAAGCTTGCTATAGGGCCAGAGTGATAGCACAGCGGGTAGGGCATTTGCCTTGCACATGGTCAACCCGAGTTCGATCCCCCACATCCCATATGGTCCCCTAAGCACCGCCAGGAGTGATTCCTGAATGCAGAGCCAGGAGGAACCCCTGAGCATCGTCGGGTGTGACCCAAAAAGAAGAAAAGAAAGAAAAGAAAGAAAAGAAAGGAAAAGAAAAGAAAAGAAAAGAAAAGAAAAAAGAAAAAAGAAAAGAAAAGAAAAGAAAAGAAAAGAAAAGAAAAGAAAAGAAAGTATGCTACAGAGAAGGTACTTGCTAAGTCCCACTGAGTGCGGGGCAAAGGCCTGCTCTGCCATGGGACTAAGAACCAGTACTGTGGATGTACCCACAGGGTGGCAGGCCTGGCTCTGCCTTTGTCCTCACGTGGTGGAAGATGAGGGGGGCCCAGAGGACAGACTCACCGAGCTGGCTCTGCTGGCAGTGCTAAAGCCCCCGTTCCGACAAGCCCATCTGGCCCCACGGGCAAGCTCGAGTGACCAAGGTGACCAGTGGGATGGGAAGGGGTCTGTGGACTCCAGGAAGGCTGTGACCACTCCCCAGACACTCACCGCATCGATGAGGCAGATGGTGGTCTCAACATCATTGGGCTGCGAGACCGTGACCTCAGCCGTGGCAAACACTTTCACTATCGCATTGTCCTTCTGCAGAGTCACGGTGGGTGGGTTTGGAACCTGGATCCTGATGACAAGTGGGCGGGATTCGGGGTACTGCTGGAAAACCTGGGGACCAAGACCAGATTAGAGTGATCAAGATGCTCTGTAATGGGAGAAGAAGGTGACGAGGGGTCCACGGCCACCTGGGCATGCATAGCACAGCTGGATGGAGCTGGCAGGACCCATGAAGGCTAAAGGTGGCTTATAAAACTCCTCATCTGAACAGCCTCATCCAGCTGTTTTCTGCTGGAGCCTGCAAGCAGCAGGCAGATGGGATCTTGCCAGGGGGTGCTGGGCACCAGCTGCCACTCCAGGCCATGCACATCCTGGTACTGTGAGATTCAGGTGATGGAGTCAGCAAACCTTTACCCCAACGCACCACATGTGGAGCTGCTCCAAATGCCACCCAGTGAGAGGCAGCCCGGGCACCTGGGCTGTGCTCGTAAGAGAGGGGCTTCTTCCTCCAGGCCACATATGGAAAGGCCAAGTCAAATGCCCCAGCCAGCAGCCGAGTGGAAGCCCCAGCCCAGGCCTGTGAGTCAAGCACGGGCCTGCCCCTCTCCTGTCAATTCTTGACACCCCACCTGGAGCGAGAATGTCCACAAAGTGGGCATTTCAGTGAAGTATTAGAGTGAGGCACAGCTGCCCCCCAACCTAGATTTACCAGGGTCCCCGGAGCCCCACGGGAGATGAGGTGTCTCCACATACCACAAAGTGATTCCCCCCAAAGCCAATATATTAAAGGAACAAATCACCGACTGACCCATCTCCCATATTTGTTAAATAACCAATTTGACCCTAATTTACTTTAAGGGCTGGAGCAATAGCACAGTGGAAGGGCATTTGCCTTGCGCGTGGCCGGCCCAGCCAAGCCAGGTTCGATTCCTCCGCCCCTCTCAGAGAGCCCAGAAAGCTACCGAGAGTATCTCGCCCACACGGCAAAGCCCGGCAAGCTACCCGTGATGTATTCGATATGCCAAACACAGTAACAACAAGTCTCACAATGGAGACGTTACTGGGCCCGCTCGAGCAACTCGATGAACAACGGGAGGACAGTGCTACAGTGCTTACTTTAAGGAATGTTTTTCTTAAATTTATCCATTGAGCAGCAATACGTGGGGAACCTCAAGATGTTGGTTTTATTATTATTGTCAGTGGTTTCCAAATTTTATCGGTTGAGGTTTTGCGATTCATAGTACTGTTTAATGATGGTTTCTCATATGCATAATTCCAACACACGATGTTGGTTTTAAAAGAAATGCAGCCCAGGGGCCTTTTCTAAGATTGATTCCTCTGAAAATCTTTTTTGCACAAGCCCTTGATCCATCGGCAAATCTGGCCAACTCGGCGAATCCACTTAGCAAAGTGGCTTTCAACAAGCCAGTGCTTTGGTGTTCTGATTTTTCCCAGAAGGATTTTCATCCTATTTCTCTGGGGTGGGGGTGCTAGTTTCCTAATCACTCCCACCCCAACATACCAAGTCTTCAAAAATGAACAAAGCTTCCTTTTAGAAGCGCCTGTAATTCTCTCCCCATCACAGCAGGAGACCAGATACCCCTCTGAGGACTCCATCAGGGTCTAATTCCCAAGGGACGTTGCTCTGTGTCCAGCTCGAACCCCCAAAAACAGACCCAGTGCCCTATCAAGCCCAAAGTCTTCTGCTCCAGCACACCTGTGCCTCCTGTCTGAGCTTTAGTTGGGGTGCTTGTTCCTCCTGGCCCCCCGGATGGGATCACTGGGACTAAATAGAGGTTCCTAAAACTGTCTTCATAAATGTTGAAGGGCAGTCCAATTCATAAAACACCCAAGGGCCCACCTGAGCCTGAGCTGCCCCTAACTCTTGCCATGCAGCGTTTGGCCACAGGAGGGCAACAGCGGCCCTGCCCAGGTGCCATTCCCTCTCCCGCCTCTGGATTCCACCCAGATCTAAGGTCCGGGAGAAAAGACACTTTTTCCTTCTAAGACAGCTGTGGATGATAGCCTCTTTGGTGCCTCTAGCATGCTACAGACGATGCTCTTCCCTGCCAGGCACAGAGTAAAGGGATGAGAACCAGGGTCCGAGAGGCCTCTGTCACAACTGCACACAGCCTCTAATCACACAGAAGCACACTTGCTCTCTTCTTAGCAGAGGTTTGCTCCTGTGCACAAGAATAGGAACAAGGTGCTGGAGAAATAGCACAGCGGCTAGGGCATTTGCCTTGCATGCAGCTGACCCGGGTTCGATTCCCAGCATCCTATATGGTCCCCGGAGCACCGCCAGGAGTAATTCCTGAGTGCAGAACCAGGAGTAACCCCTGAGCATCGCTGGGTGTGACCCAAAGAGCAATAATAATAATAATAGAAACAACATTTATGGCTGCTCTGTGCCAGGGCCAGACCCCCTACTGACAGCCCCCTTGGGATATGGGATCATGATGTCCACTTTTTAGGTAAGACATAGAACCAGCCACGGCCCTAAGCTAGAGCCGTAGGGACTCAGAATCTTGTGTCTACTGGAAAGTTCCAGTGCTCACCAGTTAGCGCCATGTGTTCTCCCCAACCCTGGTCCTGTAACCCTCTTAGCACCTGTGGGGCAGGTGTTGGCAGCCTCCTTGGATAAGCAAGGTAACGGGGAGCTCAGAGTGTTACAAACTCCTGTCCAGGTCAAACCGCCAGGACCTGGCCCAGAAGAGAATACGCTGGCGGGCGGCTCCCTGAGGACCTCCAGATCCTTCTGCTTTCATCAGGACACTTACAATGAGGGGGTGTCAGAGTCTCCCTCCCAAGGATGAGAATCCCCCCTAAGCCAGCTCCCTGGGGTCCATCCCCCGGCACATACCTTGGGGATCAGGGCTCCCAGGGTGGACGTGGTCAGTGGAGGCAGATCCTCAAACTGCAGGAGAGAAGGAGGGCTGGTGAGTCCCTGAGAGGTCTCTGACATGGCAATCAAATGCTCACCTAACGCCCCCCAGGCCGCAGTCTTGGGTGACTGCTATCCCCGTGGGAACTATTTCAGCCATTTTCCTCGGGCCATAGGGACCAGGAAGGGACCCTGGGGAGCTGTTCATAGTCAAACCCGCCCCCATCTCAGTAGGCGGGGGAAGGGCACTCACTGTGCCATCCGTGATGTCAATGTTCAGTGCCCCCTGCTTCTGCAGGAGGGTCAGCACTGAGCCCAGGAAGTTGGCAGAGATGGCCAGCTGGGAGTTGGTGTTGTCGCCCATGGGGGGCAGGTCCGGCATCTTCTTATAGGGGTTCACAGCTGGCCGCCCCAGGGGATAGTCGATGAGTTCTCCTCCAGCCTCCCCAACCAGAGTCTGGGGGAGCAAGAGGAAGGTGCTTACAGGGAGGGGTGCAGGGAGAAGACTGGAGCCGGGTCAGGCCCTGGCCTCACCCTCCCGCTCCCCCTCCCCATCCCCGGCAGTGCTCCTGGCTTCACCCACTGTGGGCAGGACAGAGGCGGTGCCACAAGGTCGCCCCCACCAGGCGGGGAGTGAGGGGTAGTTGCTCCGGCTGACTACTGACAATCGCTCGTGATCGCAGTCGTGGCTCTTGCCTGACATTTTAAAGTGTGTGACATAAATCTTTTCCCCTCAGCCTGCTGGAGAGAGGTAGCATGTCTGTAGGGAGAGTTAGCATGTCTGCTAGAGAGTTAGCGTGTCCTCTACAGTGAGTTAGCATGTCCAGTAGAGTGAGTTAGCATGTCCTCTAGAGTAAGTTAGTGTGTCCACTAGAGTGAGTTAGCATGTCTGCCAGAGTGAGTTAGTGTGTCTGCTAGAGAGTTAGCAGCCATGCAATAGACACTGTCACGTGCTCTTTAAAGGCCGGAGTCCTCTCCTACAAGACCCTGTGTGGTCTATCTCTGACCCCTTCTGCATCCACCAGGGTGCTGTCACCCGCCACCGCCTCTGAACCCTCACCTTGGTCCTTCCCACACCTTTTCCCTCTCTTCCGGCCTTCTCTTGTTACAGGCCCTCATCTGGCAGTTCTCATTTCAAGTCACATGCTCCAGGAGGCCTCTGTGACTCCCTGGTTACATCCTTCCCTTTGTCACTCATACCCCAGAACCCCCTTTCACAGTGCTCATGGTCTATAATCATACATTTTGATTGAGGGATCCTGGGATGGCCTCTCCTTCCCACAAGATCGTAACCTCCATTCAGCCAGAGAACACCCCTTGCTCACCACTGCACCCCCATCCCTAGATCAGAGCCTGGCACACAGAACCAAACGGGCAAATATCTGTGAGCTGAGTAGTGGTCAGACGCCAGGGTATGACTGTACACCTGTGTGCGGTGTGCTGTGTAATGAGCAAATGGGGGTGCACATGTGCCCTGAACCTGATCCGGTGGGGGAGGAGAAGGCACGTGGCTCACGTGGCCAGGGGAAGTGCATTCAGGTGCCACCCAGAGCCAGGGGGCCAGGTGCAGTGGTGCTGGAAGTCAGCCCACACTTGCTCAGAAGAGCCGGGCCAGCATCTCCTCACACCTTTGCAATCAGTAAATCTGAAACTGGCCCCAGTGAACATATTTCTGCCGTGGAGATCAGCCAACATTACAGTTCAGGAGTGTTTCGCCAGGGCTTGTATAGCCTCTGCTGGCCAGATGCACTTACTTCTCCAGCCAATCCGAGCCCTTGGCAGCAGCCTTGGGCTAGCTTGTCTGGGTTCCGACTCCAGCTCACGTTCATACGCTGTGTGACCTTGAGAATGTGGCTTAACCTCTCCATGCCTTGGTTTCCTTGCTAAGCACACCTACCTCGTGTGGAGATAGGGCGAGTTCAACCACAAAAAAACACTGAGAATGTGCCTAGCACAATGTTAAGCATTCAGAGGTGCTAGCTGCAATGATGCTTCAAACACAGCACCAAGAGGAATTCGTATCATTAAAGAGGAAAGATTCTTATTGAAATGTTGCTCCCTGGGCTCTTAGCAAAGACCATGGATGGGGAATCTCACACCCTTGCTCTTGGGGAAACAGCCACCTCCCCACACCCCAGGGCCCAGCACTCACATTGAGGTCCAACTCCAGGAATTCCCCAGTCACAAGTGGAAGACTGGAGAATGTATACTGCACACTTCCCAGTATCCCCAGCGGAATCAGAGCTGCAAGCAAAGATGGGGGTCACAGAGAGGCCAACATCTGCCCAGATGCCTTCCCTCCACGTGCCCATGGCATAATAGTGCAGCGATGCTCCAGCTTCAGTCACCATGGAAAGAACTCGAGTTCCAGGTTCAAATCTCAACTCTGCCCCCTTCTCACCGTGTGACCTTACCCATGACGCTGCGCCTCTCTGAACCTCAGTTTTACCCTCTATCAAATGGGCTTCATGGAACTCCTGAACACTACTGAGAGGAAGGATCCAGGTAAGAAAGTCCTGGCTACCGAGAAGCTTTGTAAACCATGAAGTGGTATGCACCAGGGAATACATTTTAGGTCTCCGCAAGACAGTGCTAAATTGGATCTGGTGCAGCCCAGACTGCTAGTGCTGAGTACCCCCACCTTCTGGGATCTACCTCCCTGGCCAATTTCCATGCATGAGAAAGCCACCCTCAAACTGCCTGGAGAGGAGGAGGAGGGGAGCACCCTCAGGGAGGACTGCACTGCACAGCTGTAGGGGTTGTGCACCTCACAGGGCACACACTCACAACCCTCCTGAATAGGCTTGCCTTCCAGAAGGCACCCTCAGATCCCAGACTCGGCTGACGTGGAGTCCTGCAGGACCCAGGCTGACTCCTCCAGCCTGTGCTTCTTGCTCTCCGGCCCCTTGGTGGCCAAAGTCAAGCCCTCACTCAAGCCTAGGCAACCCGGAGAGAGTTTCTTCAGCCCCACGGAAGCCAGGCCAGAGCCAGGGCTGCAAGTCAGCGGCCTGATCCATAAGGGATAGTGGGGGATGTGAGGGTTCAAGAGGGAAAGGCAGAAGAGCCCTCTCTCATCACACGGGCCAGCCTGAGAGGCATTGGCTCACAGTGCTAAGTCCACAAAGTATCTCCAAGGCTGGGCAGACAGGGCTGGTCCACAGAAGGGCAGCACGCAGGACTTACAGTCCACGAGACCCAGCTGGTCATTGACAAGTCCCAGCACCACGTCCACGATGGGGCAGAGCTGGAGGGGAGAGACAGCAGGGAGTGGGTACAGTGTGTGGCTGGGGTCACAGGCGCATGGGCAGGGATCACCCCAGGGTGCTACTCTCCGCTCATGCTCTGCTTGGTGCTGGCCTCCCATCACCTCAGGAAAGGGCCTCTTAAGACTCCCATTTTACATATGGGAACACTGGAACTGGGAGAGGGGTTAGAGCATGCCTGAGCTGGGGCACACGTCCAGCCAGCAGGACCCTTCTCTGCATCCTTGCCTTTCACTAATCTGTCCCTCTGTCCCTCAGGCCCCTTCCCAGACCCTCAAGGACCTGATTCGGCCTGATGATGCCCTGCAGACCCATAGAATGAAGCTGGTTGGGGGCCCTGGGTCCAGGGAAAGTCAGGAACCCTGTTTCCCTCCCACCCCAGCAGAGGTGCTTACCAAGTCAGGGAGGACGTTGGCCAAGACTCTGTTCACTAAGTTGTCCACCAGGTTGGGCAGAAGCCTAAGGAGAGAGCACTGGGGTGAGGGGGGCTTATCCTCCTGCCTAGAGTTGGGGTCTTGAACCCAAGTTCTGACTGAAGCATGAGAGCCCTTGAATGCTGAAAAATTGTTCTGGAAGCTGGAAGACTGTGCAGCTTCACCCTACACATGACTGGAAGCTACTCAGGAAAACTGTCTTTTCATCCATCCGTCTATCCATCTATCCATTCATACAGCAATCTGATCCATTCATCCGTCTACCTGTTCATTTACTCATTCATCCATCCATCCATTCATTCATCGATTCATCTACCGTTCATCCACCTACCGACTCATTCATCCATTCACCAATTCATTCATCTATCCATCTAATCGTCCATCCATCCATCCACTCATTCAATGAACAACTTTTTCCTGAGTTCTATGATGGGACAAGTCCAGGCTGGAACATGCCTGATTTTTAACTGCAGAACTCATTCCCTCCTGCTCATCTCCCCACCTGAGGGCTGTTTGTTACAACTTTGTGTAATCTCCCCAAAGAGAAACCGAGCACATCACGTTACCCATGCACCTAACACAGTACTGGGCATACCATAAGAGCTCAATGCATGTGTGTGGAAGAGAGGGAAGGAGTGATGATGGCCAATGAAATGTGCTCATTGCGGGCTGGAGTTATGGGCCAGTGGGCAAGGCATTTGCCTTGCATGTGGCCAACCCAAGTTCAATCCCTAGCATCACATATGGTCCCCTGAGCACTTCTGGGAGTGATTCCTCAGTGCAGAACCAGGAGCAACCCCTGAACATCGCCAGGTGTGACCCAAAAAGCCTAAATAAATAAATAAATAAATAAATAGTACTGTAGCACTGTCCTCCCATTGTTCATCAATTTGTTTGAGCGGGCCCAGAATGTTTCCATTGTGAGACTTGTTGTTACTGTCTTTGGTATATCAAATATGTCACGGGTAGCTTGCCAGGCTTTGCTGAGTGGGCGAGATACTCTTGGTAGTTTGCCGGGCTCTCCGAAAGGGGTGGGGGAATCGAACCCAGCTCATCCGGGCTGGCTTTATACAAGGCAAACGCCCTACCACTGTGCTATTGCTCCAGCCCTAAATAAATAAATAAATAAAAATGAAATGTGCTGATTGGTCCATTGGTCCAAGAGAAAAGCAGAAAAGATGGGGCACGGTGATCCATCTAAAGACAAAACAACTGAGGTCTAGAAGTGCCTCTAGATTAAGTTCTAAATGTATCATCCAGCTTTAACCTAATTCTAACCAATTCATTAAGAAAGGAGAGAGAGGGGCTGGAGCAATAGCACGGCAGGTAGGGCATTTGCCTTGCACACAGCCAACCCAGGTTCGATTCCCAGCATCCCATATGGTCCCCCAAGCACCGCCAGGAGTGATTCTGAGTGCAGAGCCAGGAGTAACCCCTGAACATCGGCTGGGTGTGACCCCCCCCCCAAAAAAAAGGAGAGAGAAAACACATAGCTGGACAGACAGAGTATTAGTTTCCTAAGTCCCTGCAGTAATGAGAAAATGAGAATGTGGGACTACTCTTACACAAAGTGTGTCCAATCGCCAACAGCTTAACTCCTTAAAACATCCCCCTCCCGTGGCTGAAGAGACAGTGCAGAGGTTAAGGTGCTGTTCAATCCCCAGCACCACATGGTCCCCCAAGCATTGCCCTGTAAGACCTGGAGACCCCTGAGAGCCTCCAATGTGACCAGGGAGTCCCAGCACCACAGAACTCAAACAGCCCAGTTGGCCTTGCTGGAAGGGTCCCCCCACCCTGGCCTCCAGAAAATCACTTAGGAGCCCTTGCCTGTCAAAATCCCCCTTCCTCTACTGCCATGCATCTCTGCCTACGTCCCAGCCAACCCCGCACCTAGCTGGTCTAGTTTAACAAAGCGAAACTTTCTTTTTAGGTTGTGGGGGCTCCACCTGGAGGCGCTCAGAGGACCATGTGGCATGCCAGGGATGAGCCCAAGTCGAACTTGTGCAAAGCAAGCGCCTTATCCTCTGTACTTTCTCTCCAGCCCCACCAGGAACTTCTTGAGATAAAGTCCTAATAAAACTTCAGACTTAAGAACATTTCTTAGAACATTTCCCCTGCATCTACAGTCACCCCCATTTCCCAGCTGATGAGGCAGGGCTTGGGGTGAGAGAGGGGGGCTGCAGAGGTGCCCCAAGTTCCCCCACGAGGAAGAGGATGAGCAAGGCATGAACTTTCCCAGGACCTGGGCTCTTAGCTGGGGAGAGGGTGCCAGATTAGCCCACTCCCCCCATGGCTCCCACTACCCACTAGTCCTCACCCGCGCAGCAGCTTGACTTTGATGCCCCCCAGGAGGGTGTCACATCGCTCAATCACCAGCCTCGGGTAGCCTGTGCGGTCCATGGTCAGCCTGACCTTGGCAGTGATGTTCACTTCCACTGCGATGTCCAGGAAGCCGATCAAGCTGTGAAGGGACATGGGGCCAGGGGCAATGGGTCAGACCCCCCAGGAGGTCATGGAAACAGGGGTCAGTGATCAGAAACCTCACAAGGGAAGGGAGAGGGTGGAAACAGGGGCAACTGGGTCACCTTCCTCTAGGTGGACCTGCTGCCTTCTTGGACATGTCACCCTTCGTGACTCTTCGTGACTAGTATCCCCAGCCAGCAGGCTTCCCTGGCCCATGGAGACACCTGTCCAGCTCTCTGGTGAGGAGTGCTGCAGGGACCTGGACAGAGGTCAATTCTGGCTGCCCAGGACACTGTCCAGGCACACGCCTAGCTGGGTGGAGATGGCCCCGTCCCATAGGCATAAACCCTGTGTATGTACATCCTCAAGGACCTCTCCTGCCAGCACCAGCCATAACCGGCCTCAGGGTCTTATGTCTCTGCTGTCCTGCCCTGTGTCCACCTGGGAACAGAAGTGTCCCATGGCCCTCAGGGAAAGACCCTAAGGCTCAGCCAGGCTAGGGGACTGGTCCAGGGTGACACTGCTTAAAAGAAGGGATCCAGATGGAATCTGAACTCCCAAGTGCCCCCACCACACAGGGCGGCAAGCAGAGCCCCAGGATCAGCCCCGCCCACACTGGCACCCCATTAGGTCTTGGTGGACAGGAAGCCGTGGTGGAGAGAAGGGACCCCCCCCCACCTGCTCGAGCTCTCCCAGCCAGGACGGGGCCTGGGGACCCAACGCCCGGGGCACGCACCTCTTCCCATTGATAGCCACACGTGTGTACAGACTCAGGTAGACGCCCACACCCGGCAGGAGCCTCACGGACACCCGGGGCAGGGTCAGCTCCACGATGCGCAGCCTGCACAGGAGGCAATGGTCAGAGCGAGGCCACCCAGCCTGGCCCCAGCTCACCCAGGGGGTCCCCCACCTCACGTCTCCATTCTGCACCCCACCCAGCGCCCGACTCTGCAGAGACCCAAAGCTAGTGATGAGAGTTGGGAAGACACAGAGATGCAGCCAGAACCACGACCCTACCTTGCCCTCTTATGCCCCCTGGGGTTCCCTCGGGAGATTCTGTTTCCGGTCAAGAGGCCCTTCCTGCTGCTTAGTCCTCTCCTTCCGCCTGGTTCCTCTGACACCTGTCCAAGGTCCTCTTCCTCCGGGAAGCCCACCCCCCCTTCTCCCTGTTATGCACACCGACATTTCTCCAGGATGCCCTCTGCACTACCCCTGATCACTAGCCTCCACGCCATCCCCAGCCTGCAGATCCTGGGAGAATAGGAGATGTGGCCATGGGGCACAGGTGCTTGGGGTCAGGACTCTGCGGCCATCCCACTGTCATCCCCGTGGAAACCCTAAATAGCTGTTCTGGGAGTGGATCTCGGGGGTGAGAGGGTTCACAAATGCAGAGATTTAAATTCTCCAACACTGTTGCTTGAATATTCCAGCTATGGAGGTTCTGCAGATAAGGGAAACTGAGGCAGAAAAAAATGACTCAATGCCACACAGAAAAACAAAGACTTGAGTTGGGACTCAAATCTAGATATGGGACAGCTTGGGACTTAAAGCCAGACAAGTTGGCTGAGCCCTGACAACTGTCCCTCCTCCACCCCCAGGCCTCTTGAGGGGAAAGCGCCTCTGTTTGCAGTTGTACTGGGGGGGTTGCTGGGGACAGCCTGGCCCCTCCTTACCCTGTAATGCCCTGCACGGTGCTGAGGATGCCGCCCTCACCAAGCACGCCCAGGACGCCTCCTCCTCCAAGAAGTCCTCCGTCACCAAGGAGACCACCTCCGCCGAGCAGGCCCCCTTGGCCCGCCAAGATGCCATCCGCCGCCAGCATGCCGCCGGTGCCCAGCAAACCACCTGGGCCCAGTGCCCCGGTGGCCACGCCGGGCGGAATCTCTCCCGGCCGCAGCTCTCGCCGGTGAAGCCGGCCCACGGTGCCCGTGCCTTCCGCGGACCTATACCGCCCGCGGTCCCTGTGGGCGCTGTACGCATTCTCGCCATTCCGGAGGTCCCTGACGCTGCCGTCGGACTCGAGGATCTCACCGTATCGGTATTTGCCCCCCAGCTGAGCTGTGTTGTCGTTGGTCTCGATGTGACCATACTTGTAATTCCCCCCGAGCTGGTAGCCATTGGTGTACTTAGGGGGGGGGTTGCGGACGTGGAAGTCATTGTAGGGAACACCACCGACACCTCGGGGAAATTCAGCACGTCTGTAGTCGTCGTAGCGGTGCCGGCCACCGCCCAGGAGACCACCACCGCCCAAGAGACCACCGCCACCACCACCCAGCAGCCCGCCACCGCTGCCCCCCAGCAGACCCCCGCCATGACTGCTGCCACCCCCCAACAGGCCCCCACCACCACTGCTGCCACCCCCCAATAGACCACCACCACTGCTGCCACCCCCCAATAAGCCACCACCGCTGCCCCCCAGAAGACCTCCACCATGACTGCTGCTACCCCCCAATAGACCACCACCACTGCTGCCACCCCCCAATAAGCCACCACCGCTGCCCCCCAGAAGACCCCCGCTATGACTGCTGCCACCCCCGAGTAGACCACCACCACTGCCCCCCAGAAGGCCCCCACCACCGCTGCTGCCACCCCCCAAAAGCCCACCACTGCCCCCCAGCAGCCCCCCACCACTGCCCCCCAGCAGCCCCCCACCACTGCCCCCAAGAAGCCCCCCACCGCTACTGCCCCCGCCCCCCCATGTGCTCTCACTACTGCCGCCACCTCCCAGGAGCCCCCCACCACTGCCGCCACCGCCCAGGAGCCCCCCACCACCACTGCCACCCAGTAAGCCTCCGCCGACTCCCCCCAGTAAGTCGTCACCCCCCTCCACCCCCACCACCAAGCAGGCCCCCCAGAAGGCCCCCCCCTCCACCTCCGCCTCCACCGAGCAGCCCCCCCAGGAGCGGCCCGCCACCGTCTCCACCAGCTTTACCCATGGGCACCTCTCTCAGGGCCGAGCGCAGGGCGTCACTCTGCTGCAGGGTGCCTGAGATGGCTGCGGGGAGCAGAGAAGGGGGGGGTGGTCAGGCCTCTGTGCTTCCTCCAGCCGCCCCTCCCTCCCCAGTGGGAATCTGCTGGAGTCTTAGGGTGGGAAGACCTGGCGGACCTGGTGGGCACCCGGAGCGCCTTAGCTGCTGGCCCCGACCTGCTCGCACTTTGGCTGGCTTTCCAGCCAGGCTGGAATCAGGGGTCCTCCTCCTCACCCTCCCTGCCAGTGCTCCATGCCCCATCTTTAACAAAATAATAATAATAACAACAACAACAATACCACTTCCACCCCTAGAGATAGCTCCGCTGACTGACCGGAGCTCACGCTCAGCACACAGAAAGCCCAGCTGAGACTCCCAGCCACACACGGTCCCACAGCACTGCCGGGAGCAGGTCCTGTGCACTGAGTCAGGAGTAGGCATAAAGCACCACCAGGCCAAGCATTTAAAAAAAAAAAAAAAGATGGGGCTGGAGCGTTAGCACAATGAGTAGGGTGTTTGCCTTGCACGCGGCTGACCCGGGTTCGATTCCCAGCATTCCCATATGGTCCCCTGAGCACTGCCATGAGTAATTCCTGAATGCAGAACCAGGAGTAATCCCTGTGCATCACCGGGTATGACCCAAAAAGCCAAAAAATAATAATTAATTAATTAATTAATTTTTTTTATAAAAAAAAGGAGAGAAAACCCTATTCCCCATGCATTTGCCCTATTGATTCTAAGGAAAGTTAGGGCCAGATTATTGTCCCTGCTGGGTAACAGAGGTTTTGACTCTCAGGTCAAAATATCTCCATTTTCTTTCTCCTGAGAGTCAGGCCCGGGAGTGTGTCTGCTCTTGTGAGACGACGGGAGTGCAGACCCAAGAACTGGAGGGAGGAGCAGTTAGGGGTCCCCCTTCAGAGGGCCTTCTGCAGCCCAGGAACGATGCTCAACTCTCAAAAACTCCTCCCGTTTAACTGGCCCTTGTTTAACCCTCTCACTTTATAACAATCCTTGAAGTGGAGACTGTGGTTTTATCCACTTTGCAGATGAGGAAACTGAGGCCAGAGCCCTCCAGTCATTAGTTAAGGTCACAGTCAGCATTTGAACTCCAAGAAGCCAACCCCTGCCCCAAGCAAGCTCTTAGTCACTAGTTTCTTACTCATGACTCCAGTGAAAAGTCCCCAGCCTTGAGGCTAGAGCGATAGCACAGTGAGTAAGGCATTTGCCTTGCACGTGGCCGACCTGGGTTCGATTCCCAGCATCCCATATGGTCCCCCGAGCACTGCCAGGAGTAATTCCTGAGTGCATGAGCCAGGAGTAACCCCTGTGCAACTCCGGGTGTAACCCCCACAAAAAAAAGCAATAGAAAAAAAAAAGTAAAGAAAAGTCCCCAGTCTTGAACTCCTGGTACCAAACAGGAGTTCAAGAAAATGACTGTCTAAAGCATAAGGGGAAACGAAAACCCAGAGAAGAGAAATTTTTTTATCCATGTGACAGAATCTGGTGTAGAGGGGAGTGCTATCACAGTAGGCTGGACTTCTGTCACATACACACACACCCCTGCACCACTGGCCTGGACTCACCATTGCTCAGCACATCTTTGGTAACTCGGAGGACAGTGTTTGTGTCTTGGCGGGCACCACACACGGCCGCCACGGTCAGAGCAGCCACAAGCCACGACGTCCACATGCTGGCACTGTTTCTCTGCTGGGGAGACAGTGAACCCCATGGCAGGGCAAGCTGCCACCCCAAGCCAGAGGATGCTGGGGCCCCAAGACAGGGGAAGGGGACCCAACGCCAATCCTGGGATGAGGGTCCCAATTCTGATACAACCCTCCCACATCTTTTTTGCATGTTGATACTCTGGAAACACATCGCCAACCCGAGAAGCAAACCGTTTCAAAAACATGGATGTTTGGTTAGCTCCCAAGTTGAAATTCTCAAGTGCAACCTTGAGGAGCAATGGGGGTTGCCAACAAAACAGTGAATTGTTGGCCCACAGGCGTTGGGGCAATCTCCCCAGCATCTGCTCATCTGCCCCTCTCTCCACCTCTCCATCCTTCCCTGGACCCATCCATCCTTCTATCCTGCTTCCCATCTCTCCATCAACCGCCATGGTCTAGCCAGCCAACCGTCACCCTTTGGACAAGGCAAATCTACATTCTGCATTGCAGACCCAGAGCCCAGGGCAAGAGCCCTCTGGGTTCTAACTCTCAGGCGAGGGGCCCTCCTTGTGCACCCCTGCAGCTCCGTCCCCTGCATGTTGGATCTGATATACTCCAAACGCCCCACTAACAACAGCTCTTGCTGTCATTTGGGGACTCCTATTTCAGATCCCTAAGTGGGGTGATGTGTTAGGAAATTGGAGGGGTGAAGCATGCATTTGACGGGGACCTTACTTTGCTTCCTCCATGCCCTTGCCCACGTCTCTCCCTCCCTCTGCCCCATCTACCCTGACACGGCTCTTAGAGAACCAGCTCAAGACAAGCTTCTGTCCAGGTCAAGCTGAGAATGTTGCCTAATTCCTCCACCCTCCACCTTTGCACCTGCTTCCTTTGCCCTGCCCCCAGCTCTCTTTCACAAAGCTCTGGTTTCCTCTGCGCACCCCAGAGGAATATGAGGGGTTCTTGCTGATTCTAGAGTATGGAGTACTGGTATGTACTAGGAGTCTTCTTTCCTGAACCCCTCTCCTCATCCTAACCACACTGCTCAGAAAGTTCCGGGTTAGGAATCCCGTGGTTAAAGTGATGGACCCTGACTGAAGGATGTCAGACATCAACAAATGAGCACCAAGCCCAGGGGAGAAGCAAAGTTCCCGGGGCCCCCCACATGCCCAGGGTACAGATCTCCTCTTCCCTGTGGCTTCCCAAGCAAGTCTCCTACAAATCCCATTTTACAGGCAAGAAAACTGAGGCTCAGAGAGGTCACTGCATGGGTGTCCTGTCTGGGATTCCCCTGCCCGCCTCCTTTTCCCCTTTAGCCCAGGCATTAAATAGGGAAGGGGTTCCTCCTTACCCCCAGGAGGTCCCTGCTGTGGAGAGGTCCCGGTCACGGGACCCTCTGCTTTTGGCCAAGTCTGGTTACCCGTCAGCCTTATATAGCAGCTGGTGTCTGAGCCCAGACCCCGAGCGGGTCACACCGTGTAATTACAAGACACCGGAATCCAGATTGGCTCCGCGAATCAGGCTCTGAGCTCCCAAACCACAAAGGTTTGCGGTTAGCGCCTAATTCCGAGAGTTGTGCTCAGCCCCGGATGGTGTCACACGAGCCGGGCTTTATCAGGCCCTAGTCTGGGCACATTCCTGGAGACCCCGGCACAGCCCCCCAACCGGAGAGCTGGAGACACCCCCACAAGCTCCTGTATGCTAGGTCCAAGGCGGGCTTGTCTGCACCCAGAAGGCCTGGACGAGGCTGCCAGGCTGGGACCTCAAATCAGGCTGACCTCAGCTGCTCCGCACCCCCATTCACTGCATGACCCCGGCAGCAGCTGCTTCCCTTCTCTGAGCCTCCCACTCTTTCCATCTGTGAAATGGGCGTGCGGCCACCTCCCAGTGTCCACTCGTGGGACTCAGACTCTCTGCTTTACGCAGTTGGGTCCCGGTGCAAAAAGAATGAGCCGATGTGTTTTTATTGGTTTGTTCACTTGTCTGGTTGGTCGGTTGTTTGTTTGATCTGCAAAAGGTTTTCTTGCGCTATTTGCCATGAAATGTTGAGATGTGTACAGGAACACCAAGTTCCTTCTTCTCTGACCCCCATCGCTCTATCTCCACCAATGCTTCACTCTACCTGCCTTACTGCACATCTGACTGTCTCTGCTCACACATTTCAGAGTAAGTTTAAGGCCCCAGAACAGGTCCCCCTGGACACCCCAGGTGACACCAGGTGACACTTTCTGCAGCCGTGGAATTCACATATCACTCTGTTTATGAATCTTAAGCATTTATTGGTTGATTTTCTGCACTTCATACAGTCCTGCAGCCCACAGCCCAGTCTAGAGCACTTCCATCAGCCCAGAATATTCCCTCCCGCCCCTTCCCAGTCAATTCCTCTCCCACCTTGGGGCAAGAGCAACATTACAGCGGGTAAGGCTATACTTGCGTTGGATGAGGTGACCTGAGTTTGATCTCTGGCACCCCACGTGGTCTCCCAAGATCCCGTAGGATATGATGCCTGCGCTCAGAGCCAGGAATGAGCCCTGAGCACCACCAGGTGTGGCCCCCAAAATAAAACAAAACAAATATCCCTTCTCGGAGGCAGCCGCTGCCCCCTCCAAGGCCCAGTGGGGCACTGTCCAGACCTCTTCTTAAGCACTTCAGAGAGATGTGGCATCCACACAAGGTCCTGCTCCCATTGCTCATTTCATACACACACACACACACACACACACACACACACACACACACACACACACACCAGCCTCCTTGCTACAGGGCCTTTACACAGGCAGTACCTAGTCTGTTGTAGAATACTCCTCTCCAGAAAACAGTTGTGTCAGTCCCACAGAACGACAGCAACTTCAGGATGTGTTTTGTGCCGAATCCACCCCCACCCTACCCCGCACCCCTCCCCTCCGTGTCTTCGGGGCCAGGTGGTGGGGCTCAAACAGCCAAGGCGGGACTGCTCTCCACTCCCACGGGTACAAATGGCAGAGTGGGACAGGTGGCAGCGCTCTCTCCCTGGGCAGGGGGCATCAGAATCAGAGACTCTTCCAGGACTCAGCACCGGACTAGGTGACCCCTGCCCCCCATCCCATGGTCACTGGGGCCTGCCTGATGCCTCCTGTGGGGTGAGGGGCATGGCCTCTCCCCCAGGGCCCGCATGCCGTGGGGCTCGGCAGAAAGTGTGTCTTCCTGGACTCGGAACAGACTTTCTCTCCTTCTGGGGATCACTGAGGCTCAGAAGATAGGCCAGTTGGCATCAGTCCTACTTGGCCAGCCTGACTCTGGGTTGAGTCTGGCCCACCACAATCCTGCCCGCTGAGCTGCCAACTGTGGCGTGGGCATGGACAGGAATTCCTGCTGGCTCTCCCCAGCCCTCCTCTGGCTTTGGGGATGGATACCTGCAGGGCCTAGCTCAAAGCATCATCTCAGTCTGCAAAGAGAACAAGGGGTGTGTGTGGGGGGGAGGGTCAGCACCAGGGAGGAGAAAAAACAAAATGAAAATGTTGAAAACAAAGAAGAACCCAAAAAGAAAAAGAAGAAAAAACAAAAGAAAAGAAAGAAAAAGAAAAAAATTTTTAAGGAAAGAAATAGTGCTGAGAATAGGGCCTGGCAGACAACAATGGGTTCTGGCTTTGTTGTTCTGTTTATTTCATGTGGTCACTTCTAGAGTAGCTTGGCTGGTATCCGTGGACCCTTGGGTGCATCTCTCACACCAGGCGTCACTCCAGGCCACTAGGCCCACACCTAGCGGTGCTGAGGCAGAGCAAGCGATAGTTCTGTCTTCATCATTCCAGAACCCTGATGAATCCAAGTGGGTGCTCCAGCCTGGCCTTTAGCACCACAGTCACTCACACCTCCCATCTGCCCTGTCCTCCCCTCTGGGGCCTCAGTCTGGCCATCTGAGAAATGGACCTTCCCCAACAGGGTCGGGAGGATCCCAGAGGAAGCTCTGTAAACAGCAGTGCTCCCTTGCCTGCACTTAGCGGCAGAGATCCTTAGGAAATTAAGACGCTGCTCTTTTTTCCCTAAGATGTTACCGTTTGGAGCGAGCACATGTGATGGTGCTGGGCTGGCTTCCTCCAGCATGCAAAGCACAGCTGGGTCCTTGGCGCTAACTCTGGGGGCCCCTGTTATGTTCTGTAACTGAAATTCATGGGCAGCAGCTAAGCCCTTCCGGCTGTGGGAGCAATGCACACAGCAGCCTCTAGGGGGCGATGCTCACACGGAGGTGATGCTCACCAGCAGATGGGGGCTACGTGCTTCTCCTCAGAGCTGAGGCCAGTCACCCAGTCACGTCCCGGGGGCCACGGAGGGGGGGGGGGGGGGCGGGCAGCGGGCTGCTCCCCTGGGGCCCGAGAGGATTAGCATGGCTCTGGCGCCAAGGAGATCACGGGACTGAGCTTCCAAAGGCTCTATTGTCTGCAGCGATAGGACCAGGCCGTGGGAGGTGACACACCTGAAGGTGACTGGGCCCGGGGACCACATGGGGACTCAGGCAGGGGCAGGCTCCAGGCTCTGGGAAACACAACCAGCCACAGCACCAAGGCCTCACTCAGCTTCCATCACCCGCATGCACAGCCAGCTCCCCTGCCCTAACCCCTCTCACCCCAACCCATACCACAGGCTGCTGAGTGCAGCTTCAGGGCACCCTGAACCTCTGTTCCACAAGCCCCGCCCAAGGACAGAAGTTTAGAGGCTGAGCCTTGGGGCCAGCGGACCTGGGCTCACACTCCAACCTCACGATGCCCTGGCTGTGTGGTCTTGAGCAAGTCACTCAACCTCTCTGGGGCTGTTTCCACTGTCATGGAATAGGGCAAACATGACTGCTGGAGAGTGGAGTGATTCAGGACCTGGGGTATCACGTACCTAGTATACCTGGCACAGTGTCAGGCACCTGGCAAGCACACAAGAAACAGAGCAAGCTCAGCTTTCATGACAGAGATGTGGAGACGCTGATTCGAATCCTGCCTCTGCTACTTAGAAGTTTTCAGTCCCGTAGTCCTGGTCTCAGCCTCCTCATACGGGGGGTATGGGCCCAATGGAGCAGTCCTCGAGTATGAGGACTCCAACACAGTGGGTGTTCGGTGGGGGTGAGCTGTTCTGTGCAGCCATGAGCCCAACAGACAAAGCAAAAACACTCCCTGACCCTGCAGGCAAGTGGGCCTGAGTGGGTTTGGGGGGTGAACACCTTGGCAGACGCCCAAGGCACAGGGAGGCAGAGGCTGCTCTGAGGGGTGGCAGGAATGTGCCAGCTATGCTTGGAGGAGGTGAATGCCCAAGGAGGAGGGAGAAGCCAGGTTCAGGTCTGGGTTCTGACTAGGCATCCATTGCCCTGGGGCCAGATGCTTTCAAGAAGGTCTCCTTGAATCCTCGTGGGCTGACAACACTCCCATTTCACAGAAGAAGAGACTGAGACACAGAGGCAATGCAGCTCCTCTCCACACTCCTGGAGGAATCGGCTAGGTGGCCCTCGGGGCCAGACCAGGGCACTTGTGGGACTTCCTGCTGGCATGGAGAATCAGGCCACTGAAGGACTGTCAGTGATGCGAGCTGGTCAGATGAGTCCCGAACAGGATGGAGGAGAGGAGGCCAGGAGTACGGGAGATGAGAGAGATGAGGAGGGGTCACTGTGCCCAGAGAGGACGTTCCAGATGTTGGCATGGCCAGGGAGAACCACGCAGCAGTAACCTAAGCACCTCTTCTTGCCAACTGGCATCCTCAGACCTTTTTGAACCCTCAGAACTTTATCCCTATCACTCTATCACCCTAGAGTCGTTGGTGAAGAAATCAAGGCTCCAGCCGTTGGTGACTTGCTAGGAGCCACATCGATAGCCAACAGCAGGGATGGAACACAGGCAGCCTCAGCACTGTCCTGACTGTGGGTTGGGAGGTACTAGGAGCAGGAAAGCAATCAAAAAGCACTGGATCTGGCACGTAAGAGGGGCCACTCAATGAGAGGTGGGTGCACAGGACGAAGTGCAGAAGGAAGAGAGAGGGAAACAGGGAAGAATGGGTGGATGGATGAGTGGGTGGATGGATGGATGGATGGATGGATGGATGGATGGATGGACGGACGGACGGACGGACTGGATGGATGGATGGATGGATGGATGGATGGATGGAAAAATAAATGGATGAGTAGGTTGAGGATGGATGGATGGATGGATGGATGGATGGGTGTATGGATGGATAATAGGTGGGTGGGCAGACAGGTGGATGGATCGATTGGATGGATGGATGGATGGATGGATGGATGGAAACATAAATGAATGAGTAGGTGGGGGATGGATGGATGGATGGGTGTATGGATGGATAATGGGTGGGTGGACAAGTGGGTGAATAGATAAGAGGGTGGGTAGATGGATGGATAGATAGTAAGGGGACGGATGAGTGGGGGGAAATATTCACAATGTCATTCTTTTTGGAAGATAGTCTTCCAAGTGGGTCCAGTTCTTCTCTATCCCCCTGATCCAAATCCTCTGAGCAAGTTACCCAGATTTCATGGGCCTCTTTTCCCTCCAGCTCCCATAAGTATTAAGTAGGGCAATTCCCCAGAACCAAGAATGCCCATCTGGAGTGAATGGGAGAATTCCAGGATCCAGTGACAGGTTCACACTTTCCCATCCTCACCATGCCACCCTGTGGTCTGGGCTTCAATGTCCCTGCCTGCGTTTCCAGTCCTTCGTGCCACTGTGTTCTGAGGACCTGCTGAGATGTGCCCTCGGTGATGTACAGCCAGTGGGGTTCCCTAGGGGGAGGCAGGACCTGTCTTACTTGTCCTTGTTTCCCTGTGGGCGGGGCCCAGGGGGCTGGTTCCTTGTCTTTCTGGAAGACGCCAAGCCATTGTTCTAGTTAGTTATTGCAGATGTCACTTCTAAAAATATCTCAAGGCCAGAGAGACAGACACAGACACGCTCAGAGACAGTGAAAGGCTGAGCTACTGGGTGAGCAGCGGTGACACCATGCACCGGAAGCAAGGCAGGACAGAGAAACTGCCCGGATTAAGCAGACACAAAAGTGCAATGACTAAATGCCCCCTCACCTTCCAGAAACCTCTGCCTGGGGCTAGGAGGACATGGAAGGGAAAGGCCACAGCGCCCTCTGTGGGATTGGGTACAAACCAGCCGGAAGGTGCTGAGTTCGAGGAGGAGTTTATTGAAAGCTCAGGACATGCCCAGTGCTCTCTACCCCAGGGTAAGGTGGATGCTCCTGATCAGGTGGAGGACAGAGAGACAGGGTCAGAGCACCAGGGGCGCCGGGTAGGTGAGGGAAGACTGTCACCAACACGGGCTAAACACTGCAAGGGAAGTTGAGACAGAATGGGCAGGTAGAAGGCGGGCGATCAAGCGGGACGGTGGCCATCTAGCAGCCTCAGGACGCCACAGTCAGCACAACCGCATTCTGCAGGGAGCAATGATCTCAGTTAGGCCCCGGGCCAAATGCCCACATCTCCGCCTCCTCCCCACCACATGCCCTGGACTGAGCTCTGGGCCTGGAACTCAGCGGGCACTCACTAAATGGACGAGTGACCGATGCATCTGACACAGGTCACCAGTGTGGAGACAGTAGCGGCCAAGTTCCAGGGCCACTTCTGCTACAAATTTACCGTGACCTCAAGCCAAAAATTTGCTCTTTGGCTTTGGTCCTGCTCTGAAAAAATGGGTCTGGGACCCCCTGCCCAGCCCACCTCCTGCAGCCATCCAAAGACTCAAAGTCACAGCGGCAGGACCAGGTTTGGGAGGCAATGCTGACCTTCAGCAAGAACAACCAAGATCTGTGGAGTACCCAGCTCCAGGCAGAGGAAGGGAGAGACAGAACACACACATTGCATCCCTAGACCTGGGGACCATGGTTCTGAGGGGATGTGAGCTCCCATCCTACAGGCTGGGTCTGAATTGAGCAGGTGGCCCACGACAAATCTTTGCCACTCCCAAGGCAAGGAACGTGCACTTCCCTCAGCAACTTAAAAAAAAACAGTGTGTTGCTCCTCTCAGGAGTCTGAAGCAGGACACTCACCATCCCAGCAAGGACACTCACCTCTATGATATCCAGGACAGCATTGGCAAAGTTGACATTCAGCACTTTAGGCAGGGGAATGCCAACGTCCAAGTCCACTGTAAGAGAAAATGATTGAAAGTTTGAAAAGCCAGAGTAGAGCGCAGAAGTCTCTCTAAGTCTAATGGCAAACTCCTATGGATCCTCTTAAACCCAAACAAAAATGTCCCTTTCCTGAATCATCATCAATTGCTCTGTTGAGGGGTTCGTCAGTCCCCGGCACACTAGTCATTTGTTTATATGACCATTTCCCTCTGGATTTTAAACCTGAGGCTGAGCCTCGGGTTAGACAGTCCCTGCGTCAGGAGTGAAGCAGGTTCTAATCAATGTTGGGTAAGTAGAAGCATAGACGTTTTGAAGGTTTCTGCAGCTTACAACAGGAGACCAACCCTCCCAGTATCAGTGTCCTTATCAGAACAATGGAGCCGCCAACAGATCCTACCACACGTTCCCTTACCGTTGAGCTTTGGCACATAGGCCACCCGGATGACCTGGCTGAGCCATTCCTCAAGGCGAGAAGCCTGTGACAAAGAAGAGGGTTCGGGGGGAGTAAATTCAGGTCCAGCTGCCAAACCACCCCCGAATCGGAGGACACCACTCCTGCTGGGCACAGGGCCCACTGCTGTGGGCTTTCCACCAGTGACCACCCAGGACACTCCCTGGTTTCAGCTGACCTCACTCTGGGCCCCACAAGCTCGGACAAGTGGAACTGTGTTCCAAGAAAGAGTCGGTGGGCCCAGAAAAGGGCTGACCCCGGGAATAGGGGGAGGGCGTGTTCCACTCCAGTAGAACTGCATGTGGTCTCATCTTAGATTCCCACCAACCTAGAAACCCAGAGAATGTTCCAGAATCTGTAGCCATCATGAGATTCCATGTCCTCAGACCTTTAAAAAGCAGATGACAAAGAACTCTCAAAGTCCAAGTGCAAGAGATTTAGAGCTTGGGTAAGGTTCCAGAGCTTTTGTTCTGCCCTGTAAAATTCTATAATGAAGACTTCCGAACTTATATGGACTATGTCCCATTTTCAAAAGGAGAAAAAAATGTCACTCAGTGCCCCCTGGAAATGTTCCTCTTCGAAGTGAATACATAGAAAGCGCCTCCCAAATGGTGTCAGACTACTGCCAGCCCTCTGGATGTTTCCATTGCCCCCACCCATAGTGGGATCTCCAACTTTGGGAAACATTACTTTAAATGTTGACTGCTTGGTGAGTCTCCGAGACTTTTGAAAACCCTGAGTCTCTTTTCTAAGAGATGTGATGTACTGCTGATATGACATACATCCCCCCCAAACACATCTGTCCAATTGCCTTCCCACTCTGATGGGGGGGGGGGGGAGGGAGGTGTGGCAGGATGAGGGAGACTGATACATCAGTCCAGTCACGTGGCTTATCCTACACCCCCTGGAGACCCTCAACACCTCCCAGCCGTTGGACCCCAACAACTTACATCGAAGGGATGGGCAAAGGAGGAAGCCAGCTTGGCACTGAGCCTGGGGGAAAGAAGAGAGAGGGTGAAGGGCCCAGCCCCCACCCTGCATGAGCTCTGCCTGCGCCCAGGTGTCTGGGGGGCAGGCAGTAGCCCTGACTCTGCCTCTCTCCATTCTCAGTTCTGCCGCGTGTGTACAGATCCGGGCGGGTGTGGGTCGGGAGTCCTGCGGTCCCGGTCTCACTCCCTGCACACAGCCCAGCCCCTTTAGGGAAAGACCCCCACACAGTACAGGGTGACCTGCACTCCGCAGGGGCTCAAAAAAGGCAGAGGCCACAGGTCACAGAGGGTCACTGCTGCACATCCCCACACAGATGCACCCCCCCCACACACACACACACACATACACACAGACGCATGCCAGCCCAGGTGCAGAGAACCTTCTGCCAAGGCTAGAAAGTGGCGCCTGGTGGAGGGAATGGTGGCTGCAGGGCCAGAGGGAGACCCTGAGATGAGGCTGGGGGAGCCCTGGGTGTCTCCAGCTCAGGACAGGCCCAGCAGAGGCGCCCCCAGGCCCCCAATCCCCAGCTGTGGTGAGAGTTGAAAGTCGGGGGTAGGGCCCAGGCCACGCCCTACAGATTCTGGGCTCAGATGGCTCTGATGAGCTTCAGGAGGCCTTGCTCCCGTTGGGGTGACATGAGTCCAGAAATACCAGCTCACGTGAACGTTGCTTGGGTGTGTGCCCCCGTGAGACCCCAGGCTGGTGACAGGGAGTTTGGGAGTTTGGGGCACCAGAGGCCCTCACCTACCTCCAGGTTAATCTCAGAGCAGCTCTACACCGTGAACTGCCACCTCCTCTGTCCCCCCATCCCAACCCTCCCCAGCAGGTCCTGGGAACCAGAAGGAGGCAGGTGCCTACGTAAAGAGGAGAGGTTCCCGCTACTCCCTAACTCTCAATCCCCAAGACAGGGCCGGGCTCGGGGGTGGCTCAGTATTGCTTGGGTGTGTGAGGCCCTGGGTGGCACCCCCAGGACTGCCAGAAATTAAATAAAAATATGAATCATAATAAAGATAAGCTCGGCTCCCAGGTTACCTCTCCAAGGACAAGGAGATGTGCAGCTTGGTGGCCGAGGGCGTCAGCTGGGCATTCAAGGTCATGACCTGTGTGAGGAAGGGAGGATGCGGTTACCCCAGCATCTGGAGCACTCCCACTCCTCTCCCTGCCCGCACCCTCCTCTTGGCTGGGTCCACGCTGTGCTAGGAGAATTTAAAGATTCTGGTGCTCCAGAACCAGAGAGAAAACACTCTGGGGCTGGGGGTGGGCCAGAGCCGGCGGTGTCTCTGTGCTCAGAGATCACCCCTGGTGGTATTCAGGGGACTATAGGAGGTGTCAAGGATGGAACCAGGGTTGGTGGGTGCAAGACAGGTGCCTTAAAGCACCATACTATCTTGCTGGCCTCTAGGTAAGAAATTTGGGGGCCAGCGGATTTTGCGAGAGGTAAGGCAGGTCCCACGGTCATAGACTGAGACCCATAAGTCAATCCCACCCCTGAATTTTCTTCCTTCTCTCCCTCTCCCCACCTCCCACACCCTGAGGAACCCTGGGGACTGCAGAAATTGGGGGGCATCGATAAAGCCCACGATGCGGTGAGCAGAGGGGAGACCAGAGCTCCCCCTGCTAAAGGTGGAGAAGTGAGGCCGGGAGCTTAGGGATCAGGGTGGGAAGGGCAGAGGGTGAGTGCAGAGGAGCTGAGTTAAGGAGCTGGGCATGCCGTCTTAGTGCACCAACAGCCCTGGCCCAGAGACTCCCAATTGAATCCCAAAATGAATTCGTGCCATACAGAGATGTCTCTGGAACTCAACCGTTTACAATCTGCAAATTTACATTTATAACCGTGACCATGTGAGCTCTCATGAGACTGAAAATGAGCTATGGAAAATATATTATCTAGCATCTGCCCCTGGCAGGCAGGCTTGAATGGTCGCGGGAAATTTCGGGCAAAACATAATGCCCAAAATTAGAGAGAGAGTACTGGGGAAATTGCCATAGAGGCAGGGTGAGGACTGGGATGTGGGGTAGTGGGGGGCATACTTGGGACATCGGTGGTGGAAAATGTGCACTGGTGGAGGGATGGGTGTTTCATCATTGTATAGCTGACTCTCAAACAAAGCTTTGTAACTGTATCTCACCGTGATACAATAAAATAAAAAAAGTAATGTGGAGTTCATGCCCATTCAATCTGCGTAATCAATGGCTGAAAAAATAATAGTACTTCTACATTAATTTAAAAAAAAAAAAGGAACTGGTTAGGGATGGGCAAGGAGAGTGCTCTCTTCAGAGGCGTGTTGGGGTGAACGCCAGGAGGAGGTATGGAGGCGAGTAACCTGGAGGTCAGGGGCAGGAGGAAGCAGGAGACCACATAAGAGACCTCTGAGCCCAGTAAGGCTGGGTGGGGGGATGTGGAGGGGGTCCCAGAGCACAGATTGATGAGGTCAGTATGAATATGCAGTATACAATGAGGGGGCTTTTTGCACTGCACACCACAGGGGGTCCCACCCATGAGTGGATGGCAGGGGAGGGAAAGGCAACCCCTGGGAGCCTAGAGCACTTCAGTGGCAGCATCCCCGGGTCACTCACCGCGCTCAGGTCGAAGAGGGCCTCAGGGGTGCCGTTGGGCTGGAAGGCCCGCAGGTGGATGGTGGCGGGGATGGAGACGGTGGCCTTCTTGTTCTGGAGCGTGACCGTGGGTGCTTCCTTCACGCGCAGGGAGAGCAGGAGGCTCTGGCCAGGTGGCAACTTGCCCAGGGCCTGGAGCGAGGCCGGGCAGGGCAGGGGAGGGAAGCAGCTTAGACACCCCAAAACAAAACCCCTCCATCAGGGAGCAAAGTCTCGGGGAGCATTCTGGACCCCCACGCGAGCACCAGATGGGAATGGGAACTAGACAGACAAGCGGAGACACCCCATCCTAGAGGGCAGGTGAACCCAAATCTGCTCCCTTCGACCGCTCATCATCCTGAGGGCCTGAGACCCCTGTCTGGGACCCCTAAGCCCCTCTCTCCCAATGCACCGGCCACTCCATCTTGCCCCACCAGCTCCTACCTCAGGGCCCCACCAACCCCCTATCTGATGCCTGGGGCCCACATGGACCCCTGCAGCCTCCTCAGAGGCCCCGGTGTGAGGCTCTGGCCTAACAACACTGGCCACAATCTCCCCTGTTCCTGCTCCCTTCCCTGCACCTGTCTCTACCTGGCCACCCCCTGGGTCTGCTCTCCATCTTCTGACCCTCCTGCTGGCCTGGATGAGGCACCCAGTGACCAGTAATTGACTGCACCATGCTATTAGGACATCTCGTCTCTGAACTGCCCTAGAATCAAGGGATGACTGGGAACCATAGAGTCCCAGAGGCCTAGAGTGCCCTGAACGTGGGTGTCTGGGGACTAGTGCCCAGGCCCAGACTTGATGAAAACAAAGAGGGCACTTCCTGGGCCACAGGAACCTTGGTTCTCTGACATAGCAAGAGCCAGGACCCAGCTGGAGGGACATGGCTTGGGTAGCTCTGGTCCCCCACTCCAGCACTTACCCAGGCCCACCCTGGGGGTGGGGAGGTCTCTGGGTATCTAGCCTTGCTCTAGTCCCTCCCCAGGCCTTGTCCTTTAGCCACAGGTCCCCTCCATCCAGCCCTCTGGGCCTTTCTGACCTCTACCTAAGTGGCCCATCAGAGTTCGTTCACATTCAGAGCAGGAATGCAGATGCTCACAGCTGGGAGTGGCCACACTGAGTGGTAAGGCGGTCCTACGGCCATAGGTTAATGCCCACAAATCAATCCCATCCCTGTTGGGAGATGTGTGCTGAAAGTAGATAAAGGACCCAACGTGTGATACCCTCTCAGTATCTGTATTGCAAACTATAACGCCCAAAAGTAAAGGAAGAGTATGGGGGAAATTGCTTTAGAGGCAGGGGAAGGATTGGGAAGGTTGGGGGGGATACTCATTGGTGGTGGAAAATGTGCATTGGTGGAGGGATGGGGGATCTATCATTGTATTACTGAAACTCAAACATGAAGGTATGTAACTCTCTCACAGTGATTCAATATAAAAAAGGGGGGGCCGAAATTCCAGCCCTGAATATTCTTCCTTCCCTTCACTCCATTCGGCCAGCGCCCTACCAGCAAAGTCCGAGAGGAAGGAAGGCAGCATAAGGGAGGAGGCGTGGATAGAGGAGTCACCACCACAGGCCAAATCACAGGCAAAATCAAAATCCCTGCCTTTCCTCTGCTAGCAGGAAAGCCTGCCTATCAGCCACTCACACTTCAGTGTGAATTTGAACTCAACACTCAGAGGCAGCTGTCTGCAGAGAGTCGAACTGGGAGTGATTCTCAGAACCGGCCTCTCTGGGAAAGAGCTCGGAGGCTTACAGCTCTGGGACAATTACTCACATCAGGAACCAGAGCCGCCAGGTCTGTGGTTGACAATGGGACGTTGCTGGGAACCTGGATCCAAGACCCAACAAAGGAGCAGAGAATGATTACAGAGATAGGGTGGGACCGGACCCCCATGCTCACATGGTTCCCCACACCAGCCACACCACACTCAGATGCCCCCCACCCCCAATGGCCATTGCGCTCACTCCAGTCCGGTTACCCGTGAAAAGCCTTGATAAGGCTCACAGAGTGGGTGGTCTCATTACTCCAGTGCTACAGAGGTGGGGGGGTGGGGCAGGGGCAGGTATGTGGTGGCTGCAGGCTCCTGACCCAGGCAGGCAAATTCCAAACTCCCAAACCACTGCCCGGAGCTCACCAGCAAAGACCAAGGAACCTGGCCCCAGATAATTTTACTCTTTGCCTTAGCAGTATTTTCCCAAATGATGACTATTCCCCCCAGGACACACACATCGGAAATTTGAAAGGAAGTGTGCCAGCCTCTGGCTAGACAGATGGAAATGGTGGTCCCTGGGCCTGTTCCCACACAGCAACTGCTCACGAAATGGGACAGAGATGTCCCAACTCACTCAGTCTCAGCAAATCAACTAATGACTCGGTCCCTGGATGGGGCCCCCAGGGGGGCTCTGGGAGAAGGTTTGAGCGCACCCGGCAGTGCTCAGGGTTAATTCCTGGCTCTGCACTCAGGACTTACTCCTGGCTATGCTTGGGAGACCCTATGGGATACCGAGGATCAAACCTGGGTCAGGTTTGATCAGGACATACAAGGCTAATGTCCTAGCTACTGTACTATCAGGCCCAAGCCACTCACTCTTGGTGGTAAACTAGACCTGGGCTCATTGGGCAGGAATAAAAACTTGGCCCTTCGTGGAGAGAGAAAGACCAGAGTCACCGAACTGGCAGCCAGGCGCAGAGCATGGTCCTGCGTTAGCATCACGCGACCAGGAGCAGTGCACGTGTACACATGTGCAACACCGCCTGAACCGTCCCATCCGGAGCCGCAAACCCATCCCCAAGTGCATCCGTGATGATGCGGCTCGGTCATCGCCTGCGTGGACAGACCACGGTCGTGGCTGGGCCCTGCTTACCAGCTCCGGGGTGATGTCTATGTCAAGCGCCCCGTTGGTCTGCAGGAGCGAGAACACGGTGCTGAAGAGGTACAGCGGGACCGTCACCTGAGACGTGTGGTCCTCCTTGGGGGGCACCTTCACCGGGGGGTGAGGGGGCTTGGGGAAGTCCAGGACATCGCCGGCTACACTCTTCAGGATGGGCTGCGGGGGCAGGAGACAGACATGGGGTGGGGGTCCGGCACATTGCATGTGGCCCCGAGCCCGAGCCCCAGTCCCCTGACCCAGCCGCCCCCCAGCAGGCAGCACCTCAGCTGGGACTCACATTGATGTCCAGTTCTATGTACTGGTTAGAGATGATGGGCAGCGTGGCCAGAGTGAACTCCACGGACCCCAGAGCCCCAAGGGGCACCAGGCCTGCAGGGGAGCAGAGGAGGGAGGGAAAGCCCATGAACCCAGGCCGTGGTATAATACCCTCTGCCTCCCGGCTCCGAGGGACACTCAAGCCTTGGGCTCACAGCCCTCTGTCCTGCCTCCAGCTGAGGAGACTGAGTCTCGGACAGAAGAAGGCCACGTCCGGGTCTGAGCATCAAGGCTGGACTTCCTGTCTTCCAGAGCTGGGGCCATGACTCTGACTTCATACATACCAGGACGCATAGCTGCCCCCAGTGTCCCCTCCTCACCCTGGCTTTGCAAAGCCCTTTGTAAAGACAAAGGGCACTGAAGCTCCACTCCACACAGGAACAGGGAGCTGGAGTGCTCTGGAGTGTTCTGGAATGTTCTGGTGCCCAGGCTCCATCTGTCCACTCTTGGGAGACTTAGCCTCTGGTCCATGCAGAGTGGGAATATCGTGCCACCCAGCCCACAGGAGCCCCTGACCCCCCTCTCAGCAGATGCAGAGGGGTAGCCTGAGTCACCAGGCCCTACTGAGCTGGTCCTGTCCCCCAACACCAGACTCCTCATAGTGGGGGCTTCACGGTTTGAAAAGGCCTCAGAATTTTGCCCTTCTTGCTTCCCTGGGTCACCTCACCGCCACCCTGCACTGCGATGATGAAGGGAGGCAGAGGAGAGGGGGCGAAGGGGAGAGGGTGGACCCCAACTTACTCAGCACAGCCCCCAGAAGCTCATTCACCACGCCCAGAACACTGTCCACCAAGGGGCACAGCTGTGTGGAGAGAGGGCACAGGGTGACCGGGAAGTTAGGGGGAGTGGGCCTGGGATGGGGAGAGCAGTGTGTCCTTCAAATGATTTGCTGTGTGGCCCCAGGGCGCCAGGATGAGGAAGAATGTGGAGGGGGTGGAGCGCTAGGGTGGTCTTACGGGCAGCGGCTGGACTTGGAGTCCCCGGGCAGAGGAGGTGATAGGGAGGGACAGTGACCTCAGCTTGTTAGCATCCTCCAAGGATGTTGGGGAGACAGAAGCCCATTCTCAGAGGTCCCGTGAGAACATACCTTCCTGAGAGGGGATGATGCCCCCCTCCAGGTGGGCATCCCCAGCCCAGAGCCCACACCCACCCCATTTCCTGAACAGGGTGCAAAGGGACTCAGTTCCCAGAGGTCAGTCTAGGAACCCCTACTCCAAGGCTCACAGCCGCCTCCGCTGGGACCCCTCAACCCATAGCAGGGGCCGGAGGAGAGCGAGATGATGAACCCAGAGACAACGCCTGAGTGACCCCCGCCTTGCAGCATGTAACCCCCCAGGACCTCAGTCTCTGGGAAGGCGAGTGGCAAACAGGAGAGGGGAGACAAGAGACACAGAGGTTCGGGGGGCAGCCACCGCGGCGCCAGCCGGGTGCCACGGCAGGAAGGAGGCTGGTGGGGGTGGTGCCGATTGCACAAGAGAGGCCAGAAATCGGATTGTCGAGTAAGTCTCCAGGGTACAGCTGATTAATTCTTTGTTCTAAAACTTCTTGGCGTCACACAAAGCCTGTCCTGTGTCCAGTGAGGGGGCACGATTTAAGGGACCCTGGTAGAGACCCTGGGGGCTGGGAGCTTGGTTTTCTCCCCCCTGAGCTGCTTTTCTGGGTGACTTCAAGCCCGGGGCAGTTTTGCCCCATGAGCCCACCACGGTTGCAAAGCACCTCACAAGGACACCCAAGGGAGGGCTTCTCGGGACTGGGGCGACCCCAGTAAGTGCCTCCCCTCTCCTGCCCTAATGAACTGGCCAGAGTAACCTTTCCCACACATCATGGCTCCCCCTGGCCCCAGCCCAGGGATCTCCTGCGGGGTTTAACTGACGGGCATTAACACAGCCGGGCATGAGACTGCAGCCTGCAAACTGGGACTCCATGCCAGAGCCCGCGTGTCCCTGTGTGTCGGTCAAAAGTACAGCATGTCTCAAGTCCGAAATCATGCAAGGAGTAAGGACAAAGTGTGTGTGTGTGTGTGTGTGTGTGTGTGTGTGTGTGTGTGTGTGTTGGGGGGCGGGGGACACACAAAAAAATAAAACAGACTTAGGGGCAGGGTCCAGAGAGGAGGATACGGGCCACCTGGTGCTCCCAGCCGGAGGCACCTGGGAGGCGTGGGGGCCAGTGTGGGCAGCAGGATGGGATTAGCTGGTGGGCGTGGAAGGGCAGAGTGGCTAATCCAGCCTGGCGCCCAGCCGGGCTCGAAGCTGGGGGAGAAGCCCCATGCGGCCCAGGAGGAGGGGTGACGCCATCACAGACCCCACCCCCCCACCCCACTTACCAGTCCTGGGAGAACCTTGAAGAGTGTCTGTTCCACGATCCCGAAGAGTGGTGCGGGCAGCAGCCTGGGAAGGGGAGAGGGTGAGGGTGGGGGAAGCACAGGGACCCCCTCCCGCCCCCCGTGATGAGAGAGAGTTCCGATCTCTCTCCCAACAAGGCTGGGGCTGGGAGATCCCAATTTCAGTCTTGACGCTGCCTCGCCAGGGGACCAGGGTCCAAGTTCAGGGTCTCCGTGTGCCACCTCCTGTCAGGTGGAAGTGGACTGAACAGAGCGTGCATGTGTTCTAGTGGGCAGCGGTGCTCCTAAAGTCCCCTCCTCTCCCCCTCACCCCTCAGAGCGGTTGTCCCTATACTTGCCGGAACCCTCATCCTCAGGGACCCCTGAAGCCCAGAGAAAGCCCAGAGACTTCTCAGGGTCCCACAGATGGAGGCAGGGAGCGAGGGGTAGGCCTGGACTCAGGCTGTCCCCAGGCACTCTGTGTCCACTCTCGGTGGTTCCCGCTGCCCCCTGGGTCCAGCTCCACATGGCCCACGTCCCGCACTGGTGCTGCACTCCCGGGTCCCCTCACCCCCACCCACTTCCCAGGACCGGGGTGTGCCCTGGGGTGGCTCCTGTCTCCCAAAGGGCCATTTCAGGGGATTCTGGGTGCCTGCAGTTCCAGGGCTCCATCCTGCTCCTTTGAGTCAAAGGGGGCATGATAGGGGTGGGGTCGGGGGAGTGGCCACATGGCATGAGTGTCCTGCAGCTTGCATGCTGTCTGGCTGCCCACCCCTGGCTCTGCCCTGCCCAGGTTCCCCTCTCCGTCGTTCACTTAACACCTGCTCCTGCAGCAGCCTTTACTGAGCTCCCAGCTAAGTCCAGGCCCTGTCTGGGCCCCCTGCTGCATGTCCTTTAAGCTCTTGTGAGCACCCACTGGCCACAGAACACCTAAGTCCAAGAGCAGATGAGGGGCGAGGCAGGGGGTGGGGTGGAGGAGGAGATTCTAGCACCAGAGCTGCAGGCACGAGGCCCTGAGTTCAGTCCCTGGGGGCTGCCCACAGGCACCAAGTGCCACGCCCAGAGCCACCCGCAAAGTGTGCAGCCCCCAGCACGCCACCCCTACGCGGGCCGGCTTGCATGCGCAACCCCAAGGGTGGGCAACCGGGCCACAGCAGGGACGACAACAAAACCAACCAGGCGGGCACCGGACCTGCAGAGAGATCGGGAGGTGCAAGGGAGGCGGGGCAGGGGGCAGACACGGGGGCCAGCGCCCCAATGGACCCCAGTCAGGGGGCTTGAGTGGGCGGGAAGGGGCGGCCGCAGGGAGCCCGCGCTCACCCCGACAGCAGGCTGATGTGGCCCAGGAGCGTGGTGCAGCGCTTGAGGATGAGGATGGGCGTCCCCCGCGAGCTCACGCCCAGCGCCACCTTCGAGGACACGTTCACCTCACAAGCCAGCTGTAGGAGGCCCCCCAGGGGGCTGCGGGGAGAGGGAGGGGTGGGGGGCGTCGGGGCGTGGCCAGGCCGCTAGGCCCCACCCACCGCCAGCAGCTCGGCCACGCCCACCCCAGGGGCTTCCTGGCCCTTCCTACCCCCCATCCCCCTGCAGCCTCCCACCCCCACCGCACCCGGGGCAAGAGGGTAGGGGTCTCCAGGGACATGCGTGGGACCACGTGGTCGCCGGGAGGGGTAGTGAGTGGGATGAGGTGAGGCGCAGTAGATGCGCCCAAGCAGGGACGAATTCGGGGCGCAGAGGGTCCCACTGCGGCACACTCACCCCGAGCCGTGCAGGCCCACCTTGGTGTGCAGGTTCAGCTGCACCCCGACCCCCGGGAGCAGCCTCAGAGACACCTGCGGCAGCGTGAGCTCCTCGATCTTCAGCCTGCAGCGGCAGGGAGCAGAGACCCTCCCCTCGCACCGAGACCCGGCACTCACTGCAGCCCACAGCCACCTCTGGGGTGTCCCTCACCAGATTCCTATTCCCAAATATCAGCGGCCAACCCAGTTACTTTCCCCAGGCCTCAGTTTCTTCATCTGTAAAGTGGGACCGTGCAAGTGGTGTGCGGCTCAAAAACCAAAAATCTAAAGTAGTCCCTTTTTTTTTTAATGTAGGAATACTGATATTTATTCAGCCAACTGATTAGGCTGATTGAACTGGGCAAAAACTCCACCTTACTTTTTTATTTTTTTCATTTTTTATCATTTTATTTATTGAATCACTGTGAGAGCAGTTACAAATCTTTCGGATTTAAGTCTCGCTCATACAATGAAACACCCGTACCTTCACCAGTGCCCATTCTCCATCACCAAAAACTCCAGTCTACCCCCATCCCACACCCTCCCCCTACCTGTGGAGCAGATGATTTCCACATTACTCTCTCTTAAAGTAGTCCCCTTTTCACCATATGTCTAAATGGCAACTGCCAATAACTTTGCAAATCAGGCTTAGCTCAGAGATGCTGAGCACCCTGCCCCGGGTCTCACAGAAAGTAACTGAATCAAGCCCAGAGCTGGTCTCCAACCACAGGCAAACACGGCATGTTATAGACCCGCTGTGTTTGTACCGCGGTCCTGGGGCTGCCTCTGCCTCCCACTGCCTCCCAAGGTCCGCTCGCCGGTCAGCACACCACACCGCAAGGACTGGCTTACCCAGAGAGCTCCTCAACCACACCGAAAATCCCTCCATAGCTCAGAAGACCACCTCCTCCGAGCAGTCCTCCGGAGCCCAGGAGGCCCTGGTTCACGGAAGTGACGGTTCCCAGCACATTCTGCAGAATGGGTCCCCCAACCAGTGAGTTCTGAATGGCTGCAGAGAAAGCGAGGGGAGGGAGGGTTATGTGAAGGGTGGGGAAATCCAGGGCCAGAGAGGAACAAAGACTGGCCCAGCATCACACAGCAATATGGGGGCAAGAGCTTAACCAGGGCTCCAGCGGCTGGACCACCCATGACGATGCTGAAAGGAAACACAGAAGTGAAGGAGCGGGGCTCAGTCTCCAGGGCTTGATGGGAATGGAGGAGACAAGCCCTGCCGTTGTGGGCTACGAGCAGTACAGGTCGCAGGGATGCCCAAGGGAGACTGGAGCAGGGAGGTGACCTCTGAGCCCCTCCGCCACCGGAGACCGTCTCCCTGGGCTGGTGGGTGCTGGGACACCAAATACTGCAAAAGCAGGGCGGGGACTCTGGCCCAGCCAGCACCCGCCCTGCCCCCTCCTCACTTCCACTGTCCCCACCCCTAAGGGGCACAGGGACAGTGGCCTCCCCCGTCCCCGCCCACCCTCCCCATCCTGCCTGCCAACCCCTGGCTGCCAAGCCAGCCGGTCCTTAACCCCCCCATGAGACCTGGGCTGTCCCCTAGTCCCGGGGTCTGCTCTAAGCCTCTGACAGCTGCTGCCCCCTGTCCACTGCCCCACGGACACCCCCCCCCCACCAGCCTCAGCCAGGCGCGTTCCTGCAGCCCACCTCCGCTCACCTTTGCCGAGTTCATCCTTGTCAATCCGCGCCAGGGTGCCCACTGTCTCCAGCAGCCCGTAGCAGGGAGTCACCAGACCCCCGAGGAGAAGCAGGGACCACATGCCCAGCATTATCGGTGCCCACCTAGGACAGGGAGGTGGGGGGCGAGGCACAAGCAGAAACGACAACTTAGGAGCTCCCTGAGGCCCTGCCTCTTCCTTTCCCTTCCTGGGACCCTGTCCACCCGCCCCCGTCCCTGATGCCCTCCTGGTGCAAGAACCAGCTGAACTCCTGAAGAAAGCCTGCCCCACCCCAGAAATCTGGTGCCCCGTGCGCTCTGCCATCTCCTTGGCTTCTTACAGGCCTCACCTCCACCGGGCCCCATTTCACAGATGGGAAGATCAAGGCCCAGTCCAGGTGGAGGCTCAGCGGAGACCATGGACCTCACAGTGCGAGACCAGGGCTCAGGCCCAGTGCATCTGACTTTAAAGCCTTAGCCCTGTGTCAGCCCGGGAAGCCTGGGCTGGTCTCTGGAGGGAGATGACAGAGGGGCCTCCCCTTTTGGGCCAGGATGGGAGTTCTGTTTCCTACTTCCCCATTGGCCCAAGAGGCTGTTTCAGAGGGTGTGGCTGACTGGACACGTCCAACATTGGGACTTAGCATGTCCTGCTTCCCCCTCCCTGCCCGCCCCTCCGAATGATGCAGAGAGGAAGGACATGGAGGGCCAGCGCCCTGCCAACTCACTACCTTTCGGGAGCCTGGGTTTTCTCTCTGGGCCTCTGGCTCTGTGCACCCAGTCTCAGCTCATCTCTCCCCTCGTGTCAGCCCCATTCCCACCCTCCCTCGCCCCTACCCCCCACCATCTGCTCTCAGAGTAGAACATACACCCCACCACCACCAGACCATTCCTCAGAAGTTCCTGCCCTCCCCTGCCGCTCTGGACGCAGACACAAGACAAGCCCCTTCCCACCTCGGGGCCTTTGCACATGCTCTTCCCGCTGCCCAAGGCACTTCCTTCTTTGTGAGACTGATTCTTTGTCCTTCAGGCTCTGGACAAGTGTCTTCTGCTTGGAAAAGCCAAGCTCCCTGGCTCTGCTCTGTGACTGCCTGCTGCCTGTTCACCAAACACTCCCCAACATGCCAAGAGATTTCTTCAGGGGCTGATTCCAAGTATGCCTGTGTGTGTGTGTGTGTGTGTGTGTGTGTGTGTGTGTGTGTGTGTGTGTGTTGCTGTGGGTCTTTCTGCATCCCCCACCAAAGACAGGGCTATGTTGGGGGTTCCATGAATGCTGGCTCTCAGGAGAGAGGGGGCATTGCTGAGGGCCGCAGGGGTGGGGGGTTGCAAGGCCAGCCGCTCTTCACGTGCCAACCATCTGCCCTGGCACCACCTGTGTGAGCCCAGCGAGGGCACAGAGATACACCCAGGAGCCTCATGAACCCGCAGCCCTCCTGGCGGTGAGTCTCCTGGTCCAAGATGCATCCACAGTGGCTCCCTCCCACTTCCCGTTGTCTCGCAGAAAGAAAAACTTACTGTGGGGAACCCGTCGGTTTCCAGGGTATAGGAAAAACTGGGTTTGGGGTTCTCAAGGCCTGCCTCCACCCTTTGTTCCTGCCTGGGCCCCAGTTTTCCCATCTGTAAAATGGGTGTTTTCTCCTGTCGCCCTCCGGGTACTCCCAGGACCCTCCCAGCTTAAAGTCTCTCTGTGCCTGCTCTTCCTTGGGAGCAGCACGGCCCCACAGTCCACGCTCAGGGGCCAGGTGAAGGATGTGGCTGCCACAGGCTGCCTTACCGCCTCCTGCAGCTCCACGAGGGCTGGGAAGGGGCTTCCGGCCTCCTGGTGGTTCCTCCACTCCCCAGGGCCTCGGGGTGGCCCTTTTATGCCCACACCGCTCTGGGGACACAAAGGGGGTACAGCCGCCAGGAACCCGTCAACGCGTCATGTCAGAAGCAAATTGCGGTTTTCCCTGTGGGCCTGGGCTAAGCCTTCCTTCTGGGGCAAGGCTGAGGGGGGTGGGGGGCTGGGGCGGGGGTGAGGGTGGAGGGGCTGCAGAGACGGGGGCAGGCCTGGGGAAACGGGTGCCCTAGACTGCCCACTGCCAGGACTTCCCACGCACACCCCCCCAAGCCCCGAGTGGGGAACAAGGAGGAGCTTAGGGCGGGTGGGTCTTCTGACCCTCCGCCACCCCCACCCCACCCCTGGCCTGGCACGGAGAAGCGGGCGAGGACCTGGGGCGAGGTCAGGGAGGAACCCCCTCGGTCCCACCGCTCCAGGCTCAGGTCCCCAGAGCTCCAGAGAGTGTGCGTGGTTTTTCCTGAATTCAGGCTAATCCCTGGCACACTGGAGAAAAACTTCATTTCTTCCGCAGCATTGACAGCCTTCTGCTGTCTGCTGGGTGCTGGACGGGTTGCCGGCCGCTAGGACTCCACTAGGATTCCACATTTTTCTAGTCAGCACATTTTTAGCAAAAAGGTGGAAAGGGCGGGGGAGAAAGTTCGAAGGGAGGGGTGCAGGCTTTGAGTGCAGGAGGCCCAGGTCCGATCCCCAGCATCATGTGAGCCCCTAAGCACTGCCATCATCACAGTGACCCCCAAGGTCCAATCCAGGGGTAACCCCCCAAGCATCACCAGGTGTGGCCTCAGGCCTCCAGAATCCCACCCCCCCAAATAAGAAGAAACAGGTGGAATGAATTTTAATAGTGTACTTTGCCCCAGTAGAGTCCAAATATTGGGTTTAACACCATATTAACAGCCTGTCAACAGCCCGTCTGCAGGATCAAAGGGGTTGAATCTGTTGTTCTGTTTCAGGGTTCTGACAGGCTAAAGGACCTAAGGCAGCCTAGGACACACAAGCAGCTCACAGCAGCCTATGCCCTGTACTCACCACCTGGTGGCCAGGGGCCTCAAGGGGTCACGGGCCCTTGTACTGGATTAGGAGATGCGGTAACTTCACAGGGTGTTGGAGATATCCCCTGCCCTCCCCCCAGGGGGACTTGACTTGTAGGAATAGAGGGAGTGACCAAATGGCTATCTGGAGAAGAGTCCAGCTGGCAGAGGGAAGGGTGAGGACGGGCCCCAGGGCCTGCGTGTTCCAGGACCAGCAGGAGGCCCGTGAGGCTGGAGGCGAGAAGAGGGGGGGGCCAAGGAGGTGAATGAAGGAGGGGACAGTCAGTCTGCAGAGCTCTGCTCACGCTTGTGGACCCCGCCCGGATGGCACAACTTCCGGGAGTCCTGGCTCAGGCAACCCCTTCTCCAGGAATTCTTCCAGGGACCCAGGCTGCATGAGGCTCCACCTACAGCTCCCGCAGTTCCCAGGATTCTCCAGGGCCTGTGACTTGCCGCGTTTCTAGGTTTTAGGGTCTGTCTCTTGCACGAGATCCAAACCTGTGTCCAGTGAGATGGAAGCAGGGGTGCATGAACCTCCTTCACATTATGAACCTCGATTCACCTTGTGACCTGGGAACCCTCACCCATCACCTGGTGTGCGGCGCTACTCAACCACTCCACACCCTCTTAATAAGTCAACTTTCGGTGCTGGAGCAATAGTACAGAAGATAGGGTGCTTGCTTTGCAGGGACCCGACCCAGATTCTATTCCTGGTATCCCGTATGGTCCCCCACGCACCGCCAGAAATGGTTCCTGAGTGCAGAGCCAAGAGTAACCCCTGAGCATCCCCAGGAATGCGACCCGCCCCCACAAAAAATCAACTTTCATTGGAAGTAAATTCAGATCCCGAGTGATAGCCCCAAGAGTCTCTAGAATTCCCCCGCCCCCATCCCATTCCTACCCCTTCCCTCTGTGGTCCCATCTCTAACTCTACAGGAGAATCCAGTGTGCTCCTGAGAGTCTTAGCTGTGGAATGCCACATGTGGCTTCCTGCACCCACTAGGACATTCACTCGAGCCAGGAGAGCCACTGACGAGCTCTCGGCTGAGATGTGGCCCCACATGCCTACGGCCACTCGGTTTTTCCTGTCTTTGGCTAACGGGAGCAAAGCCGCCATGAATATTCCTGTTTTTCTGGACATATGTTTGTGGACATGTGCTATGTGAGATGTATTGGGATGTGTATCATGGACCTGTATCATATGGACATGTGTTGTGTGGACACGTATTATATGAGCAGGGGTTGTGTGCACATGTGTGGACAGATGTGTTGTGTGGGAATGTTTCACACAATGTTTTATGTAGACTTGTGTTATGTGGGCATGCAGTGTGTGGGTATATGTTGTGTGAACACATGTGCTATGGACATATGTTATACAGGCATATGTTGTGAATGCATTTCATGGACATATGTTGTGTACTCATGTGTTATGTGTGCATGCATTCTAAGGGCATATGTTGTGTGGGTACATATTGTGTGGTCATGTGTTGTATAGACATGTGTCATATGGATTTGTGTTTGCTTATGTTGCAAGAACATGTGTGGGCATGTGTTGTGTGGACATGTGTTGTATGGATATTGTGTGTGCCTGAGCTACATGGACATGTGTGCACATGCAGTGTGGGATGTGTGTTATGTGGACACACGTGTGGACACACATGTGGACATATGTTCCCCTCTCTCCAGGCCCCCCCACGGGAGTGGGATTGTGGGATCATAGCAGGGCTCCTGCGTGTGCCCAGCAATCCCCATAAGTACAGCTCTCTGCACCCCGCCCGCTCGGGGGATTGCCCACAGATTTAGGATTTGTGTCTGAGGAGAAGGGCAAGCTCGCAGCCAGCATTCATGGAGCGTGCAAGCCTGCGCTGACGTGTGCGAAGCCATCCGGTCCCTGTAATGGTTGCTGAGGTTAACACTATCATTATCTCCTCATCTTACAGCCCAGGAGCCAAGGGGAGGCTGCAGGCCTGCAGGAAGCCCGCCAAGTCTTGGGTCTCTACCACTCGCAGTCTTAACCGCCGCCCAGCCTGGCTGCTAGGAAGGACACAAAACGCTGCCACTTTCCGGCCGGCCTTATCTCCCCCCCTTCCTCCCAGACCCACCCCCAGAGGACGCTGCCACTCCCCTCAGCTCCCAGGATGCTGCAAGCCTCTGCAGGCCCTCCCTAGGCTGAATCAGGGCCTGGGCCTGGGCAGAGTCATTTAAACACCCGGTGTGGACACCCAGACCATGGATAGAGCCCCCGGAGCCTGGCATGTGGGGAAGCCTGCTGGGAGACTGGATGTGTGCCCTCAGGGCCCTGGGGAAGGTGATGGGGAAGCCCAGAAGGGACCAGGGCGGGAAATAAGAGTAAAAAAAAACAGATAACCTCTGGGCATTTGCTCCCAGAGTGCAGGCTCTGGTGCGGGCCAGAATTCCTGGGTTCCAGTCCACGTGTTACCCCCATTTAGGCGACACCTGGAAGAACCAGTTTCTCTGTCTGCAGAATACGTTCATGTTCATGGTGTGGCATGAGGATGGGCATTGTCTGGGAAACGGACATCAGAAGCAAAGGGTCCCTAGTGGTACGGTGGCACCAGCCTTCCCTGGGATGCTTGCACTGATGGCAGGCGAGGGAAAGAGAGTTGAGGAGGGGGTGGGGGGACAGGGGGGGCCCAGATGCAGGAGGATGCTATGGTCTTTCTCTACCTAGGCCTGGGCTGCCTGGCAAAGCCCCAGAGATGGGTGAGAGCAGTGGGCCCAAGACCTAGCTCTGCCCCTTCATTCCTCATCCTTGCACCAACCGCATCCTCTCTCTCTCTCTCTCTCTCTCTCTCTCTCTCTCTCTCTCTCTCTCTCTCTCTCTCTCTCTCCCTGGTTTCTGGATGGAGCTGACGGCCATTAGGGTGGCGTAAACGTGAAGAGAAAATGGGCACAGGTGGATTCTGGACCTATGCTGCTCCCTGAATGCCCATGGGCTGTCCACCCCGCCTCTAGCCTCTGCTTCCTTGTGGGGCAGAAGGGTGAAAGGAGGTGAGGAGTGTCCATGTGCTCCAAATCTCCATCACTGCCTTCCCAGGGCAACCAAGGGCCATTTGGATATTTATCACATCACTGGGCTGGAGCGATAGCACAGTGGGTAGGGCATTTGCCTTGCACATGGCCCATGCGGCCAATCCGAGTTCAATTCCTCTACCCCTCTCGGAGAGGCCGGCAAGCTACTGAGAGTATCTCGTCCACACGGCAAAACCTGGCAAGCTACCCATGACGTATTCTATATGCCAAACACAGTAACAACAAGTCTCACAATGGAGATGTTACTGGGCCCGCTCAAGCAAATCAATGAACAACGGGAGGACAGTGCTACAGTGCTACCCACTGCCCAGGGTCATTCGAATACTTATCTCATCATCCGTTTGTCAGTCAAGACAGGGAAGTGGGCCTTGGGCAGCTGATCCACAAAAAGCATCTGGTCTGCCTCATCTCCTCACCGGGACAGACCCCAGGATTTCTCAGGCCTTATCCTGCCCATTGGCCAGGGTCACGGTGCTGAGTTAGCTCAGCTCCCGCTTTCTGCGCAGGGTCCATTTGGAATAACTGACCACTCAGAGAATGTAGTCAGGTCAGAGGTCAGATTCTGCAGCCCTCGGCCATGTCTTGGGTGGGAAATCTGAGGTCCAGAGAGGAAGCATGGTCTATCCCAGGTAACAGAGCCAGGTCAAGAACCCAAGCCTCCTGGTCCTCACAGTTCTGTGCCTTGGTTTCCCCATCCTAGGTCGGGGTGGGGTTCAGAGTGCACCTCTGCACACCTTCACCCCAGCACCCGCTGCTCCCCAGGATTACCCGGGTGCCTGATCTGCCAGGCCGGTGTCAAGGGCGCCATTGTCCCAGAGGATGAAGGCGGGGATTAGGGCTGATGGTGAGGGACCAGGGGGCGGCCCTGGCATCCGGACCAAGGTGAGGGAGGGGACAGCAGGCCCTGTTCCTCTGTGGCATGGGCTGGGGCCAGGCTGGGCCCAGCTGACCTGCCAGGACCCATGAACTCCCTCTGGCTATGCCACACCAGACCCCTCTGATGTGCCCCTAGTAAAGACCACCCACACCGTGGAGGCAGGAGCACCTACTGCAGACTCTCATGTGGCCCTGAGGCCCCGCTGATCCCAGGAGGCCCCTGGCTACATATGTTTTACCAAATCAGGGCCTTTTTAAAAATTTTTTAGCCTAGAAAATGACCTTAATTTGGGGATTCACTTTATTTTCAAGTGTCTAACTTCAGGGTGAATGACCGTGTACTTGTGGAAGGAGCCGCTTAGGAGCAGTGGGGTTGATCCAGGGAGAGGTTGGGCAGAGCTAGTGGCACCAGCCAGCCCTCACGGCAGGGTCCTCTCTGAGACGCAGAAACACCCTCGGCTCACAGGACAGATGGGCAGATGGACGGACAGACCCAGTAGGTTGCACACACACCCCAGTGAGCAGACCCCCTTCATCCGCACTCCCAGCCTTCCCCACTGCTGGAGCTCCAAGGCACAATAAAACAACATAGGGCACACGCTGACTCGGGGCACATGCTGACACATGCTGACAGAGTGCACAAACACACATACACGCTGACACAGAGCACACACTGACACATGCTGACACAGTGCACGTGTGTACACAGGAGGTGACATGGACATATGTATATACACATGTTACCATGTACTTGCACATACACATAACATGGGGCACATGCGTGTACACACGTACTGACCCAGGAACATATACACACCAACACAGGACACTTGAAAGTGCACACATACATGTGCTTGTATGTGCACACATACAAGGACACACATGCACACATTACATGGGACAAGCACAAGGAGACATAGGGCACACTACATGGTGAGGGGCCAGGGGCGGCCCTGGCATCCGGACCAAGGTGAGGGAGGGGACAGCAGTGTGTATGCATGCATGTATTGACACAGGCACACATACACTTGCAGACACAGGGAACATGTGAGAGCACACAACCGCACACATGCCCCTCGCTTGTTCCTCCCCACGCAGACCCCCAGGCGTGAGTATTTATGCTGGAAACTCACAGCATCCCAGGCTCTGTGAGAACCTTCTCCTGACTCGCTTCATCTCCTCCTCATGACAGTCCCACTATACAGGTTATACACTATACAATACACCCACTGAACAGGTAAGGAAACTGAGTCCCAGAGAAGCGTGTGCTTTGCCCAGACAGACACACAGGAACCAGAGGTAAGATTTGAGCCTGGGCAAGCTAACTCCTGAGCCCAACCTCTAATCTCAGCTCTGCCCCCTTGGTTTTTCTGGTGGCCTTGGGCCAGTTATTCTGCTTCTCCGGGCCTCAGGCTCCCTCTCTGTTAAATAGGCCACCCCTGCTCTCCCTGCACTGCTGTGAGGACAAAGGAAGTGGCCCAGGGAGAAATGGAGTAGTTCCAGGCCTTTTCCAGTCAGTGGGGTCATCTTCCACGTACCAAGATTTGGGGTGCGAAGAGCTTTGCCATTTGTTAAACAATGTGACCATGGGCAAGGGCACACGCCCGCCTGGGCCTTGGTGTCCTCATCCGGAAAGTGGGGACAGCCAAGCTTGTCCTCCCCTCGCGGGATGGTTTTGTGGACAAGGCAAGATGGTCCAAGCCCTGAGCACAGCATTCAGCAGACCCTCAACATATGCTCGAGCTGGTCCTCACGGCTGCAGCCAGCTGCCCTCAAGCCCCGCCCGGAACCTGCACCCCAAACCCATCTTGGTTTATTTGCCATGAATAAAGGGATCCAAGCTGCAGAAGTTGGTGAGGGCCTTTCTCGCTTTATTGCCAAGGCCCCCATCCAGGCCTGCCGAGATCACTCCTGGTCCAAGGAAGCAGACACCAGTGGTAGGGGGTCAGACACGTGACTCCATCAGGGGCTCTGCTGCGTGGAGTAGAGCCTGCGGGTGGTGTGCAGGCGGCTGGCAGGCGATGCTACCCTGGTCAGTTATGCTTCAAGTCCAGCACCAGGGCGTCCTGACGGGAGGCAAAGGCATGAGAGGGGTGAGCAAAGAAACAGTGCAACCCCCCCCAAAGTGCAGTACAACCCGGCAAGAGAAGCCAGCAGGTGTGAAGAGGAGAAAATAACCCCCTTGTTCCTCTTTCTGATTCTCAACAGCTAAGTGGGAATAAATCCCCACCACTTTCAGGGCAGAGAGATGGAAGGGAAAAAAAACACACATTGTGCCATGCTGAACACCTGGCATGCATTGGAAGGCGATTATTTATTGAGCACTTACTGCATGTCTTCAGGGAAACTCCCCCGGTAACTCACCATAATGGCTCTAGTAGAAGGACACCCACACTAACACTCACCCCATTTTAAGCAACAGAAAATGTAGACACTTAGGGTAAACTTCTGGCCAAGATGGCAGAGAAAGAATCAAGAAGAATTTATTTCTGACCCCTAAACTCCCCCAGTGGAAAAAAAAAGGGGGGGTCTGGAGAGAGAGCTCAAAAAGCTGGAGCACATGATTTGTAGGCAAGGGCCTCAAGTTGGATTCCCCAGCCCTGCGAGGTCCCCTGAGCACCTCCAAAAGTATCCATGACGCCATGGGAGCCTTGTGGACAGCAGGCATGAGCCGGGGGAGTGGGGGCGACTAAAACCTCATGGGAAGGGGGGCGTTCCGGTCCGTCCTTCACACCCTACCGAGGCCACCAGTTGCCCCCCACGAGCGGCTCTCCAGCACGGCCACAGCCCCAGAAGCACAAGGACTTAATGCAGAACCCAGCAGCTTGGAGCAGAAAAGTGAAAGGACTATGCGTTAATCCAGGCCATCAAGTCTGCCAGAGGGGAAAGGGTGTTGCCCCATTCGCCCTCTCTTCTCTGGAAAGAAGGATGGCGGCCGCATGGGAGCCTTGTGGACAGCAGGTATGAGCCGGGGGTGTGGGGGCGACTAAAACCTCATGGGAAGGGGGGCGTTCCGGTCCATCCTTCACGCCCTACCGAGGTCACCAGTTGCCCCCCATGAACGGCTCTCCAGCACGGCCACAGCCCCAGAAGCACAAGGACTTAATGCAGAACCCAGCAGCTTGGAGCAGAAAAGTGAAAGGACTATGCGTTAATCCAGGCCATCATGTCTGCCCGGAGGGGAAAGGGTATTGGTCCCTTCCGCCCTCCTCCCTCTGGAAAGAAAGGTGGCGGCCACATGGGAGCCTTGTGGACAGCAGGTATGAGCCGGGGGTGTGGGGGCGACTAAAACCTCATGGGAAGGGGGGCGTTCCGGTCCGTCCTTCACGCCCTACCGAGGTCACCAGTTGCCCCCCGCGAGCGGCTCTCCAGCACGGCCACAGCCCCAGAAGCACAGGGACTTAATGCAGAACCCGGCAGCTTGGAGCAGAAAAGTGAAAGGACTATGCGTTAATCCAGGCCATCATGTCTGCCCGGAGGGGAAAGGGTGTTGCCCCAGTCGCCTTCTCCTCTCTGGAAAGAAAGATGGCGGCCGCATGGGAGCCTTGTGGACAGCAGGTATGAGCCGGGGGAGTGGGGGGGCGACTAAAACCTCATGGGAAGGGGGCGTTTCGGTCCGCCCTTCACGCCCTACCGAGGCCACCAGTTGCCCCCCACTAGCGGCTCTCCAGCACGGCCACGACTCCAGAGCACAGAAACCAATTTCTTAACTATCTGACTTTCAGTATAAATACTTCCAGGGTCAATAAGTAAAATAGCAGAAATCCAAAACCAACATTTAATTCTTGAACCCAGCTGTAGAAAGCAAATCACGTCACAATGCTTTTTCAGCATGTCTGATTTGGGGGGGGGGGTAAACTCTAAATTATAGTGGTGAATCTTTTATTGAAACAATGAATCTAATCAAAGCAGATAGAGTGTTAACTAGAATTCATCTGCCCCACAGGGACTGGGAGGGGTGGGGGGTGGGGTTTTATTGGGGTTCTTCATGGTAAAAAAAAAGTATTGGTAAAGGGAAATGTGTTTGATATTTGCATGACTGAGACCTAAACCTGAAAGCTTTGTAACCTTTCCCAAGGTGATTCAATAAATAAAAAAAAATTTAAAAAAAAAAAAGTATCCATGACGCCAGAAAGAGCCCCGAAGTATCACTGGGTATGGCCCACCCCCCCCCCCCCAAATTTAATTCAGGTTTCACTCAGCCAAACGGGATCCAGGTTTGGAAGGGGTTGGCAGCATTACAGTGAGGACAGCTGCCCTCCACCTCAGCCTTATTCCCCCAGCAGGAGAGAGGCAGGCTTTTACTCATCACTCATTGGCCAAGAGTGTTGCTTGACCTTCCCCAGACCCTTTGCTCACCTCTACTACATCCAGCTTTGCCAGGCTGTAATCCATGTCCAGGAAGTTCGGAAGGGGAAGTCCAATCTGGAGCAGATCTGAGAGACACAATCAGAGTCATGCCGGCCCAATAGCTCTGCAATTGATTGGGGAGGATGCACTCCCTGGAGCAGAGGTGAGGAGGAGTGTGCTGTGATTGATTCATCAGATCTGACTGCAAGTTGCAGTTGATTTCGATTGGAGATCTGACTCTAGTGGGGCTAAGCCGTTGTCAGAGTTCCATGTGTAGGAGGGGCCTTGGTACAGCAAAGTGACAGGAAGACTACATTAGGGCTGAGGCTATAATATAGTGCTTGCCTTACATGTCACCAATCTGGATTTGACCCCCAGTACCTCAGAAGTGATTCCTGAGTACAGAACCAGGAGTAAACCCTGAGCACAGCCGGGTGTGGTCCAAAAAGGGAAAAAAAATGAATACTTTAGTCTCTGGGTCACTGGAGCATGTGCTCTTTTGCATGCAGGATGCCCAGCCTCCACCTTCCAACCCCCTCAACCCCCCACTACCGCACAGAACAATTTTCCCTCACCACCAGGAGTGACCCCAGTACAGAGTCAGGAGTAGCCCAATGTGACTCACAAAAACACAAAAATCATGACACTAGTCCCAAAGTCTTAGCAACGGCCATCGGCTCCCTGTACCCTCCCCAGCTGGAGCCAATGAAGGGACTTTGAGACCATTCAGGCAGCCCTTTCCGCCTCAAATGCTTCTTGGCACCTGAAAAATCAAAGTGTTGGAGCCCTCACCATCAACTATGGGGACGTAGCCAGCTTTCAGATATTCAGTGAAGAAGTCCTTCAATTTCTCCTCCTGGAGGAGAGAGAATGGGGGGAAACACCCAGAGTTCATCATCCATGCCAATGTCATAGATTAGGTCAGCACTCACTCCAGCCAGCCCAGGACCCGGGGTAAACTCTAGTGCCCAATTGCCATCAAACCAGATCTCCTGCTTCTGCTTCAGACCAATGCCTTTTACTTCTTTTCCCTTCACTGCAGTCCCTGGGGATTTGGTCATAGGGAGGATGAGGGGATTCAGGAGACATGTTCTAGAGACCCCATCCCTGCTCCTCCAGAAAAGTCCATTCCGACCACTTGTTCACACCTGCCTCTCTTCCTCAATTTCCTCTCCTGTGGAGGCAGAATATAATAGTGCCTCCTCACAGGATTCCCATAAGGATTCAGTGAGTTTTGGTATCACCCAGGGCATTGTGGAAGTGTTCATCTGTGACTGCTGTGATTTGCTCTGGATATTGCTATGGCTCTGGTTTGTTTTTAATGTCTGCTAGGTCGAGCTCTGGGTGGGGCCTTGAGACTACAAAGACTGATTAAAAAAAAAGAAGAAGAATGAATGATCCCTGGGTCAACCATGCCAAGTCGAGCTGCCATGATGTCTGACAATTTTTTTAAATTAATCTGGGCTGGAGCGATAGCACAGCGGGTAGGGCATTTGCCTTGCAAGCGGCCAACATGGCTGACCCGAGTTTGATTCTTCCGCCCCTCTCGGAGAGCCCGGCAAGCTACCGAGAGTATCTCGCCCACACGGCAAAGCCTGGCAAGCTACCCATGACATATTCGATGTGCCAAACACAGTAACAACAAAGTCTCACATTGGAGACGTTACTGGGCCCGCTTGAGAAAATCTATGAACAATGGGAGGACAGTGAGGTTAGTCTGGGGAGACAGATTGTATCCAGAAAATGAAGCAGGGACTCAGAGAGGCTCATTGGCTCCCCCAAGGTCACACAGCAAGTCAGGAACTGCCCACCTGTGCATTGACTGCCTTCATTCTCTCTGTCCCCATTTCTGAGCCCTTCCCTGCAGTCCCTACTATAAGCCAAGTCAGGCCTCAAGCCCAAGGAGCAGAGCACCTGGGACACTTACACTAAAGTCTCCGACTGAGGAGAATGACCGGGTCAGGCTCAGTAAGCTGTAAAACAGGGGAAGAACGAGAAGAGGGAGGGAAATCAGGGCTGCTGCCTCTAGGCCCAGAGCAGCACCCACCCCACCCCACCCACCATCCTGCTCCCTCCACAGTGGACAGCCCAGGGGTCACCAGTCAATGCTTGCAAGCTGCCTAGGCTGAGGCACTCGCCGCCTCTCAATGCAGCTTATTCTGTTTCCCGCAGCTCAAACCACTGGGCAAAAAGGGGAGGGGGAGAGGGAGAGAGACAGACAGACAGAGGCAAAGACATAGAGAGACAGACAGAGACAGACAGAGAAGAAAAGCTCCTGCCATCGAGGCAGACAGGGTATGGGTGGTGGAGGGTGATTGGAGGGAACCAGGAGACACTGGTGCGGGAAATGTACATTGGTGGAGGGATGGTTGTTGGAACACAGTATGACTGGAACTCAATCATGAACAGCTTTGTAAAGGTCTATCTCACAGTGATTTGATTAAAAAGTTAAAAAATAAAAACTGGCATTCCTACATCTCCTTTAACTGGTCCTAACTCTTCCCTCTGGGACATCCACTCCCTGCTTCCCATCCATGTCTGTGGCTTCGGCCCTGTCAGGTACAGAGACCTGCCACCCTGCTAACCTAGTCCCACATTCTTGCAGAACAGTTGGGACCCAGCCCTGGCTCTCCCCTGCACAGCCTCCAATAGGCATAAGAATTAGCAGTAAGACAGGCCTCTGACGGTCACCTGGGGCTCTATCTCCCCAACATGGATTTGCTGTTCTAGTAACAAGCTCTCTATCTTCCATTCTCATTCTGAGGATGGAGCTGAAGCCAGAGCCCGCAAGGTGAGCATAAGACCTGGCCAATCAGAGTGAGTATTCTAACTGGGAGTTACTGATTGGCTTAGGCGAGGTCATGTGACCCCTGATCCGTGGGGGAAGCCCCAACCTTGGTCATTTTGTTAGAACTACTAGACCAGGGACTGGTCTTGTTAGGGTGAATGTTCCCCCGGGGACAAAAGCTACCCTTTTTTCCTCCTCTCCCCTGAGTATTGAGCCAGTAAAGTGGACAGCAAAGGCCAGGCAGGAAAGAGAGATTCTGAAGGGTTTTGCGCAGGCTGCCACCCTTGAGTTTTCAATTTTATGAGCAAGAATTTCCCCTTGGGGTTTTGATCAATTCTAATGAAAATTGTCTCCTGCAACTAAAAAAAATCCTAGCCTCTTACAAGTCAGATAGAAGATTATAGAAAATAGGGAAAAAATGAGTGATTGTAAAGCAGGGAAGTTGAACAGTGAATCAAATGTGTGCACAGTGTCTCACCTAGACAGAGCTCCATAAAGTAAGAAAAGGCTTCCTGGAGGAGGTGGCATATGAGATGAACTCAGATTGGGAAATGACATTTGAATGGTGCAGACCAAAGCCAGTTAAAGAAAAGGGGAGGCATGGAACAATGGTGAGACTCAGGACAAGGGCCTGCCGAAAAAGTGGGAGCAGCCAGTGAAGGATTTGAGAAGGACCCTCAAGTGCCAGGCTGAGATTTAAGAAAAGGTCAGAACAACAGGGAGGAGCCACTGAGGGTCTGGAGCACGGAGAGCTGGCAGTGTGGGCTCTGCTGGTTGTATCAAAGCCTGGAGCAGGAAACCAGTGGCATAGGCAAAACCCCCACAGGGGCACTGGGATGCCACCCAGACAGCAGGCACCCACCTGTTCATAGATGTGGCCAGCTTCAGTCGGTTCTTACTCAGTGAAAACTGGATTTTCATGTTGAAGTGCTGATTGGGAGAGGCAGGGGGAAATAGGTATGGTATGAGACCCAGTCAGAGCTGGTTAAACCAATGCCATCGCCACCTTTCCTGCACTACCTTCGCTTCCCAGACAAATCCAGGGTCCTTCTCTCTGTTCATTTCAGCTTCAGGAGCTGAACCCTTCAGATTCCCCCCTGGCCCCAGCTCAGACTCTTCATCCCTCCCTGGGCCTGGCCTGGGACAACAACCAAGCCTCGAACATACCCCACACTGGCCACACACACACACACACACAAACATCTAGCATATTTATGGGTCCCTGAATCTACAAATACCATGTGATTGCTCTAGACTTTGGCACACATGGAGTAGCCTCCATTCCCAGTCCTCCCAACACCGACCCCTTTCCCAGCTCCGGCTCAACGTTCAAAACCTAGCTCAGGCATCACCTCCTCCAGAAAGTCCTCTGATTCCTTCAGACTGAATGAGCTCTCTCTGGCTCCCATGATTCTCTGACTATTCCTGTCCTTAGAGATACTAATGAAGGATTGGGGGTGAAAGAGGGAAGGTAGGAAGAAGAAGGAGGAGAAATTTATCTAAGAGAAACTTTTGACCCTCGGTGTGTTGATTCTGAGTCATTCAAAGGATCAATGGCAGAGCCAAGAATCAGCCCCAGGTTGCAGTGCCTGGGGGGTTAACCACAGCCAAGATCAAGGAAGATTCCTTCCCTCCATTACTTGATGTCAACTGCAGCCCTGCCCTCTTGCCTCAAGTACCCACAAGGCTGGGTGGGACTGGGGTAGAGATTCGACTCACCATATCCAAGAGGAAGAGAGATGTGGGGGGCTTGCCACGCCGCCGTGCAGCAAACATCTCCAGGGTGCCATGGAGGTGCAGCAGACTCTTGCCTGACATCGTGGTGACCTTGGGTGGCTTATTAATCTTGATTTGTGTCACAAGGGGCTTTGACTTGGGGTAGGCTTTAGCCACCTATCGAAAGTAGACATCTAGCTCAGGGACACCCACCAGAACCGTGGCTTCGATTCAAAGCAGGAATCTGCCACATGAAGGGCGATTTCTATCTTTTAAAGTCAGAAAGCACAGTGTGGAAGGTTGGGGTGTGTCTACTGGGAAATCAAAGAAGCACAAAACAAACATCTCCCTAGTTCTATAGTGTTACATAAACAGTATGTAAGGAGCTATCCAGATGATGTCCCATTGAGTGAAGCATTGAACATCTGTGTCCTGAGGTCCTTGTGCTCTTAACTGGGAAAGAATAAGGCTCACAGGAATAGAGACCATCAGGCGTTGGAGCACTCACTTTTGGAATGAATTTAGCCAGTGTCTTGGTGGTTTGTGGGGGTAGCTTCCCAATCTACAAAATAAAAGCCAGAGTTAGAATTATTGAAGCCTTCCTTGGCCTATCCTAACAAACATCTCCTTTGATTAGAGAAGGGATATTCTAAAGTTCTCTTCATCAAAAAATGCATGATGCTGTGAGGCTGTGGCATTCCATAGCTTTTAGCATAATAACAAATACTGAGAAAATGTTGGATGAAAAAGTAGATGAATGTATAGATTGCAGAATTGAATGACTGAGAAGGATCGAGTGGATTAATGATTTCATAGATGAATAGAAGATAAGAAAACAAATAAGTGAATGGTTGGTTGGATGATGGATGAATGGGTATTTGAAGGATACAATGGCATAACAAATATATGATTCATGGGTTAATGAGTTGTAGAATAGATGAGAAGGAACATGGATAAATGAGGGGGTGCTTGGATGAGGGAATGAATGGGTGGATCAGTTAGGGTGGAAAGGATATATGCATGGATAGATAGATGCAGGGACAGATGAATAGATAAATAGGATAGCTGGTAATGTAGAGTTGAACAGAATGTTTGGGTGATCAATGTGAATGCATAGATTTACTAATTCCATAGTATCAGACCGTGTTCTAGATGTCGTATGGATGACGTGAAGGAATGAAGGGATGCTACTTGGAAGGATAGGCCCTAGGGGAGGAATACGTAGTACCAATATAGGTAAGTGGGTGGATATTTGGATAAAAAGAAGATAGGTGGGTGGCACATAAGGTTCATGAATAAGTTTGTATGGGCAACAAAATGGATGGGTGAGTAGCTGATGATCACAAGAACAGAGCAATAGTCAATTTGGGGGAGAGGGTAAACTGAAGGCAGAAACACATGTCAGTCTTGGCATCACCCAGTCCTAGAATTACCCATAATCCCAAGACAATGATTTCAGGGATGACAGAAAGTCATGTGTATGGAGAGGAGAGGTGACATTGAACATCCCACCTTCTTCTCTTCGATTTTTACATCAAAGGACTTCTGCAGAAGGGTCAGCTGTGAGGTGAGGAAGGAGGTCGAGAGCATCAGTTGTGAGGAGCCCTCAGCATAACTTTCAGGGATCTGGGGGGTCTTGTCAGCCTCAGCCAGTGCAATTGTGTTGCCTTCTTGCTGCTGCACCTCGGGCTAAGGGAGAGTAGAGAGTCAGGTGGGACCGTGTCCAGAGGCCAGTCTCAGAGCTCCAAGGAGGGCTCTCAAACCTTCCCCAAAGGAGCAAGTCACTGGATGTTGGATCCTGAGTGAGTTGTGGAGGTCCATGCACCCAGTGCACCAATGGGCTGACAGACGCCTGGAAGGCGAAGTCAACCCCTAACCCACTAGTTAGGAGCCTCCAAGGTTGCTGAAGGAACCCAAGATATGTGGAACCTGGGAGCAGGTTAAGAGGAGAGCCCCGGCTGGTCAGAGCCAGCTCGGAGGAAAACTTCTCTAGGAGCTGACTTTTTGGAAATCTTCTTCCCAGTTCTAGAAGATGCATCTCCCCTACTCACCTGAGGCTTGGGAGACATAGGTGAGGACCCAACTCTGCAACAACTCCAGCACCAACCTAGAAAGTTTGCTTCCCTGCGGGGCCCTAGTGCTCCCCACTCTACACTATAGCGGGAGACATAGAGTATAGAGGGGTGCACACTGGAAGGAGCATAAGGGCTCTAGCAGAAGGTGTGAGCAAGGAGTCAGCAGTGTCGGGCTTGGGGTTCCTGCTGAGAGAGGTAAAGGGAGGATGGGGGACGCTCATAGTGGGCCTGATCTTCGCAGACCCCAGGGGCCCTTCCTGCCTCCATAGCTTCAGCCCAGCCACCTGTCCGGGGGGCACCCCAGCACTCACATTGAAGTCCACTTGGAAGTAGCTGGCCGTGGAGGTCATGTCAGACAGGACGTATTTGACGGTGCCCACTGAGCCCACGGGCATGGGGTCTGTGCAGAGAGGAGTCTACATTCAGACACCCAAGGCCCCTGGAGCCTCTTGCAGGCGCCAGGAACACTGGGTCACCATGTGAGCTAAGGTCAGGGACTCAGTGCTCAGGGCTCAGTAAGGGCATCTAGGGACAGAGACTGGTGCCGCCGCCCCCCACCCCCATCTCTTCGCAGCCACAGAGCTGGAGGCTCCCCACAGGTTGGCTGATGAGGCCTAGGTCATCCCTGTTGGGCACAATCATCAGCTTTCCTCAGTCTCAGACTCTCTCCTCTCCAACACACTGGGGGGCCCTGGGAAGCACTGTGGCTCCCAAGATGGTGGTGGAGTTGGGTATTCTTGCAATCAGGAATAGTGCTCTAAAGGCCCAATGGCTGCTGTTCCTTGGCTGGGCATTGATGGACGGAACATTGGGAGGAGAAGTAATGAGTGAAGATCCCTGAGTCCCTCGAAAGCTCACCTGTCCCCTGGAGAAGGGGAGTGGGTGGACAGAAACCATAATGATTGGCCTCATCTAGTCCCAAGGCAGGCCCTGGGATTCCTGGATGTGGCCAGGAGGGCCACACTCACCCAGAAGGTTGGCCCACTTCTTGTTCACATACACAAGGACCGTGTCAATGGCTGGACACAGCTGGAATTAGAGAAAGTGTTAGACAGAGGGTCCCCCTGCATGGAGGACCTCACTCCTTCCAGCAGAATGGGGTTCCACAGCGGGGCCCACGATGAGCCTGGCAGGACAGGGCCTCAAAGGGAAAACTTCAGGCCACATGGAGAGTCAGAGGCAGAGCATGCTCTATGATCCAGCCTGTGAGATAGGTGAGGATTCGCTCCTGCTCACTTGAGGTGGGGCTGGGGCCCACCGCCACATACAGCCCTCCCTGTCCTCTTCCTGGGTTCATGGCAGACATCGCCAGCCCATCCCTGTGGGAGGCTGCATTCTTCTCAGGCATCACAGTCAATCAAAGTCAGTCACCAAGAGGCAAATGCAGCACCAGCCCTGGTCTAAGGTTGGCCACAGGTAGGCTCTGTGAGGACACTCACCATGCCGGGGAGAACTTTGTGCAGGGTGCTGTCCAGGAATTTGTTCACCACGTTGGGCAGCATGCTAGACAGAGGATGGAGACAGAGCCACAATTGGCAGGAAGTTAGGCACAGACAGGGATGCATCGGGGAAGGACGAGCTACGGTGTCGGAAGTGGGGTGTACCATGTGCCCCAGCCCTCCTCCCCACGGCCACAGAGCCCCTCACTTGCTGGGCAGGTTGGTCTTCACGCTGACCAGGTTGATCTCACAGTCCTCACTCCTGAATGTGGGGAGGCCCGTCCTCTCATCCTGCACGAGCCGGTAGGTGGCAGTGATGTTCAGGACGATGATGATCTCCATATTCCCGCCCATGAAGCTAGTGCAGGCAGGGAGGGGCTGGCATCAGAGGCATCCTAGCCACATGGTGTCCACTCTCCCTGTCTCCTCTGGGCCTATGAGCTCAGTAGCTCTGAGGATGGGGAAAGGTGAGGAACCATAGCCACAGGACAGGGAGGAAGAAGGGGAATGGAACCCGCCCAAGGTTCCACAGCCAGCCTTTCTTTGGTGAACTCCTCTACATCCTATTCCACTGGGAACTGATCTCCCAAAGGCCTTTTCTGATCCCTCTACTCTGCCAGTGCACCATCTGTCCTAATCCGAATCCTTAGTCTCTGGACCTCTGAGCTCAGGTCTTGTTACCCATTATGAGAGGATCTGAGTTTGCCTCATCTCAGACCACAGAAGCCAGGGGCTTCACAGGGCTCAGTACGTGAAGCACACTTCCTGTTCCTCCCCTTCCCTCCACGCTCACCTCTTGCCATTGATGGTCATGCCTGTGGACACACACTGGGAGACGCCCTTCCCGGGGATGAAGTTAAAGGTGATGTTCGGTTCCAGCACATCCGACACCTTCACACTGGACAGTCATCAAGAGAATCAAGGAAATGAGAGCCAGATCCTCCACCCTTTCCTCCACCACCTTGCCAGAAGATCTGGGGTAAGCCCCCCACTCCGTCTCAGGGACCAGCCTATCTCTCGGAGCCAGGGTGAAACAGACACAAAAGTTGGAGCACTTATCATAGGAGTCAAGATTATCTAAATGTATGCTCCTTCCTGTCTAAAGCCTTCTGCTTTTCCACGGGAAACATTATGAGCTTTGCTGAGGTCAGAGTTTCTCAAGAAGGGTTCTACTGACACCTGGGAGACTGACGATCATGGCGATCATGCTGTAGGTGGTAGGTGCGTAGAAGTAATTGTGGCCACAACCCACCAAGGACATAGGTGCCTTCCCCCTAGTCCATCCCTCAAGTCATGACAAGCAAAACTACCTCCAGATTTTGCCAAACAGACTTTGGAGGCAAAATCCCTCCTGGTGGCAAGCCTGCAGACCAGAAAGGCACACTGTCCTCAACCTCCCTCTGCTGCGCTCTTGGCAGGCATTACTAGTTGATTATAGTCCCATTTCCATTAATCCCATATGATGTAACAGAACCCATTGGTCCCGTCATTCATATTGTCATCACGTGATTCAGAGTCTGTGTCAGGAGTTTGCAGCCCCACCACTGGGAGGATATTCTCTCTCTCTCTCTCTCTCTCTCTCTCTCTCTCTCTCTCTCTCTCTCTCTCTCACACACACACACACACACACACACAGAGTGGCCTCCTGCTTGGGGTAGGAAACTAGAGCCTGTCTTTTCAACCCACTTTCTCCACCCAAGGACCCTGCTCACAACAGGAAGTGTCTGTCCAAGGACCCAGACTCACAACAGGAAGTGTCTGTTTAAGGGACCCTGCTCACAACAGGAAGTGTCTGCCCCTGTTGATGACTGAGGAGAGACCCAGGTATCAGACCTGGAAGAGGCTCCACCCCTGTTCCTGCTGCCCCTCCCCCACCCCTACCCCCCACCCCACCCCCCTCCCCCGCACCCAGTGCCCTCTCACTCTTTGATGCCTTTGACGGCTTTCATCGCCGGCCCATTATTGCTTGCTTCCGCAGCCATCTTCTCTAGGATCTGACTCTCCTCCAGGGCCCGCTTCACCTCTAGAACAGGGGAGGCCCCAGAGACACACTCGCTGTAGCTCTCACCACTCCAGCCCTGGCCCCCTCCTGACAAGGGGCACCAGTGTGGAGACCCAGCAGTGAGCCATGCCCCACCCCACCCAGCCCCCTTCTAGCTCCACGCAGGAGACACAGAGCCACCAGCAATGGTGGGCAAAGTGCTGAGAGTCTTCCTAAGTGTAGGCAGCTGGAGAAACTGCATGAGGGGTCGGGCCAGGAAGGGAAGTCTTCCAGAAGGAGGCGACAGAGTGACAGATCGCCCAGTCCTTGAGGGAGGAGCAGGAGTTGCAAAGGGATAAAGACGGGTTGGGCAGGCTGAAGACACAGCAGTACAGGTGGGTGGGGACGGAGAAGGTGGCATGGACAGGACCGTGATCAATTCAGCACGGCCAGAGGGTGGAGAGGCACAGGCTTGGGGGATGGGAGTCTTTGCCAGGGTATGTCACGGGAGCCTTAAACGCCAAGCCACAGTGTCCACTTGCTCCGGTGGCCCCATCACTGGGAATGCTGCGTGACTATGGCATTGCCTGGGATTTGCTCCCAGAAGATTCCAGCCTTGAAGCTCAACATTGTGTTCCCCACGAAGGAGACTGCATCCCCAAAGGAGTTTCTCATCCCTAATACACCTTCACTCAGGTCACAGGAGAATTCCCAGGGAGGGGACAAATGCTGAAGGCACAGAGCACTTCCATCAGCCCTTAGCTCCTGGGGGCCACTTTATTTGAAGCTGTGGAGTTAGAAAAACTAAACTTTCCTGGAGTCCCTTCAGGGGCTGTGAATCTCAGGTCTCATCTGATCCTTCCAAGGTAAGGCAAGAGTGTCCTATTGACACCCTACTGACACCTATTGACACCCTATTCACCCTTCTCTATATATTGACATTGACAGGTGAGTTAAGGAAACACAGAGAGAGGACGTGACTTGCCTGAGGTCACACAGCAAATTGTGGATAGAGCTAGGACTTGATGCCTGTCTGTCACCCCCACAGCCCATCTGTGGTCACCAGTCCCCTACCTCAGGGCCCAGGGGCAGTTCCAAGGAGTCAGTGTTTTCAGTTCTGCCTCCCACACTTGGGGGACCTCAGGCACATCACTCGTTTTCTCTGGGCCTCAGTTTACCCTACACACACACTTTGTAAAACAGAGGAATAATAATGTCTTCCTTTGAAGTTTATCTTCGGGATCATAAGATGCTCCAACCATGCAGACAGGAGCATCACGCTCTCCTGCCCACCCAGTCCCACTGCCAGCCCTTCTCCCGGGACCCCCAGGCTCACCATGGTTCATGATGTCCGTGCCCAAGTGCAGCTGGGCCCCAGGGTTGGCCCGTGCACTGGTCAGCAGGCCCCAGAATGCGAGACACGGGATCCACAGCATCCTCCACCTGTGCCACGGGGCTGGATTGGGTGCAGCCCACAGTGCCTGAGATATGTGTGTGCTCTGGAGTAGTGGGGAGGCCAGAGGGTCTCAGGGGCCCAGGGGCTGTCACTCTAGTGCTCCTCATCAAGGCTTCCCAAAGGCATCAAGGCCATGCAGGCCCCCAGGCCCCCACCGCACCCAGGGAGCCCTTCCCTCCCCAAGCCTTCTCCTTGGGCCACCCATCAGCCTGCATCAAGGGCGCTGGAGGGTTCTGCCATTTCCTGTGAGCCCAGGGAGGGCTCCAGGGATGGTGGTGCCACTGCAGAGAGAATTCCCCTGTGTTCCTGCCCCAGGGGGTGGGGACCCTCTGCTGCCCCCGCCCTCTGAAACTACAGCCAAGAGCAGCCCCGCCTCCTCTAGCTGAGCTCCACTTCTACAGGAAGCCCAGAACTCTCCACACAATGGGGAAACTGAGGCGCACACACACACACCCAGTCTCCCAGTCAGTGGGCAAAGAACCAAAGAAGGATCTCTCACCCCTGACCTTTATCAGGATTCCCAGGAGAGCCCCATCCCATGCTTGGACGACCTCCCCAAAGCCCCTCCCTCCTACTTACCAAGACCTGAGGGTCTCCCAACCGAAGGCCAAGTGCTTGTATCAAGTTTGAGCTATGGCTGAAAAGAACCAACGTGGATGGTGGCCACGATGCCAGGTGAGAGGGCTTCCAGATGGACCCCGGGGCCCACAGGCCTGAGCACTGAGAGCTCCTGTGCGGGGCTGAGCAGCCTGGCTCACACCTGCCTGCACACGCTCGTTCATGGCTCCGTTATTGAGTGCCTGCTCTATGCAGGCAGAGAGGCTGCACCACAAGGCAGTGGCTGTACCCCCTCCTGACCTCCGAATCTTAAACAGAAGCTATAGAATGAGACACAGGGTGTGTGTGTGTGTGTGTGTGTGTGTGTGTGTGTGTGTGTGTGTAAATATGTATGTATATGAATGTGAGTGCGTGCATGTCTGAGTGTGTGTGAATGTGAGTGTGTATGAATGCATATGTGAGTAGGCTCCTGTGTGTATATGTGTATGTTTGAGTGTGTGTAAATGTGAATGTGTAAGAACGTGAGTATGTAAGTGTGTCGAGTATGTATGTATGAATGTGACTATACATGTGTATGTCTGAGTGTATATGTGAATGAGTGTGTAAGAATGAAGAATGTGAGTGTGTGTGTGTGTGTGTGAGAGAGAGAGAGAGAGAGAGAGTGTGTGTGTGTGTGTGTGTGTGTGTGTGTGTGTGTGTGTGTTGGATTGGCTGGCACCTAACAGAGAAGCACTTCCTGCCTGTACGAGCCAGGAGGGTCCATTTGAGCATTTTGACCATATGTTGGTGATCAATCAGGAAACTGCAACCCATTTCTCTCTTATCCCGCTGCACATTCAAATGCCCCTTTGGGCCTTGGGCACGGCATCTCCTCCCCATGCTATGTGGAGGCAGGGCAGATGCAACCCTTCCACTCTGCTAGGAGGCGGCCCCTGAGAGACTGTGAGGTCTGGCCCCAGGGCAACAGGGTCAGGATCCTTGTAAGAGCCTGCTGCTGCCTCAGCCAGGTTAGGGAGACCCACCAGGAGGGTCACTGGAGCTCCCCCCCCCCCCCCGCCCGCCAATCCCAGGCCAGAGTGACACCAGCATCAATGCCTTGGGCATTTGCCCTCTGGGAATAAGAGACTTGGGGTGGCATGGTGGTACAGAGGGTCTGGGACAACAGCTGATGCCAGGATCTTCTTCTGGGCTATCCTGGGCACCTGTGCTCCTCTATGCCCCTCCCAAAGCTGTGCCCCTCCCCAGTCCCTAAACTGCTCACCCCTCAAGTCCAAACTTCAGCCCTGATGGACCCCCACCATTAACTCTCCCCCTGTTCTCCAACAGGGGCCCCAAGGCCCAGGTTTGCCTCTGCCCACTTACTCCAAGTCCCTTTGAGACTCTCCCGCCCCCCTTCACCTTTGCCCACTTTCTTTCCTCCCCTGGAATGTCCACCCACTGGTTCCCCTCACTGTCCCCCACCCTTGCCACCCAGCTCAACCCTGCAGCGTTCTGCCAGGTGGTGTCTATGGGAGACCCCGGGGGCCCGCTGCTACCCTGATCTTGCCCCGATCCCACAGGATCTAACAATGGCCTCATCTGGTGGGGGCGGGGGTTCTGGATGGGGCCCACGACATAGATCCAAGCCCTGATCCTGCCACCACATGCTGGGTGGCCTCAGGCAAGTCCCTTGCCCTCTTTGGGCCTCAGTAAGCTGGAGAAAGAGCCACTGTGGGGCCCACGCTTACCGAGCGAGCCCAGGAACGGGAAGTCCTGCAGATCCCAGACCCTGCCTCTGACCCCGGGGCCAGGAGGCCCTTATATTCGGGAGCCCGATTAGCTGCTGGGATAATGAAGGGCTTGATAAGGGCCTCGATAATTATCTAGAGGGCAGAGGAACAGGAGTTCTGCTCACGTGACCCTTCAGTCTGTTCCAATGTAAATAGCACAGGGGACGGGGACTGGACAAGGGCAGTCATTGGGCAGAGGACACTGTCACTGGACAGGGCCTCTGGGCTCCCACTGGAGCTCCCCCTGGGCTCTGGGCCTCCCATGAGGCTGGGGACAGAGTGACACCCCCCATGCCCTCAGAAAGCATTTATTGTACCCGCTAGATGTGGGCCAGGTGGGTTGCTGAGATGACTCGGTGACCCAGGCAGTGGGGAGTCCCGACCCAAGGGGGCTCCAGGAGCTTCAGGGGGAGATGCTGAGGCCCTCCTCAGTGAGCAGGCACAAAGTCAAGTCACTCCTGGGGGGCACTGGGCTGGGGATGGGAGCAGAGGGGACAAGCAGGGGCTCAGCAGGGACCATGTGACTGCAGGGCTGGCCCCTCTACGCCAGAGGCCTCTGGAGAGACCCGGGTCCCGCAGGGACCAAAGGTTTGTCGTCCCGTGCCAGCAGCTTCCCAGGCGCTCCCTGGGAGCCAAATCCTGTCTCCCCAGGCAGGAAGGCACATGCTCTGGCTGAAAGATGAGGAAGTCCCTTCCCTCATCTCCCTGGGCCATCTGCCCTGGGTTGCCCCCTGGATGGGAAGAACTTCCAGAGGAAAGAGCCATTAGTCACATCCCAGGGCTCACCATCACTTTGATCTGCTGGTGACCCAGGTCAGCCAACGCTGCAGCTGGTAACCCCAGCAATGAGCCGAGGTGGGGGTGTGCCTGGGTGAAACAGCTGAGCTCTCCATGCGGAGTCCAGAGGCTCGGCTGCTGCCCGTAGTGACCCGCAGCTCCTGGCTCTCCTCTCTGCACCTGTAAAATGACACCTGGCAGGGGCCCTCAGTGACAATGTGGGGGGAGACACCACCAGCTGAGGGCACAGGGGCCACCATCGCATCTGTGAGTTCCTGCATGTCCGCCTTGCTCTTGGGAATGCTTCCAAAGCAGCCTCGCTGGGCCTGGCGGGGAGTGAGGCAGCACATAACTGGTACAGGGGTCTGTATGCAGGCAGAGCATATGGTCCTGGCCCAACTGCCAGAGCCAGCCACAGAGGGACGGGCTCAGACAGCAAAGAGCTGGTCAGGCGGGAAGTTGCAACTCAAGGGTGTTTAATGAGAGGAGCCGGGTCTGTACACCGAGGGGAAGGCAACCAATGCCTGGGTGGAGGAGGCTAGAGGGGGTGGACAGGGAGAGGCAGGGGAGGGGAGGGAAGGGAGGGAGGGGAGGGGGTGAGGAGAACCCAGTTCGCAGTGGAGAGTAAACAGCCTGGCTGGGCCCTGGGCAGTGCGGCTTTGCCTCGGTTTCCCCTGTGACTTGAGACCCAGAGCAGAGAGCTGGCCCGTGCCCAGCCTGAGAAGGTGCTGCTTCAGCGCTCGTAGAAGAGGCCACTGGACACCACCACGTAGCCCTGTGGGCGGAAGCAGGACCCAAGTCAGAGGCCACCCGGTGGCCAACTGCCCCACCAGCCCACCTTTGAGTTCATGCTTGAACATTCTTCCTGTGTGTCCTGCGGACAGCCCTCGACAACTCTGGGCCTCGGTTTCCTGCTGTGTGACTCCTGGAGGTAACAGCGCCCCCTAAGGACTACTATGAGGCTGCAGCTCTTCCCAGGGGCCAGAGCACTCAGGTCCGGGGTGGGTCTGGATGAATCTCAGGCTGTAAGGTAGGGGTCCAGGCCCACTGAGGTCTTCTCCAAGTCCGGCTGGGGACCAGCCCCAGGGCAGCCTGGCCCACCCCTTCCCTCTCCTCAGGTCCTCTGTGCCCCCGAGAAAGGCACCATTCACCACATGCGCATGGCTGATTACCTCTAAATTAATTCAAGTCAAATGACATTTAAAAACTCAGTTCCTGGGTCAGAGCAATAATAGCATATCGGAGAGAATGCTTGCCTTGCACGTGGCAACTCCCTCTGGTCCCCAAGCACTGCCAGGGGTGATTCCTGAGCTAGGAGTAAACCCGAAGCATTGCCAGGTGTGGCCCCCAAACAAAAATAATAAATAAATAAATAAATAAATAAACTAAAGTTCAGCTTCTCAGTTGCGCTGGCTATACTGCAGGTACCCACGTATCAGTGCAGCTGACCGTCCTTGTCCATGTCCTGGAACTGGGACCTTGGCCTTGAAGCCAGTGGACGGGATCGTGAGTGCCACAGTGAGTGAGCCCCCTGCCTGTTCCTAAAGGGAGGGGTCTTTGGGGGAAAACCCTACAGATCTTCCATGGATCATGATCTTTCAAATGACAGGAGGGGGCATGAAGGGGAACATTGTCGTTATGCTGTGAGAACATTTTCCCCCAAAAGGCGCCAGCAGGTCCTCCCAACACTCAGGTGTCGGGCCCGCACACCCCAACTTCCTCAGCCTTCTGTCCCGTATGAGATTGGTTGGTCAATGAAGGGAGAAATGTATCTTGTGTCTGTCCGGGTGGAACAGAAAGAGATGATCAGATCTCACACAGTGCAGTAAAACTGCACCCTGGGCCCACCCTGTTGATCCAGAAAAGGCCATAAAGGGGAACAGACACTGACCACCACCTTCCCCTGCACCCCCTCCCCCGCCCAGTCTACTGAGATTTGTGTACAAAAGGTAGGCCCCGGGTCAGAGGGAGTATACAGCAGGGAAGGCATTTGCCTTGCAGGCTGCTGACCCCAGTTTGATCTCCAGCACTGCATATGGTCTTCCAAGCACCACCAGGGGTCACTCATGAACATCAAACCCAGAATATGCACATCAGACCCAGAATGGCCCCTGAGTTCCGCTGGGAGTGGCGGGGGTGGGGGCCTGAAATTAAAGCTGGCAGACCATGTCCTCCCAGGGCACTGAATCCCTTCAGACAGCCCAAGTCCCAAGTGCAGCTGACAGAGACAATGGGTTTAAAGAACTCCTGGGTTTTTTTTTTTGGGGGGGGGGTGGTTGGTTGGTTGGTGTTTTGCCTTTTTTTTTTCCTTCTTGAGTCACACCCAGTGATGCTCAGGGGATTACCCCTGGCTCTGCACTCAGGAATTACTCCTAGTGGTGCTCAGGAGACCATATGGGATGCCGGGGATTGAACCCTGCTCGACCACGTGCAAGGCAAACGCCCTACCCGCTGCACTATTGCTCCGGCCCAGGAAGCATTCCTGGGGACCGGCATGCTCATTACCACCCAGGTCTGGCTAACGCCCATTGTCTGCATGGGCAGGCAGAGTGAGAGAGGGGACCCCCAGTCCCCAGGCCCAGGCCCTCCCCCAGGGGTGGGCAGGAAGAAGTCACCCCAAAGGCACTTACCTCGTGGATGAAGACCTCGGGGGGCACATACTTGAGATTGAGCATATGGGGGAGGGCGATCCCCAGGCCCAGGAGAGCTGCAGGAGGGAGAGGAGAGATCAGGGTCAGTGGGGGCAGCGGCCAGAGCCACCGGGCCTCAAGCCCTCTGCAGGGTGGCACTTGTCCCTCATCCCCAGAAAGCGGAAGGCAGCATTCTGAGGCCCTCTTTACAAAAAGGGAAACTGAGATCTGAAAAAAAGAAGGACCTGAACAGCAAATCCCCTTCACCCACCCGCCCACCCTCTGAGCCTGAGGAACCGAGGCAGCCTAGACCTGGGTGCGGGCACAGGCAGACTCACCGTTGAGGTGGTTCATCAGGGGCTTCTTAAACACTGGGCCCATGAGCAAGCGCACTTGGTCGATCTACAGCCACAGAGCCACGGATCCAAGGAGCCACGGAGACAAGGAGACACAGAGCCATGGAGCCATGGAGACACAGGCACAGAGACACGGAGACACGGAGACACAGAGATACAGAGACATGGAGACACAGAACCATGAAGCCATGGACACATGGAGACACGAAGACACGAACCCATGAAAACACAAAGACATGGAGACAGAGCCACAAAACCATAGCCACAGAGCCATGGAGACACAGAGACAAGGAGCCACGGAGACAAGGAGCCACAGAAACATGGAGACACAGACCCATGGAGACACCGACCCATGGAGACACAGAGACACAGAGCCATGGCGACATGGAGACACAGAGACACAGGCCCATGGAGACACAGAGACATGGAGCCACAGAAATACGGAGACACAATGGTGTGCACAGGCAGCCAGATACACACAGACACATGGACACACAAAAGCACAGAAGCACAGAGGAAGGACAGTTGGTTGCTCCTGTTCTGTCTTCAGAGTTCAGCAACATCCCAGCCTCAGAAAGGGGTCCCCAGAGGGGTCACTAAGGGTCCAGCCCCTGCGAGCCAGCACAGTGTGTGCCTACAGGCGGCTGGGTCAGTCGCTGGCTGGTGCTCTGTTGGCTGACCCACCACCAGAAGGGCTGAGCGTAGACAGACTGACAGGGCCACACACAGGGCTGGCCACATCCCAGAAGGAATTGCCAGCTGGGGACGCTGGGAAGTCTCACAAACCAGGAAATTTGGTGGCCCACTGCTCAGGGCAGATGACAAGTCATTGGCCGCCAAGTGGTGACAGCCAAGTCATGGACCCCAGTGAAACCCAGAGGCTGACTAGCCGGGTGAACCCAGGAAGAACAGATGGATCCCAGGAGTAGGGGCTGGGAGTGCACATGTGGCCCTTTTGTCTGGCTCAGGGGTCCACCCGTGAGACCCCAGCCTCACACTCACGTCAACGAAGCCGACATTGGATGAGGTCATGGTGATCTGCACATCCCTGAGAGGAAGTCGGGGGTGGGGAGGGGGTTAGCGGGGACCCTTCCTGCTGTGCCCGCCATATCCCCTGCACCTCTGACACTCACCCCAGCACAGAAGTAAACCCACGAAGCTTCACCTTGGACACGGAGAGCTGGAGGCTCAGGTTCACCTCCTGGGGTTATGGGAAAGCAGGGTCAAGGGTCAAAGGATACTGAGCCTTTGGCTGGTCCCTACTCCCCCACCATCCACCCATCGGGACACTCATTCAAGTTTTTCTGCAGCACAGGCAAGTGGTCAAGGGGGACCTATAACCATATGTAACCAGTGTAACCAGTAACCAGTGAAATCCTTGTGGAGATGGTAGGCAGAGAAGGGAGATAGCAGCATGGCAGAGGGGAGTGTGCAGAGAGCAGGCAAGGACCAGCTTACTCAGGGTTTGGGTGGTTTGGGCACATGTCCACATTTAAGCTGAGAGCTGAAAGATGAGGCAAAGCCAGCCCAGCAAGAAGCAGGAGAAGTGTATCTATCATCTGAGGCACAGAGCAGAGCACAAGCGAAGGTCCTGAGGCCACCACGTCCTGACACATTGCAGGCGCAGCACAGAGACCCAGAGGGCAGAGTTGAGCGAGTGAGGAGCGTGAGGCAGGAAGGGCAGTTTCCTTGGGGTCTCCTCGCCAGCACCCCCCACCCTCACAGCCCAGCTCACCACGTCCATTGAGAAGAGGGACTGGAAAGCCGAGTTGGAGGTGGCGACCAGGACCTCCACGAAGGGCTGCAGCCGCATGGTGGCATTGCCGGCGCCAAGCGTGGCCTCAGGCGTGGCGCCCAGCCGTACTTTGAGCACCACGGGCATGGGGTTGGGGAACTGGCGGGTCACCTGCAGAGGTGAGAGAGTCGGGGAGTGGAGGGGCGGGTCAGTGATGGGCGAGAGGGACACACATAGTGTCCCAGAACACGCTCAGGGTGTGGCCTGGGAGGACACGCCCAAACTGGGTCATCCCCAACAGGAGGGAGAGAAAAACTCGTGTCCAGCCTGAGGCCAGGCACAGAGGGGAAAGACGACGAGGTCTGGGCAGACAAAGGGGCCACTCGGAGCGGGAAGGGTGCAGGCAGAGGGACAGACATAAGCAAGGGAAGCTGCCCCCGCCCAGAGGGTCACACATCCTCCCCTGTCCCTGCCCCAGGCTAGCTGGAAGTGTCACCAACCTCAGGGATGAACTGGCCGAGCCAGGAGGTGTTGAGCGGGTTTTCATCAGACTTCTGAAAGCATCAGCCAGTAGAGATGGGTCAGTACGGCCATTGCCCAGCTCAGGAGGGCCTCCCAACACCCCCATGGAAGCCCCCCTGCAGCCAATGAGGCCCAGAGCTCCAGGGCCCTCCCCCCGGGGGGGCCTCCGAGGGGGTCTCCCTCACCAGCTGCCCCGTGACATCCAGGTTGAGGGCCCCAGCCTTCTGCAGCAGCAGGAGGGCTGAGTCGAACAGGTCCTGGGAGAGGCACAGGGTCACCATGGCGCCCGGCGCGCCCACAGGCTGAGGCGGCAGGAAGGGGGTGGCGTTCACAGCCAGGACGATGGGACTGCCCAGCAGGAAGAGAACCGCCTGACGGGGGGAGAAGGAGCAAAGAGCAGGTTCCTTGGCAGAACTCGGGCTTCCGCCAGCTGCGTGCTGCCCCCTCCCTCGTGAGCCAGCCATTCCCACTCGCCCCCTCCCCATGCCCCAACCCCTGGAAGAATCTTCCAGAACCCCCTGGGCTCGGGGCTGGCAAGGAACCACTCACGTTGATGTCCAGGGCAATGTAGTCATTGGTGACTGTGGGCTTGCCGACCATGAAGTACTGGATCTGGGACTCGGGGCCCACGGGGGTGAGGCCTGAGGGCACCAGGGGGCGAGATTACGTGGTCTGCCAGCAGGCCCACCCCAGCCACGGGTGTGCCGGCATCCCCGCATCCCTCCTCATGAGCCCGGCCCACGCCAAGTGACAGGAAGGGCAGGACAGGGCTTGGGAGAGAAGAGTTGAGGTTGGGGGGAGGGCCTGCCCCAAGCCCCGCTCACAGCCTGTTGGCTCTTAGTCAGGTCACATCCAAGCAATATTGGCTTCTGCTCCCCAGACAGTGCTCCACTAGAGACCCCGAATTCTAGGGAGGCAAGTCTCCAGGTAGCAATGCCTCTGACAAAGGCAGGAGGGAGCTCTCATTTCTCAGGGTGGACATGGGACTCGCGACCTCAGTCAGCCTCACCGCCGTCCTGTCAGCCCATGTGCCAAGGGAGTTGACCCTGGCCTGGAATCACACCTGCCAGCCTGACCCCAAGGCGGCTGTACATACAGACATGCACAGAGACACACGGACACACTCAGACATGGATACACACACAGACACGGATACACACACAGACATGGATGCACAGACAGACACGGATACACAAACAGACAAGGATGCACAGACAGACACGGATACACAAACAGACAAGGATACACACACAGACACGGATACATACACAGACGCACACAGAGACACATGGACACACACAGACACGAATACACACACAGACATGGATGCACACACAGACCCACAAGGAGACACATGGACACTCTCAGACACAGATTCACACACACATGAATACACACACAGACATGCACAGAGACACATGGACACACACAGGCCCGATATACACACAGCCATGCACTGAGACACACCGACACAGACTTGGACACACACAGATAAAGCACAGACATATGGACACATACACACACATAAACATACATAGAAACGCAGTAAAACATACAGACACAGACAGACACTCATACAGACACAAAAATACAGACAGACACACATACGCACACACACATACACAGAGACACAAACGGACACAGGCTCATACAAACACACAGGAACATGACCTCTCTGTCTCTCTCTGTCTCTCTCACTCCCTCTCTCTATATATATGTATGCATATATATTATACATACACACAGATACACACAAAAGCACCCCAAGACAGTTCTGCACTTTGGCACCTCCCCAAGTCCACCAGTATCTATCCAGTCATCTTCTGACTGATGTCTGACCCCCCAGTACGGGAGTCTGAGAAGGGTGTCAGTCCCCTCCGTGGGGCCCCGGGTCTCACCTATCAGTGTTCCCAGGTGGACGTTGAGGTCCTGCACCAGGCTGGCGAGGCTCAGGCACAGCTGCAAGGAAACAGAACCGGGTCCAGAGGGCCTTAGGCTGGCGGGCAGTGTCGGGAGCCCGGAATCCCTCCTTAGGCACCAGGAGCATCTTTGGGTGCCTTCTAGGGCACCAAGGACTGGTGGGAGCCGGTGCTCTGAGCTCAGCCCAGGGGACCACAGCAGGGCCCAGGGACACGGCAGGTAGCAAGCCACACGAGCATCAGCAAGTGGAAAGTGGTGCTGGTGGGCAGGCAGGGGGCAGCTCGCTGGGCCCAGGGCACCCACCGAGCCACTGGCTGAGCTGGGCTGAACATGACAGAGGAGGTGAGTGTCGACCACAGGGCTGGGGCTGACCAGAAACAGAAGCAAGGCCAGGTCAAGCTGCGTGGCTTCAGAGGGCAAAGCCAAGGGCAGGGGAAGTGGGAAGGCACCGTGGGGGGCTCCACAGCAACCCACAGAGAGGGCAGGGAGGGCCAGAGGGAGAACCAGCTCCTGGGCCAGGGAACTCCAGTGCCAGCAGGTCAGCGCCCACCCTCTCACCCCAGCTAAGGACAAGAGCCAGCACCCACCCACCCAAGAAGGGGCACCTCTGAGCGCCTCAGCCCAAGGCCACCCCCGGGGAGCTTCTCCCACATCCTGGTGTGTCGGTGGGACTGGGGAAGGTGGGTGGGAGCCAGGGAAGCTCCCGGGAGGGAGGAACCGGGACCCCAGCCAGGCCACATGCTTCTCAGCCCCTGCTGCGTCCACTGGCCAACAGCAGAGTCCCACCCCAGCCCAGTGTGCAGCTGGGGCTGGAACCACAGAATGAGCCCCCCGGGCCCCCAAGAGCCTCTGCCTGGGCCACCACCCCGACCTCTCCTCATGGAGGAACCTGGGCCCCCCACTCCTGGCTCCAATATGGAAGACGGTTGCCATGGCCACTACCCGCCTGGCTGCACCACACCAGGGCCGCCTTCTGAGCCATGCCATGCCCCTTGCAGGGGTCTGGCGAAGAAGGCAGGGAGGGGAAGGGCGGGGGCATTACCTTGTTCCTCAGGACGGATTTCAGATGCTTCTGCAGTGGCAGCAGTGCCGGGGGGCTGGAGGAAGAGGCATGGGATAAGGGGTCCTCAGCGGTGCTCCCCCCCCCAGGCAGGGCTGCCTCCATCACGGCCCAGCTCCCCCTACCCAGTCAGGGCCCAGAGGCTCCCCTCACACTCTCCCGCACAATCACCTCCAACAGGGAGGCCTCACAGAGGGGTCTCTGTGTGGGTGCCCCCAGCACAGCCCCCATCCCGGAGGGAAGAAGGGCTGAGTGCCCTGAGGTCCCGAGGTGCCACGCGGGTGATCACCAACCTGTCCTGTGGCAGGCAGATCCCATGGGCCCTGGGTCAGGGAGGCGGGGCCCCAGGTCTGCCTCCTCCTGGGGCACCCCAACCTCACCCCAGGCCTCGGTTCTCCCGTCACCCAACCAGACCTGGGTCTCAGGAGGCTGCTCCCTGCAGAGCCACCCCAGGGACAGGCACCAACTTCTGGGTGTTTGTCCCCATCAAAGAACCTCAACATAACGTGCTGAAAGCACACTATGGACCAAACACGATGGCTGCTTAGTGCCTATAATGCAAACAACCATAACACCCCAAAGGAAAGAGAGTAAGAGGGAATGTGTCTGCCACAGAGGCGAGGAGTGGGCGTGGTGGGAGGGACAATCGAAACATTGGTGGTGAATGGGCACTGGTGGAGGGATAAAGTAAAGTAAAGGCCCTCCCGTTGATCATCGATTTGTTCGAGCAGGCCCAGTAACGTCTCCATTGGAGACTTTGTTGTTACTGTGTTTGGCATATCGAATACGTCACGGGAGCTTGCCAGGCCCTGCCGGGTGGGCGAGATACTCTCGGTAGCTTGCCGGGCTCTCTGAGAGGGACGGAGGAATCGAACTCGGGTCGGCCATAATGGCTGCGTGCAAGGCAAACGCCCTACCGCTGTGCTATCGCTCCAGCCCAAGTGGAGGGATGGGTTCTCGAATATTGTTTGATTGAAACATGAAAGCTTGTAAGTCTGAAACTGTAGCTCATGGTGATTCATTAAAAATTTTTAAAAATACTAGAAATGTGATAGCACAGAGGGTAGGGCGTTTGCCTTACAAGCGGCCAAGATGGCCGACCCGAGTTCGATTCCTCCGCCCCTCTCGGAGAGCCCCGCAAGCTACCGAGAGTATTCGATATGCCAGACACAGTAACAACAAAGTCTCCAATGGAGATGTTACTGGGCCCGCTCGAGCAAATCGATGATCGACGGGAGGGTCTTTACCTTTTTTACCTTACTAGAAATGTTCAGGGGGAAAAAAAGAACCTCAACAGGCCCTGTCACAAACAAAACAAAATCAAACAAATTGGGGCTGGAGCGATAGCACAGCGGGGAGGGCGTTTGCATTGCACACAGCCGACCCGGATTCAATTCCCAGCATCCCATACGGTCCCCTGAGCACCGCCAGGGGTGATTCCTGAGTGCAGAGCCAGGAGGAACCCCTGTGCATCGCCGGATATGATCCAGAAAGAAAAACAAAACAAAACAGGCCTTGTCATGAAGACTCATGAGGGGACAGGGGTGATGGAGTCTGGGTACTATGGGGACACAACCCCTGCTGGGGTAGGGGGTCCTGTCTTTCTCTAACTTTACACTCTGACTTCTTCTTTCCCCTCCCTAGTCTCCCTCCTGCCCTCTCTCACCTCCCCCTTCCTCCTCTACACCGCCTCCCCTCCCCTTCTCCTCCCCTAGCAGGGAGACCTCCCTGCCCCCTCCCCGGCCCTGGGGATGAGGGGTAGGTAGACATGAGGGTCACAAGCTGCTGCCTGGGCTCTGTGCTCTCCAGCAAGACACCTCTGGGCCTCGGCTGGCTCCCCGTGACATAGAGCCATGCTTCCACTGCCTGGGGGCAGATGCAGAGGCAAGGGGCCCAGCGGGAACCCCAAGGGGTTATTAGCAGCAATGCTGACAGTGGGAGTCTTAGCAAACCCCCACCACTCCGCGCCAGGGACCCCTCCCAGATTATGTTCACTCCTGTGTTCACCTAGAAGTTCACCACTGACCTCAGGCAAGCCCCACCCCGCTCCAAGCCTCATGTCTGGCCAGAGGCCAGTGTGCATGTATGGGTATGGGGAGGGGGGTCTCTGGGGCCTCCTGAGTGCTAGGGGCAAGTCTTGAATCAGGTGGTCAGGGAAGGGTCGCAGTAGCTGCCGCCTGGGTGCCACAGCCCTGCCCCCCGCAGACACCCACCTGTTGTGGCCATCGAGCAGGAAGCCGTGGTCCAGGGATGGGATGCAAGCAGAGATGCTGACCAGCGGGCTCCGGATGGAGCTCTGGGTCACCCGGGCGTCGGCCATCAGCTCCACAGGCAGCTTCAGCTCCAGAGGCTCAGGGCCACTGCTGGGAAGCCAGTGCTGGACCCCAGCGGCACCCCCAGCATAGCCCACCCTGACCCAGGCAAGACCCCATAGAGCCCCTGCCAGAGCTCATCCTCCACTGGACAGATGCAGGGGTCCTTGCTGGCCCCCAAACTCCAGTCAGATCCCGGACTGCAGCCGAAGGTGCGATGCGGGTTTCCTAGACTCTGCCTCTCCCACACAGAACCTGTTTCCTCGTCTGCACCATGGGCGTGTGACAGTGGGCCCCTCTCACAGGAACTGTGCACTCTACAGCCAGCACCAGAAAATTGGGTGTCAAGTGGCCAGAGGGGTTCAAATGAGACTCCCAGCTCATGACGTAAAAGTGAGGTGCAGGGGGCTGGAGCGATAACACAGTGGGTAGGGCATTTGCCTTGCACGCGGTCGACCCGGGTTTGATTCCCAGCATTCCATATGCTCCCCCAAGCACCGCCAGGAATAATTCCTGAGAGCATGAGCCAGGAGTAACCCCTGAGCATTGCCAGGTGTGACCCAAAAAAAACCCAAAAAAAGTGAAGTTCGGGCTAGAAAGATAGGACAACAGGGAGGGTGCTTGCCTTGCACACAGCGGCAGACCAGGGTTCTGTCCCTGGCACCACATGTGGTCACCAGAACCCACTATGAGTGATCCCTGAGTGCAGAGCCAGGAGTCAGCCCTGAGCACTACCGGGTACAACCCCCCAAAACAAAAAACAAACAAAAATGCATGTGACTGACATGTGCAACTAATTCTGATGGCTCCATTTATTGAGCACCTACTATGCGATCACAATTTCAATCACAGTGACAAATTCACTCACTGCCACCCTCAGAGCCACACTTCCAGTTTCCACCATTTTATAGGGGGGAAACCGAGGTCTGGAGAAGGCTGGAAACTCATGCTCAGCTTCTGAGCCGACTCCAGGTGCCCAGAAGTCCTAGCACTGCCTCTGTCGCCCACAGGAGGGCCAGACAGCAGGAACTGGGCAAGGGGGCGGGGGAGGAGTGAAGTGCATGTCATAGGAGGGACCAACCCTGTACCCTCTCCTACCCCCATCTCCAACAAGGGTCTTCACTCACCGAAAGACCCTGAATGTGAAATTGGCTGCTGCCGACACACGGATCCCCATACCGGCAATGAACGTCAGGTGGAGGTCGGGTACCTGGACATCTGGAATCTGGATCCTGCAGGGTAGGAAGGAAGGGGACAGTGTGGCCCTCATTTAGACACTGAGCCCCCCGGGACAATACTCTGAGTCATACCCACACTCTTGGTGCTACAAAGGACCTTCTGGGCACTTTCCTTGAATCCAGGCCACCCCAGTTCCATCTCTGGCACTGCAAATTCCACCAAGCAGTGCTGGGTGTGTATTCCCTGCTACAAAAGGTGGGATGTGGGGGAATGGGTAAATAACTTTCTGGTGAGTGGAACCGTGGGATGAGGAAGAGGTAGTGAGTTCTCCATCAGAGGCAATATGCAAGCCATGCAGGGAGAAGATGCAGAGAAGACGTCTGCACTGGGCAGGAATGGGAGTAAGATGATTGCTCGGGCCTTGAAGGATGTGGTTTCTGATAGGGACTCTTGGAAGCTGAGAAGGTGAAAAAAAACCCAGAGATGCCCTCTGGGGCACCCAAGTCGTTAGCTCTGACTTGCAGGCCCCTGGCAAAGGGACCATCACCCCCAAAGTCCCCATCCTGGCTGCCGAGTAGTCCCCACCTAGCCTGTGGTTAATTAATCCTTCCTGCGTGAGCTGTCTGCCCCAACATGATATTGAGCTGTATGCAGACGTGTGTTGCAGCATTAGAGTATTTGCCTTGCGTGTGAGAGGCCCTGGGTTCAGTCCCCAGCACTGCAGAGAAAGGAGAGGGGAGCCAGAGAGACAGTGCAGGAGTGAAGGCACACTGCCTTGCTCACAACTGAACCTGGTTCGATCCCAGGCACCACATATGGGCCCCCAAGCACCACCAGGGCTCACTGCTGAGCACAGAGCCACCAGGGTGCCATCCCCGGCATCTCATACGGTCCCCCAAGCACCGCCAGGAGTAATTCCTGAGTGCGGAGCCCTGAATATCACCAGGTGTGGCCAAAATTAATTAATCGATTAATTAACTTAATTTAATAAAAGTCATCTCCAGGTATCTTGCTGAGTAAAATCATCCAGAAGAGAAGGGACAATTACAGAACAGCCTCTCACGTGTGGGAAAGATGGAAACATAGGGCCAGAGAGAGAGAACAGCAGGTGGGGCTGGAGAGACAGTACAGCGGGAAGGGTGTTTGCTTTGTACAGAGCCAAGCCATTCAATCCCTGGCATCCCTTATCGTCCCTTTTTTAAACTTTTTTATTTTTATAAAGTTGTTCACAATAATTTATTACATTCAATTTTTCAACACCAATCCCACCACCATTACACCTTTCCACCACCGTATGGTCCCATGAGCCCGCCAGAAGTGATCCCTGAGTGCAGGGCCAGGAGTAAGCCCTGAGTACCGCTAGACATGACCCATCCACCACCCCCAAAAAAATCAATTAAAAAATTAAGGAAATAACAAATGTCAAAGACACTAGAACCTGAGAACTGATTTACAGAACTGGGCTTACTGAGGGCAGGCGATAGGTGTGTGCAGGTGTCTGTGTGTGTATGTTTGTATGTGTATGTGCGTGCATGTGTGTTTGGGGTATGTGTGTGTGTGCGTATGCACGTGTGTGTGTTGGGGGGTGTAAGACAGACTCTCTGGTAGCTTCTGTGAACACTCTGTGGACACTCTGGAACAGTGTGTGTCTGAACCCCTGCATGAGCTATATCGTCAGCTGGTGCTTCGAATAACACACTAGGGCAGAAAGTGTCTAGGCCAGGAACGTGCTCGGTGGTGAGGCACCGGCCATACCATGCAGGCCCGGGAGCTGGGCTCACACATTCTCTCTGTCCTCGGCCCCAGGGACAGTGACCCTCACTTTGCTGTGCCCCACTTGACAGCCCGTACACCGGCACCTTCAACATCATCTCAAACAACCACGAACAGCGGGTGGCCTGGCTCCCGGCCATCTGCACCCTGCAGAGTGTCCATGTCCTCAAACCCCTCCAGAGCCACACTCCAGGCAGCTCTTGGCATCCTTCACAACTTGGTCGATTTGAAGCTTCTTGATATGCCAGAGAGATTTTTTTAATGGGGAGACATTCAGGAGTACCAAGGCCCTGGAACCACTCTAGCAAAGCTCAGCCTGGGCAGCTGGTGGAGCTGTGGGTGATCACGTGACAAGCCCAGAGCCTCACCCTCCTGGGCCCTCCTATTTCAAAACATATGCACTGCAGCACCGTAGCACTGTCCTCCCGTTGTTCATCGATTTGCTCGAGTGTGCCCAGTAACATCTCCATCGTGAGACTTGTTACTGTGTTTGGCATATCAAATACGTCACGGGTATCTTGCCAGCCCAAAACATATGAAAAAATATATAAATATATTCGATGAGAGGGGCCAGGAAGGTAACTCTGGGGTAGAGCACAGGCTGAGAGCATGGCCACCCCGCCACCTCAACCACAGCCACCGGATATGACCCCTGTCACAGATTTAAATAAGTGAACAATTAATTATGGATATAAGTGTGTAGGAGAGAGACACAGAGAAAGTGTGCATGTAAGACATAGACAGAGAAAGAGTGTGTGAGATAGAGAGAGGGGTGTGAGGGAGAGAGGGAGGGAGATGAGGAGAGGAAAGGAGAGAGAAAGAAAGAGGGAGAGAGGGAGAGGGGGGAGAGAGAGAAGGAGAGAGAGAGAGAAGGAGAAGGGAGAGAGAAGGGAGAGGGAGAAGAATAGCGGGGAAGAGAGAGGGAGAGATAAGGAGAGGAGAAAGTGAGAGGGAGAGGGGAGAGGGAGGGGGAAGAGGGAGAGAGAGGGAAAGAGAAAGGGAGATCTTGGTAGAGGAACCTGGTCTGGACTCTGCCCTCCCTCCTTTGTCAGTTGACTCCCAGGAAGCTGCAGTTGCAAGTCAGGCTCAAACTTAGGGGTTTGGGGGTCTGAACTGGGGTGGATGATGCCTTCAGAGGTATGTGGTGGACTGCCATGTTCTTCCCAGGGAGGAAGGGGAGCACTCACGTGGCAGGTGGGAGTACTCACCCAGTGGTGGGAGCACCTTCTCTGAGGCCGGGAGCACTCACCTGGTGAGCTGAAGCTCCTTTCCATTGCGGTCCCAGAAGTGCGGAACGGTGACCTGAAGGGCTCGCTGGAGAGGGGCCTTCCCGATGTCAGACACTGGGGGGCCAGAGCAGCATTGGGGTCAGGTTCCCTCTGAGGGGTACCCCACACTTTAGGCAGCCGGGGACTCAGCAAGTCCCACCTTGGTGAAACAGCTACCAAACCCTGCAGGGAACGCCAGGTGCTCTCGCTTCTGCCCCTGGACTCCCCTCCACTCTAGCCCACTCCTCAGAAACAGCCTCCACACTTCTGCAAGGCTCCCATCAGCTCCCCCCTTCTGCAGAGCAAGAAGAACCCTCCAATGGAGCACCCCCACCTGGCATGGTGAGCTGGGGAGGAGGCCCGGTTGGGCTGCCGGGGGAGGCAGCCACACCTGGAGACGGGGGCTCAGGAGTGCCACGGCCTGGCCACTCTCTCTCTCTCTCTCTCTCTCTCTCTCTCTCTCTCTCTCTGACCCCTGGAATTTCCAGCATCTGGCACCGAGGGGCTCTGAGAAGTCTCAGGGCACAGGAAATGTCACTTCTCACTAGCGCTGTCCAGTTTCCTATTAAGAATCTCATGGCTGGGGATATGGTGCCGCCAGCAGATCAATCTGTAATCTGTACCTGTGAGGTGAGTGCATCAGCAGCCTGATGGCAACACCAGACTTTCAGATACCCCAAAATTGCTGCTGTGCCTTTGGCCAGACCCCAAAAACTTGGGGCAAAGTTTACCAAGAAAGTAAACGGCCAAATGTTAGGTATGTGGGAGACATACCCACAAACCACCTCAGCTATTTAATTGGAAGCATGGCCCCTCTGGTTCCTGATCGAACTGCTTAATGGCCATGATCCCAGAGTATCAGAAACGAATCTAGGAACCCAAAGGCTTTTGGCAGAAATGCGTCCTGTTCCTGCAGTAGGTCACTGGCGCTGGGTCACTCCAGGTGGGAATAGGTTTCGTGCCTTGGCCTGTTCCCCCTGGCGGTCTGGTGACCACCATCCTCCAGAGGCCACTGGACAGTCAGGTTTGGGCCTTCAGTGACGAGACACATGGGGCCTCACCACATGGGGGTGGAGTCGACTCTTTCTTCCCATCCCAACAAGACGCTGCCTACAAACGGCCTCTCTGGCTGATTAATAGCCATAATACTGGAGACTCAGAAACAAATCTTGAAACCCAGTGGCTTTTGGAAAAAATGCATCTGGACTGCATACAGGATGGCCACCAGCTCAGAGCTTATTGGAAAGCCAGGTATGGGCCAGCGGTGACGGAGCAACTGCAGTCTCATGGGAAGGGGGGCGGTACTGGCTTGTCCTTCACGCCCTACCAAGGTCACAAGTTGCCCCCCACAAGTGGCTCTCTAGCACGGCCATGGCTCCAGAGGCAAACGGACTTAATCCAGAGCCCGGAAGCTTGCAGCAGAAAAGTGAATGGACCATGCGTTAAACTACGGCGCCATGCCTCCTCGGAAGGGAAAGGGTGTTGCTCCCTTCTGCCTTTCTCCCCACTGGCAGCAAGGTAGCCACCACCTCAGAGTTTATTGGAAAGCCAGGTATGAACCGACAGTGAAAGGGCAACTGCAGTCTCATGGGAAGGGGGACGGTACCGGCTTGTCCTTCGTGCCCTACCAAGGTCATGAGTTGCCCCCCACAAGCGGCTCTCTGGCACGGCCATGGCTCCAGAGGCAAAAGGACTTAGTCCAGAGCCCGGCAGCTTGCAGAAGAAAAGTGAATGGACCTTGCACTAAACTATGGCGTCATGCCTCCCCAGGAGGGAAAGGGTGTTGCTCCCTTCCACCTTTTTCCCCCCTGGCAGCAAGGTGGCCGCCACCTCAGAGCTTATAGGAAAGCCAGGTACGAGCTGGCAGTGACAGGGCAACTGCAGTCTCATGGGAAGGGGAGCGGTACCGGCACGTCCTTCATTCCCTACCGAGGTCACAAGTTAGCCCCCACGAGCGGCTTTCCAGCACGGTCATAACACAGGACACACAGAAACCAATCTCGTAATTATCTGGCTCTTTGCAGAAATCCAAAATCGTGGCCGCGTGACATTATATGATTCTCATAACCAGCTATAGAAAACAAAATATTTCACAATGCCTTTTCAGCAATTCTGATTGTTTGGGGGAAAATTCTAAACAATAATGGTGCATCTTTTGTTGAAATAATAAATGTAATCAATGTAGAAAAGAGTTAAGTGGAAATCATCTGCCTCACAGGCATTTGAAGGGGTGGGAGGGGGTGTATACTGGGGTTCTTGGTGGTGAAAAATGAGTACTGGTGAAGGGGAAGGTGTTTGATCATTGTATGACCGAGACTTAAACCTGAAAGCTTAGTGACTTTTCCCACAGTGCTTCAGTAAATAAATATAAAAAGAAAAAAATTTTTAAAAATTAAGATGGAGTTCATGCCGAATTCAATCAGCTAATCAGTGGCTGAATAAATAGCAGTACTCCTACAAAAAAAAGAAAAAGAAAGAAAGAAAAGAAAAGAATCTCATAGCTCTGGGGCGCCTTGATGGAAAGTGGATTCTGGGTGCTCAGTTGCTGACTGGGCTGGCTGGGCTGATGGAAGAACCCAGTGGGGACGGAATTCAGAGGAGAGGTGCAGGGCCAGAGAAAGAGAGCAGCAGGCTCGGGCTCTTGCCTTGCATGAGACCGACCCAGGTTTGCTTCCTGGCATCCCTGGTCCCCCAAGCCCCTGAGTGCAGAACCAGGAGTAAGCCCTGAGCATGGCTTAGTGTGACCCCAAAACAAAAGCAAGAAACTAAGTAAAATGAAAGGTGGTGCTGCTGGCCCAAAGTAATTGACGAGAGCTCTGGTGGGACCAGCTTCTCTCCCACCACTGTGCAAAATCTCTTGGGGCCTCAGTTTCCCTGATCCTGAGAAGCAGAAAAGCAATGATCTCCATCCAGGCATAGCACCTCTCTCCAGCCTGATCTTCTGCAGCTGGGTTGAGGTCACCCCCATATCTCAGGACACCTCTACACACACACACACATACACACACACACCACACCACACACAGCTTATGTTTGACTCGGAGCTTGTGGGTACGCACAGGGAGGGACCCCAGGAGAAGTGTGAGCACGCACTCTGGAAGGCCTGCCCCAGCCTTCCAGAGAGCAAACATGGGCAGGAACACCCAAGGGTTCTCCAGGACAATGGAACCTCGCGCGGGACGGGTGGACAGGGCGTGGGTGCCAGGGCCAGGCAGCGGGCATCCGTGCGTGGCCCCAGGCACCAGTCACGATCTAACACGGATCACTGAGCCTTTTCACCACCCGCCCATCTGCCCGGATCAAGGTCCTGGAAGCTGTGCACGCCCCAGCTTGGGCCGGCTGCCCCTGAGTCGCTGCCTCACTCTTTCGTGGCCCCTGTGCCTACAAGTCCTTCCTGCTCTCTGAGCCCCTCGTGCGGTAGTGAGTTTGCTCTGACACGGGGGAAGCAAATTCTGGCTTCTGGCCCTTGACCCAGCTTCCATGGCAGCTCAAAGGCCTTCCCGGGGGCCTCTGTGGGACCCAGGTCTCTGCGCTGTGCTTTGCCCCGGGGACTGGCTAGAGCTTGGAAGGAAAGAAGAGCCACAGGACAAAGCATCACCCCCAGAAGCTTAGGGGGCACTGGCTGCTCTCAGCTCAGGACTCTGCCCAGGTCTCGCCTGGCCTCTTCCCAGTCTGCAAATGTACCGACACCCCATTCATGTATTATGCCGGGGTATATAGCCACACCCCAAGACACGCATCCAGGCATCCACATGGGCACCTCTCCATGCCTGTCCATGCACACGCCAGCACCTCCCAGCAACCCAGGCCCACCCCGGTCAGGCACCCAAGCACGGTCAAGCCGTCCACTCTGAACCCCAGCCTGTACCCCCCTATTCCCCCGTCAGCACCGAGTCAGACTCCTGGTGGGACCGGGTTCCAGAGGCAGAGAAGCTCCAATCCAGGCCCTTGAGGGTGGGGGGCAGAGGGAGCCTTGGGGGTCCTGGACACACACGAGCTCTCGGGCTCACTCTCGCTCCGTCTCTTACCGTAGTCCAGTACCGCACGGTTGAGTCTCACCACGATGCCCGGCCTGGAGGAGCCAACCGCGGGCAGCACCAGGGCCAGCAGCAGGCCCAGCCGGCATACCCAAGCCATGGAGCCTGGCTGTGGGCACCCCGAGATCTGTGGGCTGCGGAGAGGTCATGTCAGGGAGCCGGTCCTGCATGTGCCCCCAAGGCTGCTCACCAACCCCTATACCGCATGGACACCTCAGTAGCCACCCCCATGCCCGGGCCCGGGCCCTGCCCCCGGCACTTCTTGAAAGGAAGTGAGGTCTCCTGCTTTGCTGGAACCACCGGCAAAGTGACATCAGTCTGGACTACCAAAGTCCCTTCGTGCCTCCCAGGCCCAGAGAGGACATGGCCCGGTCTAAGGTCACACAGTTGGTATGGGGGTGGGGGTTCCCAGATAGGAGAGCACAGGCCCTTGCTTTGAGTACCAGCTCTGAATCCTGACATTACAGCCCAGACCCGTGTGGCCGGCCAGCCTAGAGGCCAGTGGAGGACCTAGTTTCTCACATGCCTCCCCACCATGACTCCTCGGACCCCCTCCAGCCCAGCTAATTGAGCAGGCACTTCTGTGTTCCACTCAGGGAAAGGGTGCCAGGCAGGAATGAGGGGTTCACTGAGACCCCGTGGGGTAGTCCCGGCTCCTCACCAGGGTCCTGCCAAAGGGCGGGCCCTGCTACAGAAGGCCAGGGGAGCTTGCACGCCCATTGAACAGATGGAAAAGTTGAGGCTTCTGCCTGGAGGAGCGCCAGCCCCGTCCCCATCCTACCTTACACAGGTTCCTAGAGCAGCTGCCTTCGAGCCCCAGCCAAGTCTTCCTCCTCGTGGCCAGTGTGGAAGCTGCTTTATGGGGCTCCCTCGAGGCAGGGTCCTCTAGGGAAGGACTCGGGGAGGGGCTGGTTTGCTTTTGGCTGTGAGTGTTTTCCCTGCAAACACGGCCTTTGCCAAAGTGTCTCATCCGAGGGTGCTGTGGGGCGGCCACGTAGCTGGGCGGGGCTGCCAACCTCCGAGAGACCCTGGGGCCAGAGGCTTGCTGGAAGGAGGGCTGGCCAGAAGGACCCCCATGACTCAGCCGGGAGGAAGGGGCTCCCGTGCCAGCAGAGACGCTGCCATTACTCACAGCCGTTACCCAGAACAGCCACGCTGGAGCCCAACCCCGCCCCGCAGCCCTGGCCTTGCTCACGCGCCGAGCTCTGACTCCAAGGGCGTCAAAAGATGGTGATGGTGTGAACACCTCAGTTTCTGGTCCCCCTGCCCCCCTACACACACACACACACACACACACACACACAGCCTCTCAGACACATGACCCAGTCAAGACAAACCGAGCCCTAGGCACCTTCCCTGGTTCCAAACCCACACTCCGCCTGGCACCCCAGGGCCAAGGAAGTTTGAGATGTGAGGGTATGAGTAGTGTAAGGCCTTGTGGGTGCTGGAGGGCTGGGGGCTGTCTCTGTGCTCTGGGTGTGCAGACTGGACATGTAAGTGGGCATCAGATCTGATCAGGAAAATGTATGTGTGCAAGTGTGTCTTTGCGTGTGTGTATATGTGTGTGAGCATATCTATGCGCCTGTGTCTGTGTGTGTGAGCATGACTGTGTGTGCAAGTGTGTTTATGTGTGTATATATGTCTGAGTGTGAGCATATCTGTGTCTGTGTATGTGAGCGTGTCTATGTGTGAGTCTGTGTGTGCAAGTGTGTCTTTGTGTGTGTGTATATGTGGGGCGGTAAGCATATCTATGCATATGTGTCTGTGTGTGAGAATGACTGTGTGTGCGTGTGTGTTTGTGTGTATATGTGTCTAAGTGTGAGCATAACTGTGTCTGTGTGTGTGCAAGTGTGTCTGTGTGTGTATATATATGTGTGGGGTGAGCATATCTATGCGTATGTCTGTGTGTGTGAGCATGACTGTGTATGTGCAAGTATGCTTGTATGTGTATACGTGTCTAGGTGTGAGCATATCTGTATGTCTGTGTATGTGAGCGTGCCTATGTATGTGTGTGTGTGCGTGCGTGTGTGTGTGTGTGTGTGTCTGGAACGGGCCTGTCAGCATCTCCACTGACAATGTCACAGGCCTCATTACCAGCACCCACAGGTGCCACTGTGAGTTTTGTGCACACACCTGTCCAGGTGGGCTTCTTGAGTGTGATTCTGGGTCTGTGTCGGTGTGCAGGTGCATGTTTGCCAGTGTGTGGTGAGCTATTTCCTGGCACACAGGGTGAGGCATGTGCCCAACTGGTACACGCACATGTGTGGGACAGGCTCCTCTGACCCAGCTGCCTCAGGGGCCCTCCCATCTCCAGCATCCCCCCATAGCTCCCACCGACACCCCACCAGCACATACACCAGGCCAGAACCAGGTGTTCCCTCTCAGGCTGTCTGGGGTGCTGACCCAGGCGGCAGCTGTTCTCCAGGCATTCCCTGGGAGGCCACGGTGCATTGACCAGCCCTGCTCCCAGCCCCGGCACCCTGTCCTCTGTGATGGACAGAGCGAGCAGGGGGAGGGCAGTCAGTCGTGAGCTCCCTCGCATCCTACTTCTGACCTCCGGTGTCCACCCATGTGTTAGACCGTTCCTGCTGGCCTCTCTGTGGCCCAGGCAAACAGCAGCCGAGGTGAGGGGCCACAAATATTGACCAAAGCCTCTGGAGGTGTTTGCTCTGACCATGCACACTTCCTCTTCCTGAATTCCCAGGAACCAGGGACAGCTTCAGACACAAAGAAGAGGCCTCTCCCCAGCCTCACCCAGGGCCATGGCACACACCGTTTGCTGAGCACCACATATGGCAGGTGTCCTGCAGCCTCCTTACCGACACCCCGGGGTGCTGGAGCTGCTCAGCCCCACACCAGCACCGGCTCCAAACAGGGGCTTCACAGATACTCGCGGAGGAGGAAATGGGTGTGCACATTTTTTAAGGATGCTTGTAACTGGCTCAGGGCTTCACCCTGTGATCTGTGTGCAACTGCTGCTTACATCAACCTAACACTCACGTTCAAAGCTCCCCAGAGGGGGCTGGAGCGATAGCACAGCGGGTAGGGTGTTTGCCTTGCATGCGGCCAACATGGCCGACCCGAGTTCGATTCCTCTGCCCCTCACGGAGAGCCCGGTAAGCTACCGAAAGCCTGGCAAGCTACCTGTGACGTATTCGATATGCCAAACACAGTAACAAGTCTGTTATTGGGTCCACCCGAACAAAATCGGTGAACAACGGGAAGACAGTGACTCCCCAGAGGCTCTTCCTGGACTCAAATCCAGGCAGTGGTGGGCAAGTGGCTATTCCTCAGAGGTGAGGAAGATGGTGCCCCCGTCTTCTCTAGCTCCTAGAAGCCACATTCGTTCCTTGGCCCATGGCCCCCTCCCTCCCTCTTCCCAAGCCAGGAAGGGCTGAGGGCTTCTGCAGGTGACCCTTCTCTCGGGCTTCCTCTTGCACGGGCAGAGATTCGAACTGTGGCATTGGACTCCCCTGACCCATCCAGGACCTCCTCAGGGTCATCTGATCAACCCAATTTACTCCCATCTGCAGATCATAATGACCCTTTGTGGTGTAACCCGACAGTTTCCAAGTTCAGGTGTTTCATGGCAGGGCCCCCGTGGTGAGTCACAGACACTGAGCCTGCAATTTGAGCCGTTACCGTCAGAAGGCGCAGGGAACACATGTGCGTGTCAGTTCCAGGAAGCTCGCCACGGGTGGGACTGACAGAAAACACCACATTTCCAATCAAGCTTCTCTTTCTTCCCCCAGTCAAAAGTAGAACTTTATTAAAACAGCAACACCTGAGTGCTATTTTGTGTGATGCTCTGTGTCCACCAGGGAGAATCTCGACATCACCAAATGCGTTCAGCATGGGGGCCAGAATGATCGTACCGCAGGTAAAGGTGCTTGCCTTCTACCCAACTGAGCTGAGTTCGATCCCCAGCATTCCATAGAGTTCCCAGAGCACTGCCAGGAGTGATTCCTGAGTGCAAAGCCAGGAGTAAACCCTGAGCAGTGCTGGGAATGGCCCCAAAGCCAAAATAAAATGGGAAAAAAAGAAGAAATGTGTTCACTTGCAACCCAAGAAAATGGCCCATCGGAACAGCCCAGGGCAGGAAGCAGTCGGGGAGCAAGAACCAACATTGGGTGGCCAGGAGAGCCCTGAACCCTCGCCCCTGCCTGGTTCCGGAGGCTCTGGCAAGCCCAGGTTGCAGTCTTCGTGCCCGCATCCGAGCACCCAGACTGGCTTCCTCAGAGGGGAGGTTCCGGGCCCCGTGGAAGACCCCCAGCCCCTCCCCCCTCTGTGAGGTCACAGTGTGCTCCACCCGTGGGCACATTCCAGAGAGGACTGGGAGCCCGAGGCTTTGGCGGTTCCTGCTCGCCGACTCTCGGACATCCCGTCCTAGACAAGAAGGCCAATGCCTCGCCCAAGGAACCCGTGTAATGCCGCCTGTAGTCGGCTCCAAGAGTACCAGGAGGCCAGGTCCAGAAGGTGTGGGCAGCAGCCCTTCCCTGTACCTGCCCCCGTTTAAATGCTGCCTGGGTTGGGAGGGGCGTGGGCACTCCCCCTCGCACACACACACCTGGCACCAGCTCAGGCCTCCCTGAGAGCTCCCTGCCAAGAAGTAGGGGATAATCATCTTTTCGGGAGCATTTATTGAGCACTTACTGTTTGCTACTGTATGCTAGACACAACTGTAAGCTGGGCCAGTGGGGCTGCTCCAGAGGGAGGTGCTCCGTGCCCCCAGGACCCCCAATGTAGTGAGGGGAGAAGCAGTCATTGAGGAAGTGACCCCCCCAGCCAGCTTTACCTGGAGGGAGCCTCCAGCTAACTCAACCCCATCTGCCACCACCCCCCCAAATCCCCCCGCAACCCCTGGGGTGTATGACACGGCAGAATAAACAGTCCAAGGGGCTGAGGGGGGGGGGGCGAGCTAGCATTTCTACAAATAATTTTAGTTGCTCTCCTTTTAATGCCAATTCCTCAGCTCAAGGAGTGCATATATTCATATATTTGAAAGAGTAAGAGTAATGCATTGACACCAATGGTGCATCCATAATTATTTTTTTCATGAAGAATCATATACCCATTAGGAGTCTAACAAACCTCTGCCTTAAGAAATAAAACTGCTCCCACATACACACAGGGCTCAGCACTGGGGACCTCCAGAATCTCAAATTCCACAACTGGTCACTCCACTTGGGACCCAGGTTTCTGCCACCATTCTTTAACTCTTCCTTCTGCTTCCTCTCCCAGCCTGATTCACGGGTCACGCAGAAGCATGGCGGAAGGAGAGAGGGCACGGCTTGCTGTGGGCCTCACGTTAGTGGTGTTCCAGGCCCCTCTTGCCACCCTTGAGCCCCCTATACCACATACACCTCATCCCTGCAGACATCCCGTCCTCGAGGCGACCAGCACAGGGCACAGGGAGTCAGTGGGAGTGAGGCTGAGGCCAGTGGGGACTGTCAGAAGCTTCGCGAAGAGGCTTAGACAGGACAGGGAGGAACAGGCTGAGCCACCGCCAACAACCCCGACCATCAAGGAAACGGTGGTTTGGGCATTTGGGGTGTGCCAGTCCTGGGTCTGCCTCAAAGCCATGGGCTCGGGAGGCTTGAGTCAACTTTCCTGCCTCCCGGGCCCTCCACACTCCCTGTGAAGTGTGAACTACATGTATGCTTCTTGTCATCCCCAGAATTAATCGAAGCCACGCTGCCTTCCAGACGACACAGGACACCTCAGCCCGTGAGCAGGATGGGGAGAGGGAGCCCTGGGGTGCTCTGTTGGGGCTGAGACTTCAAAGTACCGATGGGCAGGCCAGCGTCACCCAGCCAGGGGCAGGCAGAGGGAAGGGATACTCCACACCAGCTCTAGCTGCACCCCACGTTGCCCTGGGGCCTTCATGCCCATGGTCAGAAGTGATGTCACAGGCCCGTGCCCTTCACAGGTGAGGCCTCCTCGCCGCCTTTCCACGTCAACCCCCCAGCCCTCTGCCTGAATCAGCACCTACTGGGATGGAGATGTACGTATAGACCCAAGAGCCATCTGGGCCATCCACACGGGCGTGAGCAAAGGGTCCAGCCATGGGGCCAAGGAGGCTATGGATGAAGTCGCCGAAATGGTTTGGTGCAACTCACCCGCCTTTCACTGATACAGTTCTGGCCACACCCCAGAAATTAGCCACGCTCTTCCCTGCCCTTCCTCCACCCTCATGTTGCCAACGAACCACCCAAACACCCACCCATCTGCAGTGCGCACATTCTAGTCTCTCCCTTTGGTCCACTCGCCCTCCTCCAGACCCGTCAGTATTCACAGCCACGCCACCGTCCACCCACCCGCCCTTCCTTCCTTTCTCTCAATCAACTTCCTAGTCACCCCTGCATCTGCATCAGCTTCTCTCTTCTTCTCTCTCTCTCTCTCTCTCTCTCTCTCTCTCTCTCTCTCTCTCTCTCTCTCTCTCTCTTATACCCAGCAATGCCCAGGGCTTACTCCTGGCTCTACACTCAGGAATTACTCCTGGCAGTGCTTGGGGACCATATGAGATGCCGATAATCGAACCCAGGTCGGCCTCATGCAAGGCGAATGCCCTACCCAATGCCCTACCCCCTTTACTATCACACTGGCCCCTGCACCAGCTTCTTCTTATTCAGCTTCGTCCTCCCCAGACATTCTCTCCATCCTTCTGTTCCACCCATTGGCTCATTCTCCTCCACATCTATCCTCTACACCCTTGTTATTTATTTATATTTTGCCTCGCCCCGTGCTGGGCACCCCTGGGCACACGGGGGCAAACACAGAGCCTCCCCCAGAGAACCGCACCCCGTGGGTGGACCGGAGACTCTGCACACCCCAGACTCCCGGTGTTCTGAGGCGTGACTATGGAGCTGCCAACTGCCCCTGGCAAGCGGAGCGGGACCGTGACTCTCCCGGGGTCAGAGCCGAGTGCTACCCTGGGCAAGTGAGGGAGAGAGCCAGCGCCGGGGCCAGCGCTGCTGCTCACGGCTCTGCCGCTTGCTCCACAGCTTGGCTCAACTCCCTGGCCTCCTTCCTGCGCACCCAGACTCAGCAGATGCTCTTCAGCAGTTGCAGGTGAGTGGGTGGGGGCAGGGGTGCAGAGGGCACAGAGCGGGCAGGTGGGCAGCCCCTCCCCGGTTTGACTTTCCCCTCCACCAAATCTGCCTTTTCCCAGATCCTGCCAGAGCCCCCTAGGGCGCCCCATCCCTGTCATTTCTGGGGGCCCCACCCCCACTTCCTTTTCGTCACTGACTCCCACTCTGTACCCGTTGGACTGGCAAGCCTAGAGTTCTTGAGGCTGGAGCGATAGCACAGTGGGTAGGGCGTTTGCCCTGCACGTGGCCGACCCGGGTTCAATTCCCAGCATCCCATATGGTTCCCCAAGCATCACCAGGAGTAATTCCTGAGTGTAAAGCTAGGAGTAACCCTTGTACATCGCCGGGTATGACCCAAAAAGGAAAAACAAAACAAAACAAAAACTAGGGTTCTCTTCCCCCGGCCTCATGATTCTTTCCACCTACCCTGCACCCTGTACACACTTCCCACCCCCCACCCCCACCAGAAGTTCCTGGCCCACCCCTTCTCTTTCCCACCAGCTCCTGCTGGTTACTTCTGAGTCCCACACATCTCTCCACCCCGCGCGCTCCTTGAATGTTTCTCTCCTAAACGAGTTCTTCACACTCATGCCAGGCTCATCCTCACTTCCTCCACAGACGCCCCTAAGAGCAGGGAGTCCTTGGGGAGGTGGGAGGAGAAAGGGGCATCGGCACTGACCCCTAAAGATGCATTCTCAGGAGAGAAGGGAAGGGCCAAAGAAGGGCCAGTTAGAGGCCCACTTTGTTCGGACCCTGTGGAGGCACAGGATAGAGTGTCCCTGCCCAGAGGAGAGGAACGAGGGTAAGCCTGGGGGTGGCAGCCTGGACAAAGCTCTGGCCCCTCTGAGTCCAGCTTCCCCGTCTTCCAGGTCCCGACAGCTCTGCCAGAAGTTCATGGAAAAATCAGGATTCCTGTTTTTCTGCACAATCGGTGCGTGCTGGGGCCAGAGGGAGCTTGGGCTCTGTGTGTTCACTGTGTGGCCCAGGCAAGACAATGCGCTCTCTGAGCTGCAGTTTCCCGCCTTGTGAGGGTCTAGTGAGGGTGGCTGGTTGACCTGAGGACTGTTTCATTTGGTGGAGGGTGTGGAGTGATGCAGACTCTTACTGAGTGCCATTTGCCCACCTGGAGCCACCGCAGGGCTGTATAGGCCCAGAGCAATAGTACAGTGGGAGGGTGCTTGCCTTGCACACAACCAACCTGGGATCTAGCCCCAGCTCCCCAGGTGGCCCCCCAAGCCCTGCCAGGAGTGATTCCCTGAGCACAGAGTCAGGAGTAAGTCCTATGCACAACAAGGTGTGGCAAAAAAAAAAAAACACACAACAGATAACACAGTGTTATCAGCTCACAGTAAGTACCACAAGAACATCGATATTAAGAAGAAAGTCTGAAAGCTGAGAAAAGCTTCAGAACTGTAGCGCTCCCCCCAAACCATGACTATATTAGGGTCATGATAACTCCCTCTTTCTACATTTCATTTTGTCTTATTTTTTCTTTTTTGCTTTTTGGGTCACACCCAGAGATGCACAGGGGTTCCTCCTGGCTCTGCACTCAGGAATTACTCCTGGCGGTGCTCAGGGGACCATATGGGATGCTGGGAATCGAACCCGGGTCGGCCACGTGCAAGGCAAATGCCCTACCCACTGTGCTATCTCTCCAGCCCACCTTTCTACATTTCTATGGAACTCCTTCCAGCTGTCTCTGCCACCCCCAGACACACACACACGCACACACACACGCACACACACATGCATATATACACACACACATGCACATGCACATAGACACTCACACATACACACGCACATGCACATACACACACACACACGTGCGCACACGCCCACACGCACCGTCTCTGCTTTCACTTTCTGCTGCTCAGCTCTGGGTCAAGGTGTCCTGGGGAGAGAGAGGCCCAGCTTCCCCATCAGGAGCTGAACCTGGGCTTTAGGAAGTATAGCCCAATAAATGACTCTTTTTCAACAACTCTTTTGGGATATGATTTACATACCCTGTCCAAGTAGATGTTCCGGTGGATGGCTTGAGTCTATGCTCAATGACACAGCTCCATCATTTTACCTAATTCCTGTCTTTTTACTACCCTCAACTCCCCTCCAGCCCCCAGCCCAGGGAGTCACTCCTCACTGCTTCCTCCCAGACCTAGGCAACCGCTAATTATTTTTCTTGGATTTGCCTAGCATGAACGTCAGATAAGTGGAACCCATGCTGTGTGGCCTTGGTGGAGTTTTTCACTGAGCAGAATGCTTGTCCAGCACGTCCTGTGGTAGACAGTGGAAGCCAGGCAAACCTTTTTTGAGGGCGAAACACACCATTGTATGTGCATGTCACATTTTGTTCATCTGCTCATCCGTGGAGAACTGTAGGATGTTGCTGCCCTTTGGCTGTTACTAAGAATACTGTTATTAAGATGATCCTAAGGTAGCAGGGCACACGTAGGGTATTTGCCTTGCACGTGGCTTACCTGGATTCAATCCCTGGCATCCCACGTGACCCCAGGAATCCCACCAGGAGCAATCCGGGAGTGCAAAGCCAAGAACAAGCCCTGAATACGACCAAGTATTTTCGAAAAACAAACAAACAAACAAAGAAACTTATTCGATGTGGCCAAGTATTTTCTACACTTTTGGGTCCATGCCTAGGAGCAGGATTGCTGGATCAGATGGTAACTGTTTCACTGGGGAATTACCCAGCTGTTTTCCTAGGTGATGGCATCCTCTATTTCGACCATCCCTTGTGTAAGTCCTTCTTTCTTCATATCCTCCCCAATTCATGATCTTATCTTTCATTTCGGCATCTGACCTTTGTGGAGTAGAATCTCAGAATGGTTCTGATTTACCAGCTAACTGAGGATCACCTGTTGAGCATCTTTTCAGGAACTTATTGGCCATTTGGGTTTTTTTTTTTTCCTTTGTAGAAACGGCAGTTCAGCTCTTTCCCCGTTTTAATTTGGGCTGTCTATATTTTAGTTATTTAGTTACATTTGTTTTTTAGCCTGTTGCACATCCCTTAATCACATATGTGACTTGCAATTTTTTTCTTTCATTCTGTACTTATCTTCTCATTTTTCTGATGGGGGTGAAGAGTCTTTATTAGTGCAAAACTCAGATTTTCATGAAGCCCAATACCTGTTTTGTTTTTTTCACTCTTTCCTTTATTTTTTTCCTTTTGGCTTTTTGGGTCACATCCGGTAATGCTCTAGGATTACTCCTCGCTCTGCACTCAGAAACTACTACTGTTGACTCAGGGGACCAAATGAGATGCCAGGGATTGAACCCTAGTTGACCATGTGCAAGGCATATGCCCTACCAGCTGTACTATCGCTCCAGTCCCTTCACTCTGTTTTTTGGTATCACATCTAAGAAACCATTGCCAAACATACCATGAGTACTGACTCCCATATTTTCTCTAAGACTTTGATAGTTTACCTCTCATCTTCAGAGTTCAAGTTCACGATCCATTTTAATGTTTGCATGTGGTGTGAGGTAAAGGTCCAACTTTATCAATTTGAAGGTGAATATCCACTTATTCAACACCATTATTAAACACACTATTCTCTCCCCCACTAAATTGTTTCAGCACAAAAGTCAAAATCACCTGATTATTTTGGGACATCCAGTTCTGTTCTACTGATCTTCATGTATGTCTGTCAGTGGTACTCTTGATATATGAGTCCTCCAACTGGTAATTTTCCAAGATGTTTTGGCTTCATGGGTCCCTGCCATTTCACTATGAATTTTTGGAGCATCACTCAGAGATGCTCAGGGCTTACTCTTTTGCTCTGCACTCAGGAATTAGTCCTAGGAGTGTTCAGGGGACCACTGGGATGCTGGGCATCAAACCCAGGTTGACTTTGATGTTTGACCAGACAAGCATCCTAGCTGCTATAATATGTTTCTGGCTCTCATTATGAATTCTAGAGTTAACGTTTTCATTTCTACTTCCCCAAAAATTCTACTGGTATTTTGAATAGGGATTTTTATTACAGTGATTTGGAGATGAATTCGGAAACAGAATCATCTAAACAACGTGGACTCTTCCACTCCAACAACATTTCCATTGTTGAAAGATACCTCTGCCTTCTTTAATTTCCTTCAGTGATGCTTTATAATTTTCAGAGTACAAATTTTACCCATCTTTTCTGAGATTTATCCTTACGACTTTATTCTGAGTTATGCTATCTTTGAATGGAATTGTTTTTCTTAATTTTATTTATGGATTTTTTTTTTCATTACTAATGCTTACTAACACAATTGATGTGGGAAGGGGGGAGGGGTATCCAAGCAATGCTCACTCAGGATGCCTGGGGCAGCCACCCAGTGTTCTCAGACAATCAGCTGATAGTTCAATACAATAGCCAGAGATGCTGCTTGGTCCTTGCAATGGTGGGGATACCTGAACACCGTGGGGGTCTCCAGGGCTGCACCAAGCAATGCTTGGGGAACCATGCGGTGCCATGAATTGAATCCAGGTTGGGCACCTGCTAGGCAAGTGCCCTACCCACTGTACTATCTTGGCCCCAACACAATGGATGTTTTATTGTCAATCTTGTATCCTGAAACCTCACTAACTCGATTACTAGCTCTGATACCCAGAAAGATATCCTGGGATATCTTTGAATTTTGAATAGGGATTCAAAAGATATCCTGGGATATCTTTCTGGGTATGGATAAAGTCTTGGATATCCTAGGTTTCGACGTACAAAATTGCATCCCTTTATCTTATATTTCTTTTCCTGCCTAATTGGCCTCACTAAAACCTTTAGTATAAATTCATTAGACATAGCAAGGTCAGCAAGGCCTTGATCTTTTGAAGGAAACGTTCCAGTTTTCACTGTTAAGTAGGAGGTTCGCTATTGAGTTTTCAGAGATGGCTTCTGTCAGACTGAGGGAATTCTGCCCTGACTCTTGTTAGAATTTTATTGTTTTTCAAGAGTTATAAATGAAAGTCTGAGTGTGGAATTTTCAGTAGAGTGGAAAGCATAAAATGCAGAAACCACTTCCTCCTCTTTTGTTCTTTTTCTTCTGAACTGGTTTGATTTGGGAAATGTGAACAAGGAGAGAACCCCATAAAGGAAGCATACTCCAAGTTAGGACAGGCAGGAACTCGGAGCAAAGTGTCATCTCCTCTCCATTCTCTTTGCCAATCGACCTCAACAGAATTTAAATGGGGAGGAGGAGAGATGTGACTATTCCGTTTCTGTGAGACACTTTTTAGCTATGATGCCATTTAACTGTGAAGTGGATGTTAACGTTATTCCCAGGATCTAAGGAAGCTGAGTTATGAAGAAATTAAGGGGCTAGAGCAATAGCACAGCGGGTAGGGCATTTGCTTTGCATGAGGCTGACCAGGGTTCAATTCCCAGCATCCCTGAGCACCACCAGGGGTAATTCCTGAGTCCCCTGAGCACCACCAGGGATAATTCCTGAGTTCATGAGCCAGGAGTAACCCCTGGGCAACGTCGAGTGTGACCCCCCAAAAAAGCAATAAAAAAAAAGAAATCAAGCCACTTCCCTCAGAAGTTGCTAGTAGGTGGCAAAGTTAGGGTCTGAACCTAGATGCCTTACCTCCAGAATCCTTCAGAGTGCATTTCAAATGTCTCCTTCCCCTGCCTGACCCCACAGGATTCTGGATTCTCTCTATGCACCTACCGTCCAAAATGGAAGTCTGGCAGGTGAGCAAGTCCACACTTCAGAACCCACCACTGACTCACCCCTCTACCAACATCACCTGCATAAGCTCTCCCCCCCACACACATTCAGCACATCTGAACCCCAGCCAGTGCCTGACTTATCCCATCTCCACCTCTCCACCTGGCAATGCCACACACCTAAAACCCTTTCTTCCAGCAAAACCTTGAGTTTCAAAGACCAGAGGGCAGTTTCTCTTCTAGGAGTCATTCAGTTCCGTGGTGACTCATCTGCTTTATCCAGGCCCCCATGTAAAGGATCCTATGGACAAAGAACACATTTCTCTTTCTCTCTCTCTCCTCAAGGAAGTTTGTTCTTCTGCTCAAATGAGGTGGAACCCTTTGCTTTGTGGCTTTGGGAGAGAAAATAGATGGAAATTAGCTGCCAGAGCTCCTAATCTCATAATCACAAGTGTCTCAGAAGCTCTATAACAAGAGGACCCATCCCACCCCACATCTCTCCTCCCCTCCTTAAATATTTCATATCTTCAAGATTCAGACAAAATGTTACCATCTCCAAACATCCAAAAGGAAGTTATCATATTTACCTGCATCATTCAATAATTTTCTGTAGTTTTGACTATTTCCCCAATAATACTGGCAGCCCTAGAAGGCCAGAACCAAGTTCATTTTTATCCCAGCAGCGAAGGACCAGTTGCCACTCTCACTTGTCTGATTGGAGAGCCCGATGAGAGGAAATAAGTGGGAAGATGAATGGAAGAGTGGATTGGATGAGAGAATGGAGAGATGGGAGGGAAGATGGAGAGATGGGAGGGAAGATGGAGAGATGGGAAGGAAGATGGGAAGACGGGAGGGAAGATGGGAAGATGGATGGAAAATGGATGGATGGATGCTGGATGGATGGATGGATGGATGGATGGATGGATGGATGGAAAGTAAGGCAAATTAGATGAATGGGATGGTGACGAATGAGATGAAGAAGAAAGAGTGAAAGCAAGGGTAGATAGATTAGAGGCAGATAGCATGGTGAAGGGTGAGAAGGGTAGATGGATGAGGATAGATATGGACATATGGATAAGAAGGAAGATATATTGGATTTTAGGTAGATAATATACTGTTGGGTGGGTGGAATAGTTGTGGTTGTGGAAGAATGGATAGATGAGCTGTTTGGGTCCAGATTGTGTCATCTGAAGGGATGCTTTGCTTTCCTCAACACTCCACCTCAACTAGGATGACAGCATAAACAGTCCATTGAAGAGCTTGAGGTAAGAAGAATCTGCTAATAGTGTTATCATTTCCTTAAAAACAGAAATATCACCAGATTCTGGGCTAACAATGCAGGAACTACAGTCTGACCAACTTCTGTAAATCTCAACACCCACAATTCCTGCCTGGCCAAAAAAAATCGCATTACCTCTTTTGTCCTCTCTGACCCTTAACCTCTCACTTTTTGAGATCAAGCATAACATACATCCTCTGGGTAATTACTGATATAATGAAGATGCTAAATGTCTTAAGTAGATCCTGTTCCATAGCCAGCAGTCCTCCACAAATGGTAGCTGGGTAGAAATCTTAACCAATAATATACCACTTGATGACAGAGAGCATCCTTGCTTGCAAACTCTATGTTTAAAAGGAATGAGTTGGGTTTAAGGATATCCCATCAGGAGCAGAAAAATAATGTCTGAGAGATAAGATCCTGCAGGGAGCTCCAGGAATGGTCCAAAGAAAGTGAGAATTTGTGACGTTAATTCTTTGTGGTCTGATTGGCAAAGATAGAGGCTGAGAGTGACAATAAAAGTTGGTCCATATTCTCTTTGCTCATAAGGATGTACCAGGAGAAGGTGCGACGGCATGCCGGGGAAATCCAGGATCTCCGAGGTAACATGAGCTTGCTCATTATCAGACTCCAGATGATGGAAGCCCTGTCAGATGAGGTGAGATGCTGGCCATTCTGCTCAAGCACCCTACTTCTCTATTTGAAGCCTTATTTCCTCTCTTCCACCTTTGGGTGAAGTACATCCCCCCATTAATTTCCAGTATATATTTTTACTTATTTCCATAAATTATAAGTAAAAATATATAAGTTGAGAATTGGTATGTTTAAAAAACATCTTTATTCTACTTATGCATAGTTTGACTGGGTATAGAATTCTAGATAATAAATTGTTTCCCATGGCCCATGGGAATCTTAAAGGAAGTTCATTCTTATGTTCTAGCTATACTTTTTTTTTTTTTTTTGCTTTTTGGGTCACATCCGGCATTGCACAGGGATTACTCCTGGCTCATGCACTCAGGAATTACTCCTGGCAGTGCTCAGGGGACCATATGGGATGCTGGGAATCGAACCCTGGTCAGCCTCATGCAAGGCAAATGGCCTAACCGCTGTGCTATCACTCCAGCCCCTCTAGCTATACTTTTGTTGAAAATTCTAATGGTTTAATTATTAGCCCTCTAAATGTTGTCTTTTTATTTCTATCCTGGGAGTTTGTAGGATATTTTTCTCTCCTCCACTCCTCCTTGATCAATGATATGTATTTAATCTATTTGGGTACTATGGGGCTTGTTGAATCTATGTGCTGAAATTTTTCATTCTTAGCTGTTCTCTCTCTTCCCCATTATCTATCTCCTCTCTTGAGATTCAAATTATATCCATGCTAAACCTTTAGACACTATTATATGTATTATTATAGGAACTACTACTAATATTTCATATAACTAGTTTATCTTTATTCTTTTTTCTATTTATAATTTTTTTCTACTGGGGGGTGGTTTGTCACACCTGGCAATGCTCAGGGCTTACTCGTGTCTCTCTACTCAGTAATTATTCCTGCGGGTGTTCAGGGGCATTCTGGGGATCAAATCCAAGTTGGCCACTTGCAAGGCTAGCACCCTGCCCACTGTACAATCTCTCCAGTTCCATTTTTCTGTTTTCTAGTCATATCTTTTTAGGCTTGCGGATGATTTTTGTATTGCCTTCTGTCTGATGTAGAGTTAAATGTTCCCGTTCTCTGGGTGTTTTTCTTTGAAGGGATCAGACCTGGTGGTGCTTAGGGACTACTCCAACCTCTGTGCTCAGGAGGTCACTCCCAATGGTGTTCAGGGGGCTACAAGGTACCAGGGACCAAGCCTAGGCCTCCAGCATGCCAAGCATGTACTCAGCTCATTGAGTTTTTTTCTCCAGCCCTCCATGAAGTTCTTCATTGCGTACATTGCTAGAATATATACATTTCTCTGTTTTTATGGATTTTAATTTCAAGGTAAAATTGTTCCGCATTTTCTCTCTATTTGCTATCATTTTCCTTGGGACTCAATTCCAGTGGTTCTCGGAAAGCTAGGTAGTTCCAGGGATTCAACATAGGACTTCCACATGCAAAGTTGGTGTTTCAACTGCAGGCCATCAGCTCAGCCTCACTGCTTTTTGCATATCCTCTGCTGCTGCAAGCCCAAGTCTCTGAGAACACGCACACAATCATCACCAGTTCCGAGAAAGCACTCAGAGAGCTGGTGTGGGAGGTGTGGCTTTGCTGTATATTCACTGGTGTTCTCTGCCCCCCCCCCCCAGCACAAAATGGCTCAGAGAATAATGAAGCTGATCCAAGGCGATTACATCGAGAAGCCAGACTTCGCCCTCAAGTCTATCGGTCAGTCACCAAGCCACCCGCCCACCCGAGAAGCCACCCATGGCAGATTTCTTTTTTCCTTTTTGGGCCGTACCAGAATGCTCAGGGGTTACTCCTCCCTCAGCACTCAGGAATAACTCCTTGCAGTGCTTTGGGATCCTATAGGATGCAGGAGACCGAACCCAAGTCAGCCACATGCAAGGCAAGAGCCCTGCCCACTGTCCTATTGCTTCAGCCCCTCCTGGCAGTTTTCTTTCTTTTTTTTTTTTATGTAATTCAATTGTGAGCTTTTATTTTACTTTTTGTTTGTTTGATTTATTTTAATTTTAATGAATCACCATGAGATGCAGTTACAGATTTACAAACTATCATCGTTCCGTTCCAGTCAAACAATTTCAAATACCCATCCCTCCACCAGTACCCATTCTCCACCACAATTGTTCACAGTATCCCTTCCTCCCCACCCCTTCCCACCCCCTGCCTCTGTGGCAGACACATTCCCTCTTACTACTCTCTCTGTCCTTTTGGGTGTTACGGTTTCTCAGCAGATTTCTTCTTTTTTTTTTCTGTTTTTTGGGGTTTTATTTTTTTTTGGTTTTTGGGTCACACCCGGCAATGCTCAGGGGTTACTCCTGGCTCTGCACTCAGGAATTACTCCGACGGTGCTCAGGGGACTATATGGGATGCCGGGGATCGAACCCAGGTCGACAGCATGCAAGGCAAACATGCTACCCTCGGCAGACTTCTGACCTGGCTCTTTGTGCCTTCCTCCCAAGCGAGAGGCCACAGCCTGCATAGACAGCACATTCTACATACACAAGCCACCAGGCAGGGGCCTGGGAGGTGGGCATTTTGGCTGAGACCTGCTGGGAGAGAGCAGCACCAGGAAATCCCTGAGAAAGGAGCCTCGTAAAAGAGGGAGGGTGGCTCTGGATTGCCAAGGTGTCAGTGCCAGCCATGGGCCAATGCGGTTCTAATGCACAGCACACCCTGGGCCGGCTGCCCTGTGGGCCCCTGAAGAACATGGAGGGTCAGGAGGTGTCCAGCTAACTGCTCAATCTCTTAGCCACTCAGGGCCTGAGTTTTCCTCTCTGGGACAGGGGATACTAGAGACCTGGCACAGAAAACCAGGCGGACACAGTGAGAGCTCACACCCCTGCACCCCTGCACCATGCTGGCCTGCAGGGGTCACTTCCCGTTGGCAGCAGCCCCAGGATGGGAGCGCCCAGCACGGCTACTGCTGCAGCTCCTGGCTCTTCCCCCTTTTCCGGGGAGGACCCAGATGAGCTGACCTGCGGTGAGGGCCCTCCCAGGCCAGGCTCCTGTTCATCTAGGACCCACTCCCCCCAGGGGCCAGCATCGACTTTGAGCAGACGTCCGCCACGTACAACTACAACAAGGCTCGCTCCTACTGGAACTGGATCCGTCTGTGGAACTATGCGCAGCCCCCCGACGTGATCCTCGAGGCAGGGGCCAGCGCGGGGATGCAGGGTGGAGGTTGGGGAAATCAGGAGGCTCAGAGCAAAGAGTGTAGGATATGGGGGTGGGCCTGGGAGATGCGGCAGAGGACAGAGGGAAAGGGTGTGAGGAGGAGTTAAGGGAGAGAGAGTTGCTGGGGGCTAGCACTGGATCGGGGGACAGGTATAGGACAGGGACAATCTCTTGGGGCACTGGGAATGTGAGCCCTCAGGGTCCCCCGGCAGACCCTATTCCTCTCTGTGCTGGCTTGAGGACATGTCCTGGCTGGCAGCAATGCGGAGGGAGGGACTGTTGGGGCTGGTGACCCCCAAGCTTAGCCTTGGTGACAGAATGGAGTAAGCACATATCAAGGGGCAGGGGGTTAGAAGGGGGATAGAGTGGAAGCAAGAACCACCCCACCCAGCCAGGCCTGAGTGACACCTGTCCCTTTTAGCCCAATGTGACCCCAGGCAATTGCTGGGCCTTCTCCGGTGACCGCGGCCAGGTGACCATTCGCATGGCCCAGAAGGTCTTCCTGTCCAATGTGACGCTACAGCACATCCCCAAGACCATCTCCCTATCGGGCAGCCTGGACACCGCCCCCAAGGACTTCGTGATCTACGTGAGCACCCCCCACCCCACCAGCCTGGGCTACGCTGGACGAAGGGGACAGTCTCGGGCACTAGGCTAGACCCTGACAATGGAAGCTAGCTCTCTTCCAGGCCCAGAGAAGAGGGCACAGCCTTCAGGAAATGGAGGGACTGCAACCTTACTCCCACCCACGTTTCTTTCAGTTCTTTGTTTGGTTTTGGTGTTTGAGCCACACCTCACAGTGTTCAGGGTTTACTCCTGACTCTGTGCTCAGGCCTCACTCCTGGTGGGCTCAGGGGCCCATATGGGGTGCCAGGGATCAAACCCGGGTCAGCCACGTGCAAGGCAAACACTCTACCTGCTGTACTATCTCTAGGTCCTTCAGACCACGTTTGTGAGAGCCTATTTGGTCTTCAGAGACGAGACCTCTGAGCCCCATTTTAGCAATAAGGAAACTGAGGGCCAGTCAAGGGCACGCTTAGGTCCTGCAAGTCAAGGGCAGAGTTAGAAAGGGCCGCAGCTTCTGAGCCCCATGTCTCTCTCTTGGCCATGGCTCCATGCTCTCCACTCCAGGAGTTGTGCAAGAGACAGCTGACAGGGGCAGGGGGCGGGGGTGGGGGCCCCTCCCAGACCCTGCCTGTGCTCCTCACACCTTCTCCTGGGCTCCCACTCCACAGGGCTTGGAAGGCTCCCTCAAAGAAGAGGTGTTCCTGGGGGCATTCCAGTTTCAGCCTGAAAATATCATTCAGACGTTTCCGCTCCAGGTAACAGGGGAGAGGGGCCCCCGGGGAGCATGGCTGCATGAGCCCCATGTGTGGGGCTGGGCCCGGGGACCCCGCTCTGCCCCCCCATCTGGGCCCCTTGTTTCCGAGCCCACTGGACAGGTGAAACTGATGCTCGGAATGAATGGGACCCTGCCCACAGCTGAGAGGCCCGTGAGGAAGTCCCGTCTCACCTGGGTCAGGTCCGGACTCCCCACGGGCCAGTGAATGATGAGCAGGGGGTGGCCTGGGACCCAGAGCTTCTCCTTCAGATTCAGTGTCCATCCCGGGTGCCCCACAATCCAGACACAAGCAGACCACTGGCGTGGACAGGAGACGTGGGAGTGAGGGACAGAAGCAGAGGTGGGGCGCTGAGATGGTCCTGAAACTCTGAAGCGTCTGGCAGGTTTGGCGATCAGGCTGAAAATGGCCCGCATCCTGTCCCGACCATCTCGGAGTATCCTGGGTGGTCAGAACACTGCCTCTCTGTGCCTCAGTTTCCCCTTCTATTACTCTGGGAGGTTGACATCATCCAGTGAAATCTCACAGGCCGAGTCTTCCATTCTTTGGTCCTGGGCAGAGCAAGAAGTAAATGTACAGGCTCTATCCTTCCGGGGGCGGGGGCAGGAGGGGGGTCTTCTCTCACAGAGCCTTTGCAGTGTGGGGTCCCACTGGGTGACATGCCCATAGCAGTCCTGGGCAGCAGTCTTACTGGCCCCTTGTCTGTTTGGAGGTCACACTATCAGGGCTCAGGGGCTACTCCCAGCTCTGTGCTCAAGGGTTGCTCCCTGCATGCTCAGGGGCCCCTCAGAGGTCCCAGAGATCAAGCCAGGGTCGGTCACATGCTGGGGAAGTGACTTAAGACGTATGCTATCTTCTCTGTTCATCACGCTCCCCTCTGACAGACAGGCGCTGGAGCCCAGGGAGGGGTCTTGGACTGCCCGGGACCCCATGGCACATACATAGGCTGGACCCCCAAGGCGGGACTTTCTGGTCCTCGTACTTGTGCTTTGACCTCGGCACACCCGAGTGTCATGTACCCACTTGCTCCGCATCCTTGGACAGCCTTTCCAACCCCCAAGCCTCCTGAACCCCACTCTGGCTAAATGCAAAAACAGCCCCTTCCACTCCCAGCCCTCCGCACCAGGCGAATGGGGGTCCAAGGGGCGGGATGCGGGGTGCAGGGCAACCCCCAGTCTGACTCTCTCTTCCAGAACCAGCCTCTCCGGGCATTCGGGGCGGTGAAGGTGAAGATCTCGAGCAACTGGGGGAGCCCCCACTTCACCTGCCTATACCGTGTGCGCGTGCACGGCTCCGTGACCGCCCCCAAGGAGCAGCCCCCCCAAGACCCCCTCCCCCAGAAAAATTAAAGTTTACTCTATACCCCGGTGCTGCTGTGTTGTGGCCCCCAGGAGGGCGGGCGAGCCGTTGAGGCCACACATGGAGCAGGTGGCCCTGGACCCTCGGGACAGTCCTGTCAGCTGGGGACAGGGATGCTCCAAGCCAGAGAATGACTTGTCAGACCCCTGTCAGCCAGGGGTGCTCAAGACTCAGACCCCGGCTGTGCGTCTCGCTTCCAGGTAAGGTCAGCACTGACCCACATGGCCTTGGGCAACACCCAGCCAGCTCAAAGCTGCACTCTTCCCATCACGGCGAGAGGCACGGACCAAGACCAGTGAATCGGATGAGCTGGGTTGACAAGTTCAATCCCATGTGAATGTACCAAGTGGCCACATGGGAAGCACATCACCCTCTCTGGACCTCATTCTGTCCATGCACACACATTTCTGTTCCATTCTGTGCGTCTACAGACTTCCCTCAGAGTGAAAAGGCAACCTGCAGAATGGGAGGAAGTATCTGCAGACTGTGTGTCTGATAAGGGATTACTCTCCAGAATATTTAGGGAATTCCTAAAGCTGAACCATGGGGCCAAAGTGATAGTACAGTGGGCGGGGTGCTTGCCTTGCACACGGTCAATGCGGGTTTGATCTCCAGCACCCCACAGGGTCCACCAGGAGTGATCCCTGAGTGCAGAACCCGAAAGGGCTTACTTCGGGCTGTGACCCGAAACCCAATAAACAAACAAACAAACAAAAACAGGGACCGGAGCAATAGTACAGCGGGTAGGGCGTTTGCCTTGCAAAGGGGCAGACCTGGGTTCGATCCCCGGCATCCCATATGGTCCCCCAAGCACTGCCAGGAGTAATTCCTGAGTGCATGAGCCAGGAGTAACTCCTGAGCATCGCTGGGCCACAACCTAAAAAAGCAAAAAAACAAACAAACTCAGTTCTAAAATGGCAAAGGACTGAAATTGACATTTCTCCAAAGAGAAATGGCTAATAAACAGCCAAAAACTTGCTCGATGGCGCTCAAATTAAGAAAATCAAACTACAATGAGTTACCACCTGGCCCCATTAGGATGACTCTGATCAGAAGAACAGAAGATAGACAGGGCGCTGCTCGAAGGGTTGGAACACGTGCTTTGCACACCAGAGTCCCAGGTTCCAGGGACCATGAAGTGCTGGTATTAAACCTGGGAAGAACGGTCAGGAGAGACCCCCAAGAACTGAGGCAAGTCTGGCCGCAAAACAGAGACACAGGAACCAAGAAAGGAACTCTGAGGTCAGGACCGTACATCGTGCCCATGCAAGGATCCAAGTTTGACCCTCAGGAACCTGGTCCAGCAGGGGCTCCCAGCATCACATGGCCCAAGCATCCCCAGGCCCTGCAAGGAACCTTGGGGCTGGGCCCAATTCTCCAGTCCAGCTGACCAAGATTCTCCAGGAATGGCCCTCGGGCATTTCTTGGTTGGCAACACACACACACACACACACACACACACACACAAATATCCCTTCAATTTAAAAAGTATGTATTAACATAGATGTGGAGAAACTGTAAGGCTTGAATCTCTAACGTGTGAGTTTTGTGCTAAATAAGCCAGTCACAAAGACATTTCTTGCACTATTCCACTAAAGATTTGGAGAGTTCTGGCATGTGGCTCAGGAGAGCAAGTGCCCTGCGGGACTAAGGTCTTGAGTCTAATCATTCCTGGCGCCTTCCCACATGCTGCGTGTGACCCCAGAAGCCATATGAGGACCCCTGGAGCCCTAACAAGGGTGCTCCCCCGAGGAGGACAGCAAGAGTACGGACTCCAGTAGCCACAGCAGCAAAGGGAAGGGAAAGGGAAAATAAACTGTCAATCTTTTACATTTCAAGAAAAAGAAGCCATGGGACTGGTGTGATAGTATAGGAGGTACGGCATTTGCCTTGCCTGCAGCTGACCCAGGTTCAATGCCCCATACAACATACAGTCCCCTGAACCTCGCCAGAAGAGATCCCTAAGCACAGAGTAAGAGAAAAGGAACCCTGGGACTAGAGCAATAGCACAGCGGGTAGGGCGTTTGCCTTGCACGTGGCTGACCTGGGTTCGATTCCCAGCATCACATATGGTCCCTCGAGCACCTCCAGGAGTAATTCCTGAGTGAAGAGCCAGGAGTAACCCCTGTGCATCGTCGGGTGTGACCCGAAAAGGAAAAAAAAAGAGTAAGGAAGCCTTGAGCTAAGTGTGGCCCAAAACCAAAACAAAACAAGGGCCAGGAAGAGAGAGAGAGATAAGTAGAGAAGTCAAGTTCAGAGAAATGGGAAGTGTAGCCATGATTTCAGGGCTTGGGGGTAAGGGGAATAGAACGTTCGTGTTGGGGATAGAGGTTGGGAAGGAGCTATGGAGATGGATTCGATGGGAGCTGCACAATATTAATTAAAATTAAAAAATATTTTAATTTTTTAAATTGTGCATTATTTTAATGCACAACATTAATAATGCATTTATTATCACTAGACTACACACTTCAAAACTGTTAAGGGCTCTGTGAAGCTACTCTAAAGACCGGTGAGCACCGAGCCAGGAGTAGCCCTTGAGCCATCCTAGTATAACTAAAAAAATAAACTGAAAAAGAAAGGACTCAGATGATAAACATTCTGTTAAATTTATTTACCACAGTAAAAAAAAATAGGGGCCCACACCCACCATCTTGCAGCAGAGAAATTGCCCAGCATCACACCCCCAAATGAACATGATACTGTCGAATCTTCGCAGGTAGACTGGTCTGGACTGAGAATTCTGGGGTCTTATTGGAATGGGGGTGGGTATATTGCCCTTTCTGCCTGAAGACACAGAAGCCTTCAGACACACATGACACCCTCCAACATAGAAACGGTCCAGCTACAGAACTGAGCCTCGGGCACAGTGGGTAGGGTGTTTGCCTTGCATGCGGCTGACCCGGGTTCGATTCCCATATGGTCCCCCGAGCACCGCCAGGAGTAATTCCTGAGAGCAGAGCCAGGAGTAACCCATTGCCAGGTATGACCCAATAAGCGAAAAAGAAAAAAAAAAAAGAACTGAACCTCATCAAACTGCCAAACCACCAAATTGTTCCAGATCTATAGGTCCTGGACCACCACCTTCAAATTTCATAGTACTGTCAGCCCAGTAGGATCATAGAAAATTGATTGAAAAGTCAGTCACATAGAAGCCCACCAAGCTTGATGAGCCTAAACAATAACACAGAAGGCTCAGCTAGCACCAACCAGCACAGCAGGTCCCCACACAATGACATCACCAACACCACAGAGACAGAACAATGATCACAAACTGACTTATTGATCTAAGTTTTGACAATTCCATTAGTCTTTGTGTTATAACAAACAATATGAAGTCAATTTATTTGTGCCTGCAAGGGAGCAAGCTAGGGTGGTGGGCGGAAACCCGGGGACATTGGTGGAGGGAAGGGCACACGGGGCGTGGAACATTTTATGCCTAAAACAACTATAGTATGGACAACTTGGTAAACCACAGTGTCATAATGAAAAATATTTTTAATAAAGAAAGCTTGGGGGCACAAAAATTTGTAAGTCTACAACTGTACCTCATGGTGTTTCACTAATAATATTTTTTTAAAAATTAAAAAATAAGAAAACTTGGGGAAAATATTCTAAAATACCTTAAATCCCAAGAGACGAAGCCACAGTATTGTGGGTGTGCACTTGCCTTGCACACAACTGACCTGAGTTAGATCCCTGGCACCCATATCTCTAAGCCACCCTGACCTGCCCTGCCACTCTTGGCAATTCCAGCCATGACATCGGAGACACCTATGTCCCTCCTGTTATTGTTTCACATGGTCCCCTGAGCCCACCACGAGTGATTCCCGAGCGCAGCCAGGTGTGACCCAAAAACCAAAACCAAATAAACAACAAAATTTAATTCTACAAAAGCTCCTTACTGCATCTGGAGTTTATTTCTGTGCATGGTGTGAGGCCGGGCTCTCGTTTCGTTCTTGCCTGATTATGACCCAGCGTGGAGGCAGACCGAACCATCCAGTTTTCCCTTGCCCAGGCTTGGGTAACTTCCCATCTTTCCATCCCACTGAGCCCCACATCTCCTCCAGTCCCTCTCAGGGTCACGAGCTCTGGACTGAGTATTTGTGTATGTGAGCGTGAGAACCTCCCTCCTCCAACTCCCTGTTTCAGAACGTTCTTGGCTGTTCTAATAGTGATTGTCTTCCAGGAGAATTTTAGAATCGTTTTGTCAAGCTGCATTTTTAAAGTGGGGGCGGGGAAGGACTGCAGAGCTAGTATAGCGGGTAGGGAGCTTGCCTTGCAGGCAGCCAACCCAGATTCAATCCTCAAAAACCCATTTGGTCCTCCAAACACTTCCAGGAATGACCCCTAAACACAGAGCCAGGAATAAGTCCTAAGCACTAGCAGTGTGGCCCCCCAAATCAAACAAAACAAAACCAAAAAGGAATAATACAGGCCATATGGGTCATGCATGGAGGATAAGCCACTGGCCATGTCAAGAGCTATCTGCCTGGACTACAGACTCTCCCCTCGTTCGTGTCAACCTCCTTAGCACCCCATTAAAGAACCTTTGCCTTCTGCATGTGAATCCTGTGCTTTTCTTCGCCAGATTTATCCTGGCGATTTCACCAGCTTTCAGGTGGATAAATGCCTTCAGTGCCACTTTTTTCTATGCTCTGGGTTACTGTGCAGCAGAGTCCTGTGGCGTCCACCCTCCGTGCCCCGCCTGGGAAGGAGAATAATAAATTCTCCCCCAGAAACGAGAAGGGATGTCACACTGTCCACAAGCATCCTTCACAGCATGGGTGTGTCTGGGCCCATCATTTCAGCCCCTGGCGATGGGGACAAAGCATCCTCGGTGCATAAGGAAACTGAGGCTCCTCCCAAGGTCACACTGAGAGTCATGCAGTTGTGACCTCAAAGCAAATCTGCCAGATTCCCTGTGTTTCCTCTGCCCCTGCAACACGACCCCCCACCACCAACAACAACAACTTTGTCCTCTCAGATT